GCTATATGGTGTATAGATAAGATATGAATTCCATGCAATTCGAAATTAACTTCATATATATAGTATGTTTAATACAAAATGAACTGACAAACGATTGAGATAACTCGTGATTTTTAAGTAATTTTTTTAAAAAATTGACCCGTGAAAATAACTCGTACAAGTTTTGCCAGCTTATGCAAGTGTTATTTGTTTTACTTTTAAAGTAAGAACCGCATCTACACCTAAAGAAGGGCATCATTATACGTACAACAATCTTGAATGTGGCAACATGCAAGCGGTTCTTTTCAAAACGCACCGTCTCGTCCGTGAACGGAGATTTGTTTCACGCCCTATATATGCATTTTGATATTGTTCTTCTGCACTTTCGCCATCGTTTTTGTCCACTCCATCTTCTTTATCATTTATTTTAGAGCATTCTCAGCTTTTTTTTAACTAAAGATGTAGAACAAATCAACTTTTTAGTATATTTGAAGGAATGGTCATAAAGAACGTATTTGAGAATTTTTTTTCGTGGGCTTCAACTTTTTAATTCATGTCTAGACATGCAACGATTGGTGAACAAACGTCAGAGAAGATACACACTAAATAAAGAAGTAATGTGATTCCTTATATTTCAAGATTTTCCCATCGAAAGCGATGGATCAAAGTGTCACATTCGACACCGATCGAAGTGTATTAGATGGGTAACGAATTATCTGTAGTCTAGAAATTCGCTTTAACTTTTCTATCCATAATTTATTTATTTTAATAAAAAAAAATTAAACTCGTAAATTTGTATTTATTTTGGACGAAATTTTAATAATGAAAGTAAAAGAATACAAATGAAGAAAAAATGGCAAAAAGTGCAGTAGTTTTTTGTTTTTTCGCTTACACGGAATAGAGATTTCAGAATGTAAAAATGATAGTAGTAAGGAATATTAACAAATTACTGGTTATTTTCGGTAACGTGATACTTGTTGTAAAAAAAATTTATAATCTGAACTTTATGGCTTAAGTAGGAAAAAAGGTAAACAGAAGGGGGACGTGTGAAGATGCGTTGCATCTATTATGTGGTCAAAGGCTCAAAGCTATCTCACTCTTTAGATTCGGGGGCCCACGTCCTTTTTTCTTTTACTTTGTTTCATGTAATTTTGCAGAGTCATACAAAAGTTTATACTGCAAAACAAATTATTAATATACAAAAAATATGGGTCAGAAAATGTTATACAAAGTTCTCGTAATAAGAAATGTATCTTCAAGAGTGAAAAGAAATGTATTTTCAAGAGTGAAATTAAAATTTGAAATTGACAAAGAGGAAAAACGAGTTATTCATCCCCTTTTTATTGGAATATTTTACTTTCGTAAAGGTATTATACCTTTTTGTTAAAAAAAAGGTACTATACCATGATCGACATTTTTAAGCTTTTACTGTTATACCATTAAAAAAAGAGCGACTCGTTTCTTTTTTCGTATTAAAAACTTCTGATAGCGTATAAGTGTATAACTATTGTTATTGGTTTAAGTTGCAGATACAAAAAAAGTTCTACGTGAACTAGGCCAAACAAAGTTTAGAATCTTTCTCTCTCTTTTTTTTAACAAAATTTAAAATCTTAAACGATGATTAAGAACAAATATGTGCGATGCACGAGATCTTGCCATATTGGGCTCATTCCCTTAAATTCGTGCAACCAATCGTCATTGTTATATCAGCACCATTTATCATTATTAATTAAATGTCTCGAGCGGAAATGTTGGTGTACGAAAAAATTACGAAAAGGTTTCTGAATCGATTTTAGATGATTTGGTTTTGTATGCGTAGGACAAGTCCGACCAATCAAACATATCATCCTCTCTCTTTTCCATTGGCGTATAAAACCCTTACACACACACACATGTACAGTTTCAATTTGATTTCGGGTGATCAAGATGATGCAAAACATGTGAAATACAAGTGTTCAGGGACCAAACGATTATATAATAAATTGCTTTATATCAAACAGCCTATGATATCAGTGTCATTTATTTTTGCATACTTAACTGGTTCATTCGAACATAATTCCAGTCTTTTTTTTTTAAATAGAAATATATCTTCATTAGAATCCCTATTTAAAGAAGAAAAAAACGAAACTCCTAACACATAAAATACTTATGTTTAATAAAAAAAGTTTCAGAGTTTTGAAGTAGTTTGAGACATGCATGTATGTTATGAAAATGTGTCTTTATGTTATATTCCAAGTTTAAACCTTCACAAAAAAAAAGTTATTATGCGTATTCATTGATTTGGACTAGTTTTTGTTTGATGTTAAAAAAAAAAAAAAAAGACTAGTTTTTGTTTATTTATTGGTTAAAGAATGTTTTTTTCTTTACGCTCTAACTTCTTTAGATACATTGAACTATGGTTTCTTAAGTTTCTATGCATGTTAATTAGCTTTGAAAACAGTATAGTGGTTGTTACTTTAACGTGTAAGTGTAATACCATTTACGTGGAAACACTTTGTTACTTGGTAAATGTATATGTACATGTATTTACTTTATGTTTTAGTTCTCGGTGTATCATTCTGGTGGTAATACTTAAATGTTGTGCAAATTTAGTGTTAGATCAGCCAATTTATGTATACAGATAATAACTTGCTTTTGTTCATGATCTATATTTGTGGCCTAAAACTGTTCTGCCTCGGGACTATTATGCCACAAAATTCATTAACTATTTTTACACTATTTCTCCAAAACTGTTTTACAAGCTACTCACAAAATTTAATTATTAAAATAAAATAAAAACTCATTAAATTTAGAAAAAAGCATCAAAATTTCAGTCACACCATAGATATTTTGCTAAAGGTTTGTTTCTCTTCTCGTTCATGATATCAATGACTCATCAAATTCACTGAACATCGAACCAATATCTTTGATATTGGAAGAATTAAACTCATCTCCAATGTTCATACTTTCAACGTCCAAGAACATATTATTGAAGATATCATCATTTTCCTAAAATAGTTGGCTCACTCAGTGATTGAATACTGATTTTACCACCAAAAAGAAAGAATAAAAACATATTTTTGAAACACTATACATGGATAATAACTTACGTTTGAAACAAAACAATGACAAAATGTACATAAATGAGATATAGTAAATGTTTGACAGATTTTTTTACTATTGTTGTTTTGATTGCTTTTCATTAATAATCTTTTTAATTAAACTGGCTACATTGAAAATAGAATTATGATTTTGCAAACATATTTATTGGTTGCTCCGGTAAGGTTTACATTGTGATACTATGATTTTTATATGTAGACATTTTGTTGACCAAAAAAAAAAAATATGTAGACATTTTAAGATGGCGAAGAAAACAGCATGCGGTTATACTCTGCATGCTGGATGCTCTAACCAGTTTCTAAATCAACTGAAGATTTTCATCTCTCATCTCCTATATCTATTTTCAATCTCTATCTAAACAAATACAACAAATACATTTAGTTAAATTTATTTGTAATATATGCTTATACACTATATATTTATCTATTTTTATGTTTTTGTAAAGTTTATTTTTAATTTTATTTTTCATTTGCAATCATATACAGTACATATTTAAAACTATATTTTATTTAAATATATAATATTAAAGATTATATATAGGACTAGAGACTGTTGTAAACAAGTGTAAAAAACACAGCAATAAAAAAACCAATTGGTTAAAAAAAAAGGCTAACTTCAGAGCGCGTGAAAACACGCATAGCAGGTAGTGGTGGGAAAACGCGTGAGGGAACAAAGAGTACAGAAAAAGCCTAGAGACGTACCACACCAAATTATAAATGGCGGCAAATCCTAGGTTGCTCGCCACGTTACATATAGCTGTAAAATGGTAATACTGATTTTAACTACCATATATATAATATATTATATAGATACTTTCCTATAAATCGATTTCAATATATAGAAACAAATCCTAAATTTCTTTAATAAGTATTTATCTCTCAAAAATAACATTATTTTTCTTTCTGGTTTAGGGAGATTTTGTACAGTAGGACATATTAAATTTGAAAATAGCATACTATTAAAGTTTCCATTTTATTATTTTACAGGTGAAGACTCAATTAGAAAGAAAAATAATAACATTAGTACGTGACAAGTTGGAGAAAAAAGAGAGTTTAAATTTTAAAGTACGAAATCGCCCTCAAAATCATCATTAATTAGTTAATTACTCTATACATGTCGGTCAAAGCTGAGTGATAAAAATTCAAATAAAAATCTCTTCAGAAGTAAGTAATTTGTTTTTCATTATTATAAAATTACCGAAAGAAGTAAAATAAAAATCCGGGACCGGGTATCTTGGGGGTCACGTGACAAGAATCGCGAAATTCGAGACTGTAAACCACGCGCTGACTCAGCACATACGATAGGCAACAAGAAGGGGCCAAATATCTCATATGTCCACGTGTCACCATGCGACTTGCTCTTATGAATGCGGCGTCCCGTAATTTTAAACACCGCTCGGATTCCGAAAATGTCCCTGTAGTTCAACGAATAATATCAGAAATGCCACTGGTGGAGGAGCGGAAAGGAAACAGAAAGAAATCAAAATAAAATAAAATAAAATAATAATAAAACTACAGTCGTATTTTTGATTAATTATTTAAATAATGACGGCTTTTACCCTCAGAACAGATCCTATAAATTAGGACTCAAAGAGTGAGCTTGAGAAGGTCTTCACACTCGCAAATCGCAAAATCACTGTTCCAAAACACGTTTTCTCTCTCTCACCCACCAAAGAAGAAACAAAATAAAATCTTCCCTTTTTTTTCTCAATTTAAAAAAATTCCTATTAAATTCTCGTGATAATCTTTTCACAGCTTTTTTTTTCTTCTTCTATTTTTTCTCCAATTTTGATTCTCTCGAAATCTCTTCTCAACAAACCCAGAAACTTTCCTTGATTCGCAAGCTCTTCTTCCTTTTATAATCCCTTTCTTTTCGTTTTCTGATGCGAATATAGAGAGAGAAAAGAAAAAAAAAAAGTTGAAATGGACGAATACATGGATTTTCGACCATTGAAATACACGGAGCACAAATCATCAGTCACCAAATACACCAAAAGCTCACCACCGAAAAATCTCTCCGGCGTAACTCGACCTGACTCAGTGAGAATCGTTCGTGTTTCTGTAACTGATCCTGACGCAACCGATTCATCAAGCGACGAAGAAGAAGACTTCCTCTTTCCTCGCCGTAGAGTCAAGAGATTCGTTAACGAGATCAAAGTGGAGCCAGGCTGCAACAACAACAACAACATCACCGGAGTTTCAATGAAGGAACGGAAGAGAGTTTCCGACGAAACTCAGTCTCCGGCGACGAACCGTCACCGTCCTCTCAAGGTTTCAATCTCTTCCGGCCAAAACGGGAGGAAGTTCCGCGGCGTTAGACAACGGCCTTGGGGAAAATGGGCGGCTGAGATTCGAGATCCGGAGCAACGCCGGAGGATTTGGCTTGGAACTTTTGAGACGGCGGAGGAAGCCGCCGTGGTTTATGACAACGCTGCCATTAGACTCCGTGGTCCAGACGCTCTAACTAATTTCTCTATACAGCCTCAAGAAGAAGAGGAATCAGAACCGGAACCGGAACCACCGTTTGTTGATACTAAACCGGAAATGATCATTACAACGACGACCACAACAACAACATCGAGTTCTGAATCAACCGAAGATTTTCAACATCTCTCGTCTCCTACATCCGTTCTCAATCTCCGATCCGAAGAAATACAACCGTTTAAGTCAGCTAAACCGGAACCGGAAACTTCTGACGCTCCGTGGTGGCATAAAGGGTTTAGTGGTGGTTCAGGTGAATCAGACGATTCATTTCCATTGGATACTCCGTTTCTCGACAACTATTTCAATGAATCACCACCGGAGATGTCAATATTCGATCAACCAATGGGTCAAGTTTTTTCGGAAAATGATGATATCTTCAATAATATGTTCTTGGATGCTGAAAGTATGAACATTGGAGATGAGTTTCATTCTTCCAGTATCAAAGATATTGGTTCCATGTTCAGTGAATTTGATGATTCATTGATATCAGATCTATTAGTGGCATAATATCATGAACTACCTTCAGCAAATATTTATGGTGCGACTGAAATTTTGATGTTTTTTTTTTTTAATTTAATGAGTTTTTAATTTTAATAATTTAGTTTGGTCAGGAGGCTTGTAAAACAGTTTTGGAGAAATAGTGGAAAAATAGTTAATGAATTTTGTTCTTTATATCAAAAAAATGTGGTACTATTAGTTGCACGAACGTGCTTAATTTCCAGCATTATTTACAGCATTTGCATTTATTTGTTCTGTTAACAGCTTAAATATTTAAATTAGAAAAGGCCAAAGTGGCATTCTCTTTGTAAATGACATACTATGAGGCGCAGATTACGGTCGTGAGTCATCACCAGTGAACTTAAGGCGTTTGGGTTTGGTCTGGCTGATGTTTTCGTTTAGAGGTGTCATGTATTGTACTTTCTATGTTGGCAACAATATAATTTATAAATTACTTTTACTGTTGATAAGACGAGAAATATTCAAATTTTGTGAAATATCAAATATTTATCTTGTATTAATCATATTAAATCCAAATAACTTGTACTTAAAGAAAATAACCAATAATTGATTTTTCTTATAAGTTTTTTTTTTTTGACAACGATTTTTCTTCAAAGCTTATACTCCATCCGTTTCAAATTAGTTGTCGTTTTGGGAAAATGTATCTATAATTATATGGATGTGCATATCTGGATCACAAAACACATTTAAATACATCCAAATATTTGCAGATACATTTTGCCAAAACAACAACTAATTTGAAACGGAAGAAGTAAGTTATAACTAAATTTAAATAACCAATAATTGGTTTTTGTTTTAGTCCATGCCTTTTCTATAAGCCTCCGATTATTGAAAAATGTTTTTTTTTTAGTTTGGGCTCCTCCATAACTCAAAAATCGTCTAGAACAAAAATTTATAACCAAATAAAATGAAATTATTAATAACATCACTTTCTAATTTCGTTTTTAATTTATATTTATCTGTTAATGGTTTGCTTAAATCATGTAAAAAAGTCTTTTACATAAAAATAGTGTAGTTGTCAAAAAAAAAAAAAACTATGGTATTTTCAAAAATTAAAGCCTAAATAAAGGCATTATGCCAAAACTCTGTTTTTTATCATGTCCATTGTAACTCGATCACTGAATATATGTGATGACGTTTCAGATAAATCTAGCAACGTATTTGACTTTTGTGAACTTAAAAGAAATTTAAGAATACATAGATATCAATTATATTTTGAGAGGTATGTTTCATGAATAAAAATGTTAAAGATCATCATAATTCCAGTAAGGCCTATCAATTAGATTTTTTTTTTTTCCTTCGTGCAGGTATTTTTTTGTGTGTGTGCAGTTTAAAGATATCTTGATTCATATCTTGTCGCTTCGGTTCACTCTTAATAGAGTAACCACTGCGATCTACTTCACACATAGCCAAATTAACCACCATTGATACCACATTGTTCTCTTGATCGTTTCTGAATCGAGTATCAATATCTTATAAATCCACCACAACCGCCAGCATACAAAGATCTAACCGCAAATAATTTCGATAAAATCTGATGAGAAAATCCAATGTTTGAGATTCTAAACGTAAGTCGGAGTAATACAATGTTTAAAAAAAAAAAAAAAATCGAAGTAATACAATATGTGCAATAAATCAAAACAAAGTGCCAACGTTACGAAATGTCTATCACTGACCATGAAAGAAATGTCTATTACAGTTGTTTTGTTGGAGAAAATGCAACATTAACTCATCAAATACTCTCGTTATGAAGCGTATATATGTTTCAAGAATAAAAATGTTAAAGATAATCATACTCAAAACCAGACGCTTCATAACGAGAGTATTTGATGAGTTAATGTTGCATTTTCTCCAACAAAACAACTGTAACTCATTGAGCATCATGACTAAAATCAAATTCCGAACTCAAAAGTCAATAACAAATTTTACTATATGAGATTTATTAATTCAAATTCTTAGACTGGAGTCTAGACTATTTCGTATTCGGTTTGTATGTCAGTTTTATGTTTTTTTTTTTTTTTGGTAAACAATGTCAGTTTTATGTTGCAGTAGAAACAATGTTACATCTGCCGTAGACCACTAGACTAACTATTTATAACAGCATTACTAAAATAAGCTTCGACCAACAATGGCATTATGTTTTACTATACAAAAAAAACAGTAGCATTAATGCATTATGTCTTACTATACAAAATACCAATACTATATGTCTATATCAATTATCAAAGTCACCGAGATATGTAACTCTTTACTTTGTCTCGACCATCTTCTAGTTCTAACTTTCTTTTGGTCTGAACTATCTTCGAACTTAATACACCAACGAAGATTTTGGACGTCGCTTTTTTCTTCCTTCGTGTTGGCTTGTTGGCTTCTTGCCGGTTGGTATTTATTTTAATGATAATATAATAACTAATGAAAAGTGTACAATAATTTATTTGAAAATTCGGTCAATGTCGGAGAAAAGTAGGTGACACGTGAAATATCTTAAAATAAATAGAAAAACAATTTACGTGGAAAAAAATTAAGCACATACATGGAACTTTAATTTCATATCACATTTAATACGATACGATCTGTATTTGTATGTTTTTTCTTTCAACATACGATCTGTATATATAAATAGTACTGTATGGAGTAATAAATACTATGGTTTAAAAAAAAAACTAGTTTAATGTTTTGGCTTTCGCTTTTGTGACGTGAAAGGACATTGTCCCAAGAGGGTTTCAATAAGGTTACCACTTGGTCTGTTATCGCCGAGACAGAGACATCATACGTACGCCTTATTCGGTTCCAATATCATATTGTTCTTTTATTCGATTACATAAACACGCACAAGTATATGTAACTATGTTAGCTGCGTATCATATTTTATTCACTATAGAACATTTTTTTTTTTTTTTTTTTTTTTGTAAAACCACTATAGAGCATATTACACTGCTTTATTATTATAGTTCATATATACTTTACACAAATATATTGGAGTTCACCGCTCCACCCACAAGCCTTTTATTTCGAATGATCACACCATCATTACCCACATGAAACATATTAGATATACATGATCTACCGTTGATTATAAAATCAATCAAATAAGATGCAGACCTTTTTTCGGTCGTTACAACACAAAAATATTAGATTTTTGTATTCCTTGTTGTGTATTCGTTACGTTAGATACATAACACATATTTTATAAGACATAATGCTATAGATACATAACACATCTTTTACAAGACAACACATTTTTGTTAAAAACATAATGCTATTGTTTGGCATCCACATAATTATGATGGTGATCGAAAATATTGATACTAATAGTTAGTTTGTATTTCGGATGAATTAGCCTAAGAGGCTGAGAGGACTCTCACAAGAAAACAGTGTACTTTAATATATTTGAATTTAACTATAACTTACTACTTACTTACTACTATAGTAATTACCAAAACGAAAAAAATGTTTGAAGTTATAGCATGTAACAGTCATGATTATTGATTAGTTCCATAGACCTTAAATTAAAACTAACATATCCATACGAGTGATTATGGCTGTGCTTGTGTGTTTGCAACTCATAGTATATACAAATCCATACATGCACACATAATATATTATATGTATGATGCATGCTTGATAGGGATATCTTAAATTAGTGATAATTTAAGTATATTAATAACATGGAAGCGAAGGATCATGATGTCTCTCTACTCACGTGAGTCCGTGTTCGTTACATTCATATTTGGTTCCTTTTCGTACCATTTTCAATATGTATATACATTGTTTTCCCTTTTCATTGCCCTTTTTTGGAGTATCGAAAAAGTCACCATATGCAAGTTGGTTTAATAATCGTTTCTTAACAAAATTTCCTACACTTTGAGGTAACTTTTTTTCTTTATTTTTCACTTTTAAAATTACTTTGAGGCATTTTTAAGCTTTAAGTTTTAACCATCTTTATGTAATTATTATTGTTTACCGTTTGTGTGCCCGTGGTGGTATCTCGGCCACGGTCCAAAAACTCAAAGCAACCGGATAGGTGTAAATAAAGCAACACAGTCTATTTTCTTGAAGTTTAGGTGTAAGACTCCAACTTCGAATCGAAACAAGAAATATTTCGAAAATATGTATCTTGGATATTTCAAAAGAATTTACTTGAAGAAGGTTTTACTTAATCACCCAAATGTACAAAAAAAAAAAATATATATACACTAACTAACGAAAATTGCCAATGACAGAGATTGGTCAAAGACTTTAAACCGAACTTGTTTGTTGGCATGACGAGTGGCAACACCTAGACCCCTACCTCACTGATCCACTTTGTAAGCTTTTGAAGGATTTCATATTTGTATACGTATACGTATACAGTAGTATCATTGTTTTCTCTTTTTGATTTCTGGGAATGTTATTAAAATTCAAATCCAAACAAACTTAAAAACATCTAGCACAGATTGAGATTTTTTTTTTTTTTTTTTTGCCACTCCAATTAGTATGTACACCACAATTTCTCTAAAACTAGATCAATATTATCTGTTAATAAAAACTTTGTTTTAATTAAAACTTTAAGGATACATTAGACAATGACAAACGTGAATGCCCCAACTGAGCTGGCCTCTTATGTAGGCTCATATAACCCTGCAGAAGAGGTTCACATTTTTGTCATTTTTTGTCACACTAAAGCTCCATATAAAATCCAAGAGCATTTATTAAAATTATTAACTTTTCTTACAATTTATATATGTTCTGCCCGCATAGTTCCACCAGTAATAGACAATAAACACATCGACCATCTAGCTTTTTTAATATACGCACCGTTCATGCATGGATACATATATTATACATTTTCATGTACAGTTTTACAGATACGCATCTGCTATTTAATGTCATTTCCAAACAAGAAAAAGGGGAAATTGTCTTTTTGTCCAGTAATTTACCTTTTTAATTACCACAAAACTCCAAACTTTTTTACTCATAATTTTTTTGAGTGGAGACCATACATAAATGATATACAAATTTCCTTTGTCATACATCCAAAAACAATAAACGTAGAATCACGCATATTAACACTATGCAGTAAGTTTTTCTTTTTTGATAAAAAAGGTTAACTTCATATACTTTTATTAATATTCTTTTTCTTTGTCTCAGCTTGGAGTCACAAAGCTGTCTTGCTACAGAAGCTATAAGTTTTAAACCTTTCTTATTCCCTTTCTATATTCAGCAAATCTGCCTTTATTGGCTTCTTTCATGTATGCTCAGGTAACATTTTGCCGACATCAATACTTTAAAATTTAGATTATGATTAACGGGTAGGGCTTGATAAAATTCTTGATCAATAGGGAAGGCAATGAATAAATAGACGCTTATGCTATTTAATCTCTTAACAAATCGTACTAAAGAAACTTAGACCATAAATGTACCCAGCCAGAAAGAAAAATATATAGGTAAAACTGAACTAAAAAAAAAACACAATTTAGTAGACCGGAATATGAAAACCATATAACTAGTTCGGTTCTTTGGCAATAAACAACTAATTTCGGTTGAACTTAAGCTGGAAATAACCAAATATATATATATATATATAGCTGTGTTCTAAAAATCGGTGATTTTTGACAAAAATCGGATCAAACATGGTCCTCGGCGGCAGACTGAGGAGATTAACGATCATCGGAGATGATTTCCTGTGAAAAAATGTTGACCGATGTCAATGCTGAATGAAAAAAAAACGTGTGCAATTCGTTAAATCGTATGGGCCAAATTGACAAATTTCGTTTAAATTGGGCCCAATAATCAGCTCAAATTCAATGTGACGTCGTTTTGACTAGTTTTATTTTCAGACCAACATAAGTTTATCGTGAAATCGATTTGGGATTTTTATCTGAAGTCTCACAAACCCTAAAATCGATTTGCGATTTCTCCACCTCTATTCAATCAGAAACTAAACCAAAACAAAGTTATTCAGTTCTTCTACTAAGATCGTGAGTAGTGTGAAGTCAATTTGAGGTAATTTCACTTTGGTTTAACTGAATTTTCTGGTTTTCACTTTACAGTCTTGAAAATCCAAAATTCTGCTCATTCTTTCACCTTCTTTTTGTTTTGTCTATGGTTACTGTGATTGTTTGTTTATCACATTCGATTATGAAATGTGTATGTATTGTAAGCTATTTTTGTTTTGTCTTTACAATCTCATTGTTTTTTCACCAACAATGAAGTTTTTATCTTGAACAGTTTGAGTTTTTTTGTGAAACTTGATTGGATGTGAACCATAGTGGGTTTGTAGTTTTTGTTACTGTTGCTAATGTTGATGTTGAATGTTGATAATGGGAACCACAGTTCTGTTGTTATATATGTTCATGTTATTGTTGTTAGTGTTGAGAATCACGAGTTGTGTTTGTTTGGTCTTTGTCTCTGTTTCTTTTTGGTTCTGAAATCCTAGCTAGAGAATAAGACATAAGAGAAAGCAATAGTTCTGTTGTCTGTTTGTTGGTTTACGAGTTGTTAGACTTGTTAGAGAAAGGGAATGAAAGAAAGCAATAGTTCTCGTTCTTATTTCCGGTTCTTACTAAAGTTTTGTTTGTGTTTTGATGGTTTGGTTAGTGTCTAATGGATGATCCACCGAGAGAGGAGTCTCCTCCACACGCTCTGAAGCGAAATTCTAGTGATATCGGATGGGATTATGGAGTTATGTGTGATCCTACAAATCAAGACAGGCTTCGATGTTTGCTATGTGGGAAAGAAGTAACTGGTGGTGTCTTCAGACTGAAGGAGCACATAGCTCATGTGAAAGGAATGTTGCTTCTTGTCGACTGTCAAACAAAGAGGATAAAGAGAAGTGTTTGAAAGTTCTTTTAGAAGTCAAAAGCAAGAAGATTCAGAAGAGAAAGAATGATGCAGCTTTGAGGGCACAAGTTAATATTAACAAGGACAGTGTCGTTGAGGAGGAGCTTGGTCAGCGTAAAGGTCCTCACTTCCAAGGTCCGATGGACAACTTTGCTACAACTATTAACCCTCAAGCAACTTCTGCTGGTCAGAAACGTCAACAGAGTCTCCATGATGCGATTTCAAAGGAAAAAACAAATCAGGTGCATCAGTATTGTGCTCGCTGGATCTACAACTCAAGCATCGCTTTCAATGCCATTGACAATGACGACTTCAGGCTGTTTTGCGAAGCTTTAGGACAGTTTGGTCCTAATTGGCAGCCTCCAAGTCAGCATCAGCTTCGGGAACGACTTCTTATTGAGGAGAAACAAAGGACAAAGGAAAAGCTGAAAGACTTAGAGGAAGAATGGGAGCAGGAAGGATGCTCTGTGATGACTGATGCATGGACTGATATGAGAAGAAGAAGCATCTTTAATCATTGTGTCAACTCAAGATCAGGTACATGTTTTCTTAGTTCACAAGATTGTTCTAAGGAGTCTCACACAGGTCAGTACATCTTCGAGTATATAGATAAGTGCATCGAAGAAGTAGGTCCTCTGAAGGTTGTCCAAGTGGTGACTGATAATGCAACCAATAATGTGGCGGCTTCAAAATTGCTTAAGGAGAAGAGGCCGAATATCTTCTGGTCTGGATGCGCTGCTCACACCATTGATCTGATGCTTGAAGGAATTTCAAAGCTGGATGGGATTGCTAAAATAATAGACCAAGCCAAATCTCTCACAATCTTCATCTACGCTCATCATAGAACCTTGGACATGATGAGATCACATACAAAGAAGGCTGAGATTGTGCGACCAGGAGCAACAAGGTTTGCAACTTGCTTCTTGACTATGCAAAGTCTCTATGAAAAGAAGGGAATGCTGAAGAATATGTTTGGCAGTGAGGAGTGGCTTAAGTGTGTTCTTTCTAAGAGTGTCAAGGGCAAAAACTTCATATGAAACGGTTGTGAGTATCGGATTTTGGAGCAGCATGGCACTTGTCCTGAAAATCTTCAGTCCATTGGTGAAGGTTCTCAGGCTCGCAGATGGAGAGAAGATACCCTCACTTGGGTTTATCTATGGTGAGATCTTAGTAGCTAAGAACTCGATCAAGGAAGCTACGGATCAGATAGAGAGGAACTATGAACCAATCATCAAGATTATTGACGAGAAAATGAAAGGCAGGCTGGATACTCCTCTTCATATTGCTGCTTACTTTCTTAATCCATTCTACTTCTACAAGAACACGGGCATATATGATATGGAAGTCATGCAAGCATTCATTTCTTGTGTTGAGACATTCTACTATGGAGACTTTGATAAGCAAAATGAAGTTGTCAATCAAGAGGTTCAGCAATACAGGAACAAGTCGGGTTATTTTGGCATGCCTTTAGCTCAAAAAGGCTGCGAGAAGAATGATGGAAAGTTTGATCCAGGTTTGTTATTTTTTCTTAATTGGTTTTCTTTAAACTTTATTCTTTAACTTTTAGCGAATGATGCATATGTATTTTACTAAATCACAGGACTTTGGTGGTCAACTTATGGTTGTGAAACACCAGTTTTGCAAAAGCTAGCTAAGAGGATTCTTGCTTTGACCTCTAGTTCTTCCGGTTGTGAAAGAAATTGGAGCTGCTTTGGAGCGGTTAGTTTTTTAATATCCTGTACTCTTTTTATTCTCTTTTACATTGCATAGTCTTTAAATCTTGTGCCAAATTGCAGATTCACACTAAGAAAAGGAATAGACTAGATGTAAGTCGACTAAACAGCCTAGTCTATGTCCAGTTTAATGCAAGATTGTTTAAGAAGCAGAAAAAAATCAGAGAAGGCAAAATTGATATCATATATGATGATGGTAATGAAGACACTTGAAGAATGGCTTGTTGATCACCATGAAGCGTAGGTCCAGTTGGAAGTACAACTCAAGCTTCAAGGGTTAGAGCCCTTTACGATGATGATTTTGAATCAGAAGAAGAGGATGGTGGAGACATGGAGTTTGAAGATGATGAAGATCCTGTCTTCCGTGACAATGGTTTCATGGGTACGTTTTCTTTTTGACATCTTCATTGGTTTCATGTTCTGTTTTTTTTGTTATTCTTGGATGAGTTTCTCACGGTTTGGTTTTAGTCTTAGAGTTATGAGTTATGGTGTAGTAATGTCTTAGAGTTATGAGTTACGGTTTGGTATGTTTGTTTGTAGTTTCCGAGTTTGATTTGGATAAGAGAGGTTATGGTGTAGACGTGTAGTAATGTCTTCATTATTTTGAGCGGTTTGATTTTGGTGTAGTGATGTTTTAAAGATTTGATGTCTTAAAGATTTTAAAGTTTTGTTGTGGTTATTTAGTTTTGGTTTGGACAAGAAAAGTTTAGTTTTAGTTTTCAGGTAATTGCATGTATAACTTCAATTTTTAACACATCTTTTTACATTTGTTTCAGGTTAATAAGTAAATGTTGCCTTGATCTAACACATCTAAGTCTACTAGTCCATTGCACCTTAATTACTTGATCAATGAAGAACAAAAGGATGAAGAACTATAATTCTTTTACTATATTTTTTGTATGTTCTAAATTGATCAAGACAATGTTTTTGGATTTCTATTGTGAATGGAACTATGTAACTTTAATCTTTTGATTCTTTTGTAAGAGATGTGATTGGCAAAATAACAATATATAATCTTTTGTAATGTGATCATATTGATTCAATATGTGTTATTGAGTTATATATAAGAAAATGTTTGAAAAGTATATAAAATATAGTCAAAATTTCATCCCCGTTTAATTCCCGTTTAATCTCCGTTTTTTGAAAAATCTCAAATCCCAACCCGATCGTCCGATGAACGATTTTCGATGTTTTGAACGTAATATATAGTATATGTTTTGAGCAAACCAAAGATATATAAGTAGGTAATGTTATTTTCATACAAAAAAAAGGTTAAACGTTACTTTGCTTCTGTCCCAATCAGGTTGAGCCGCAATTTTGGTCTTCATGTGCATGGGAAATCACAGTAATTTGGTCTAACGAAAAAAGCTTGCAGCTTTCCACCTGATTTTTGCATGTCGATTTTCATAATTTTCAAACGGTCGAAAAATAAAATAAAATTTCAACGATTTGATAGGTTATATAACGAACTAACAGGCTATAATTACTATATAGGGATGTACATACGCAATGTAGCACTGTGTTTGTTTGTTTGTTTCTTTTGGCAGATATTGCTTGAAAAAATGAAAAACACACACAATAATAATATTAGGCCTTACGTTTTTTTTGTTCTTTCACAAGTGGGTAAGTTTTAGCCGCAATTCTTTTTATTCAATGCATGGCTTATTTTGGTGTTAAAGCTGTTATGGTCCCCGATCTATTCTTTCCTTTTATCATAACTTCGTATCTAAAACTTCCTGCATTTGAAGATCTTCCTTCTGAATTTTTTTTTTTACCTTATTGAGATCTAATGAAATATGTATACTATTGTCGGTAAAATATGTATAACGTTGTAAAATACCCAAATAGTATATGATCACATATTCACATTACACACTACACAAGAAGAGAACGTTGACTAATCAAAGCAGCTAGTGCGAATGCTGTAGTGACACGTGCCATGCACTGAAGCCCTGGGATTTTTCTTACCCTGAACCAAATCACACTGATTAGTAAGTTGTCACACGATTTGTCTCGTTTTAAATTTGGGTTTTGGGTGGTTGTTGTTGACACATGAAAGTGGACCCATGTTCTCAAATAAGAAGTCTGAAACAAATTAATATACTTTCTACGAGTTATACAAACTTAAACTTATAAATTTAAGGGTAACCATGAAAACTATATAAACCCAGTCTAATATTTGTGCATCATAAAAAGTGAACGCTTAAAGTTAGAAAATGTTACAACTGTAACTTTAAATCGAAAAAAGACAATTAAGGGTAACTATACCAAAATAACCAAGATCCAAGATGTTAAACTTATAACTTACTGAAGACTGTGTTGACGTAGACACGTAGTGAGTAAAATGAAAGCAAGAATGATGAACTCTAAACTCTTCAAATCCGAATTTCTCCAAAAAAATTTCTAAGACTTCCCTTAATTCTTTAAAGATTGAAAGTGAGAATAATGAAAGATTAAATGGTTATAGCTTACGAAGCATTATTCTTTCGTTCCCTGGCTGTACTTTTTCAGTTTTTTGTGATATAAAAGTTAAAGCTATTTTAAAACTCCGGTAAAAGAAAGTAGAATGTTGAGAGACAAAGAGAGTACAAGGTCACGTGATGTGGTTATGGGCCCTGCAATTTGTAGTGCACCGTCACATGATTCTATTGTAAGTAAAATAAAAAGCCCATATGCTCAGAATCACGTGTCCGAATTTATAATCCACGTCAGTACTTAGCTGCGTTATTATAGCGAAACGTGGCGTGAAACTTTTTTTGGTTCTCTCTTAAAACGGAAAAGAATTGTGGTCTTTTGTTGGTGGAAGTATGGGATCAAATTATAGATGTCCGATGATGCTTCAAAGACATCTGATGATTCATAGCTATTTTAAACTTTGATGTAAAAAATACAAATATTGCTTTACTTGGTATTTCTATGATCTTTATGAACTACAGTATGTAATAAGATTATCGGCCTATAAACTCATGTAGTTGGATCCAGTCCAGAGAAGCTAGATTGATGACTTTTAACCGCTAGGATAATCAATACTACTAGTATAGTAGTCGATCTGCGTGAAGATTTACACTGTTATTCTCACCTAAAATTTTACAAAAGAAGAAAGAAATGAAAGAATATATTTTGCGATCCATCTGTTAATAATTATTTTGAAGTGGCAAAACACTTTCTACCCGTTACATCAGCTTTTGTCGTATCATTATGGAGCAACTTGGCTATTTTCGTAATTATTCGTTGGTCCAACCCTTTAATCTATAATCTACATTTGATAATGAATATATCTAATTATGTTCTTTTCGGTTATCCAATTTTTATAAACTACCACGAGCGACCATTTTCTTATCTTCTTGAAACGAGTTAAAAACAGAAAGATTAAACTGTTGTGGGATTACAAGTATGACTTTGCTGATCATTACTATTTGTTGTCTGACTAAATATAGGTTTCACTTGTTATTAAACATAGTGTTCAGTTTCCACTTTCCACTCGTAAAACAGGGAGATTTACTGTTGATATTTGATAATATTGTTGTTCGGGATTTTTTCCTCAAAAAGCCTAGAACTAGGAAGAAAAGTTCAATTTGCTATTACAGAAAGACGACCGAGCCTTTTGGTTACTAGCCTACACAACACATTTGTACCGTGAATTATGTTTTCTTTATTCTAATATAATGCCTACACTTTTGTTATTGTGTAATATTATATAGTCTAAATGTGAAAAAGTATTTTGTTTTGCGGTCTTAACCTTTCGAGACACAAAACAATATTGGGTTGACATATTTACACAGGAAAACCGGGGTGGCATTTCCCATGATGTGAACCAGGACCTACAAAATACTAAAACAATCCGTAATATAGTTTCTTTATTTGTCTAATCACATTGAAAATATGGTTACAAAATGACAAAAAAAGGCAGCACACAAAGATAGAGAGAAAAAAAAGAAGTCATTTTATACACGTTTAAGAGCCTAAAGAAAAAGCTATGTGAATAAACAAGAAATCTAAAAAGAGAGACAAAACAGATGTAAAGAAAAAGGGTTTTTGCTATATTCACATTCATGTTTCCTTCATCCTACCATTTTGGACTCATTATATTTCTCCCCTTTATCATCATCATCTTCATACTTTATCCTTCCTGCTTATTTTTGCTTTGTTCACATCACACAATTTACATTAAAAAAAACCACTTGTTAAGAATACACGTTTTACATTATGGATATTTTGGACTTACAAAAATGCGAGTAATTTTCAACACAAGTCATATACAGTCTCTAAAACTCAATCTCACCCTTCCGATTAATTAACAAAACCACTATCTAAAACCAATTGTGCTACAATCTTCCTATTTATCAAGAAAAAACCTGTTTTGGATTTGTCTATGTTGTTTTATTTAAACCACTGTGTTAGGGGGACATCAAAGTGAGTGGGCCAAAAATGGAGCAAAATTGGGCTGGAGAGTTGTGGAATTGAGATGGGCCTATAGCAGCCCAATATAGCAACATTTCTCTGTGCATTGACATTTAAACAAAGGCGAGAAACAATCAGACCGATCACAAGAGATCATAATTCAGGAGCTTAGAGATTACAAGAAAGCCTAACCACACTTGAATTTACCAAAACCAAACAAACAAACAACAGTGATTGAAAATCAAAACGAGAAGGAAGCAAGAAAGGAACAAATATCAACTCATCAGCACAGAAACTTCCAACATTTCGCCTCCAAAGTCTTATCCTTTTTGCTTATACTATCGAAACCTAGAAGATCATATGAGAGCAACAAGTCAATAACTATCTCTTTTCTCTTCTTGATTTTCCCTTTTTTGTCGTTTATACTGTTCCTGCAAGCAAATTCATAATCACGTGTACACAGGTTAACCACGAGCCATCATCACGTCCAAATGGTCCAAACTAATGTCAGACGAAGACATCTCTCTTCCATATGGTTTCCTCGACTTTCTGTAGAACCCGTCTTCTTTTCTCTGTACATGATGTTCACTCGTAGCCACTTGGTGAAGATGAAGCATAGCGACCATGCTAATGGCGAATATAGCAGCGTTTCCAAGCACGCCTCTCACATGGTTGACTCCAAGTGCTCTTTTGGCAAACCCGAAAGTGCAGGCAAAGGCGTTGATCAAAAAGTTTGGCTTTTTTCCATCGGAAGGAGTAGTAGGGTCTGCTCCGGTTGGGTTTGAGGAGGAGTTGTAGAGTTGATCAGGCGAAACGAAATGAGTGGCGCTTTTGATGTTACCAACAAACGCAAGAGCTTCTTCTAAGACTCCATAGCTCTTCCCGTGGTGCTCGGCTAATCTCATTGCTAGTAATCTCCTGCTCTGTTCAAGCCGTGCCACCGCAACATCTCTCTCTGTTCGTTGCTGTGTATGTATAGTCTGCAGAGAAACAAAGTTTTACATAGTCTTTCAGAGGTTAAGCCAATGGTAAGTTTTCAGGTTCAGGTGTTAAAGAGCACATAGTGAAGCTGACCAGACCTCAATGAATGGCAAAGAGAAAGAAAGAACAATGAACAAACGCATGTGTCTACAATGTGCTGCGAAATGAAATCCGAACTTTTCACATTTCTACTTCTTGTAATCTCACATAAGACTATAGCATATGTTACGCATAAAACTAAATTTGGTTGTCATTTAATTGCCTTCCCATACTGCTTAAAGCTTTGATTCCATGAGTGTGACATAGACAATGTTCAAAACCATTTTATGCTTAAAAGACGAACACTAGGCCAAATTCATATAGAAATGCAATCATCCGTTGTTGTTGCGCCCACAATTTTCATAAAAGAATGTGTTATCTTGTTCAGAACATGAATATGTATCCGTAAACATTAGTAGATGACTCAAGAGTCTCAAAACATGATTAAGCATACCAAATTCAATTGTTACACTCAATTTTCTCAAATCGACTAAACAATGAGCTGATTCTTCAGCAAATAACAAGCAGAAACTCTACATTTAGCACAAGGATTGGTTAATATAAGTTCAGAAAAATCACTATAAGCCTAGATAACAAGCTACTTGACTAATTTCACAAACAATTTCGTCGCTCATTTCGCTCAGTTCAGGGAATCTAACATGCGACTAGTGTGCAATCGATGAAAAACGACGAGCACAAATCAATCGGAGAAAACGACGAGACTTACATGGAAAAACTCGAGCTGGTCTTCGAGGTTCTCAAGAGCGGTTCGAATTGCGTTGAGGCTCTTCGCCTCCTGCATCGTGGAATCGTTATCGTCGACGGCGAATCCCTTGATGAAGACATAACCCGGTCCCGGCCGCTTATCTTCGCCGGAATTTCCTTGACTCTTCCTCTTCTCCGATCTCGGTGGAGGTTTAACGGATTTGAGGAAGTGAGACCGCGAAATCAAGTGAATCTCGTCGCTAAGCTTGTCGTGCAGATCCCAGATTTTCTCAAGGACGGCTTCGATTTCTTCGATCTCCATTTCTCCCATTTCATGACCAAAAAGAGAGAAAAAGAGGGAAAAAGCAAGAAAAGGAAAAATAAACAATTCTTCTTCTTCGGGAAAATTCCCACTTTAATTGTGGACTGAAAATTAGCGCTCCGGTGATTTTGATTTCGGGAGCGGGTCCCCGACCCGGAAACGCTAAAACTGTCAATAATGTCACGGACTTTGCACGTGTTAACTGATATCCTTGTTGTTTGTCAAGAGCAGCCGGAAGGACGCGCGTGTCTCCAAGTTGAGTAATTGATTGGGCCCTAATTTGGGAGGCCCAAAAATATCATGAATAAGTATCTATATTATACTTAACCATCGATCACCAATGATATTTAAGTACTTAAATACTTAATTTAATTTAGCAAGTTGAGTAATTGCTTGGGCCCTGTATGGAAAGACGTTGACTAAATACTTAACGATCACCAATGATATTTCAAGAACTAGGCCATAAGTTATTAAGTTCTATCAAAACCAAAACAATTGTTTCTCTTTTCATTTTATTTTGTAGAACTAGGGTTATCCCGCGCTACGCGCGGAGCTTATGTTATAATTAAAAAAAAAATTAGCTATAACTTGCTATTAATTATAATAATCACTAATGTTTGTTTGTTTGATGTTAGTTTTAATCAGTATATCAGTCGGCATATACCATATTCTCAGTAATTTCATAAGTTGTATAAAATGATTTTGAAATTATGTTTTTGCCTAGACACTTTTAAAAAAAAAAAAAATTGTAATGAAAGCATACACATGTATACGGTACTTATAATAGTTTAAGATTATAAGTTTAAAATGGTGTTCCCATTTTATTTTTGTATATATCTTCTTTGTAATACATCATGTCATGTGGAGAAATAAGAGTTTACAAAGTAAAAATTCACATCACCCACTGAAATTAATATCATTTACCAAATTTACTTATAATTTTATTGTAACCAAGCTGATTTCTTGCAAAGTAAATGGTTGAAACTTTTTTTTGTTTTTTTACGTATACTCATCTTATACTTTCTTGTAAGGCAAAATCAAGAAATGAAACAAATCAGATTAGTATGTAAAAACGTGCGGATTGTATTTCTACTTTTTTTTTCTATTTTTGTTTAAAAATTATTGATTTTAATACAATATTTGACTTCGAATTATTTTTTGATGTATTTTTATAAATCTTGAAAAAGATAATATGTTAGATTTGTCTCTTTGCTGTCCTATTTGTGAACTCAATTAATTATATGATGATCAGTCACATTTTTTCTTATTTAGAATATAAGCTGTTTGTTACGTCTGTAATAAGCAGTTTATTGCGTCTTCTCTCTTTTTACTTTGTTGATTTAGTGTTTGCTATTCTGGAGAACAGTGTAACAATTGCTCTAACAACTACCATCAACTTCCTCATGTTGTAGCATATTTGAATAGGCTTATCAATAAAATTTAGGAAATTTAGTATGTTGTACACTTGTATAGTTGTATTTCTTAGAATTTTCGTTTATGACATGTACAATTGGTAGATTATATCATATCCACTTATGTACTATTGTGTGTTAAAATATAGTTAATATCATGTAAATATCGACGCATGAATTTTCTACTACTATCATGACCACCCTTTACATGCAACTGTAACTGTTAAATGTCAGAAGCAGAAAGTATGTTAGAAACTCATGGTCTCTCTAATATCATCCAAGTTCCGATAATATCAAAGCAACAAAGCTAAACGAACAAAATAACCTTAGGTATTTTCATTTTCAAAGTCAATTCTGGGCTGAGAGATAGTAATGCACATGGTTCTGATATTTTGCGTTGAACCATAATAAATCATTATGTGAGAAAACTTTTGTAAGCTAGAATACAGAATTTGCAAGATAACAAAAATACCAAAAAACTAACTTGTACCATTAAGGTCTCCTTTTGAACCCGAAGACAAACCGATCTTCATATATACTCCGAAAAGAACAGCTCCATAAAACTACTCGTTATGCTGAAGTCTTTCTTTTCATCATGTACTCGGTTTTTTGTTGAGAAATTCTTTGGATTTAAGACTCTCAGGCTCCTTCATGTAAAGACGATGAGCATAATGAGAGAAGAATGGAATACTTTACTAAGCTTAACTCTTCAAAGATCCTCCAAGCAGTTGTGAAGCCAAGTCTCTGTTTTTTAAATTATATGAACAAAGACATTAAAAATTAGTTTTTTTCAGGACTAATGTCTTCTCGACTATCAATTGTGACTCTTTTTCTTTCTTGTTTATTTCTATTATCTGCTTATTAGAGAGTCTTTCGTGTTTTGTATCTTTACCAAACTAAAACAACTTTTGTATTTTGTAAACAACAGAGAGAACTCATTTTTTATTTCAAACTTATTTGCAGTAAGAACTAAGAAGTGTTAAAACTTTTCTATTTTGTTTACATCCTAATAAGATGGAGTTCATGAATCAAAGGGTCAATAATATTCGTAAGAAAAGAAACGTATATTGGTGCTATTTACAATCTACAAAGATATATGTCAATCGTTCTTTTCTTTTTCTATACAATTTTCCATTCTTCTTCTGCTGATGTTACGCTTGAGTTTTGGGGTGAAAAAAAACCAAAAACAACATCACCTTCTTCTAATCCGAATCCTCTTTATCCACATCTTCACTATCATCATCCTTCTCCTCTGCAATCGCTTCTTCATTATTTACAGGCTTGCTTTCGGACTCTTCTTCTGAGCTCAGCTCTCTGTTTCTGATCCGTGGCTCTCTTCTATCTTATGTACAACCTCCGAGATCAGTCTCTGTTCCATGACCCTCCAGAGGAGCCATTTGGTCACCTTGTGAACTGCTACTTGGACTCGGAAAGGATCTGTGGCATGATATTAAGCGTCAAGAAACTGTGATAGAGATAAAAGACAAAAGAAACAAAAAACAAAGTGTTTGGAGTCTAATCAATAATCAGATCCAGAAAGCTTACCATATTGACTATTGTCACTTGTTGGGAATTAGGAGATCGGAGATAACCATAGGCTGGTACCAAATTTCTTGTTCTTACTTCAATCGTTTTAGTTTGGATTCCTTCAAGCTCCATCTCTCCTGGTCCACCATTATTCGCATCATCCGATTCAACACCAGTTCTTGAAACCTAAATTGTCTTGTGCAAACTACCAAGCATAAGAGAGAGAGAGAGAGATCCCCACAACAACGCATTACCAGTTTTCATATCAAAATAAAGAAGAGGAGAGTTTACGCTTTGCATTGCCCATAACGGTGGCTGAGACGGCTGATACATTTGCAATTCCGCTTCAGAAACATACAACTGACGGTTTGCAATTGCAATTAATCGGAGGCGATGTGGCTATGGGAATGGGTTGAGGTAGCTTTTATAGTGAGATTTATGTGGATTACTCATGGTATGGAAGCTTGCACAGCGATGTCGTCCATGAGATTGACATTCCCTATTTTCCAAAACCAGATCAAGTTTCGTTGCTTGCTTCAATACAATAATCTATTCTCACACAAACTCCAAACACAGAATCACCAACATTTAAAGTCCTCCCGGAAGAAAGTAGAATCCTAAATTAAGTCATACCTGCTAATCGTTATCCTTTTTGTCTCTTTGTTAGAGAGATCAATGTCAGAATCCGGTGGAATCGAGGTGCTCCCGTAGAAGAATCTCGGCTCGAAACCAACTCCATCTCTAACAAATAAAGTAAAATCCGAAAATTAACGGAAGATCATCTGAGAACTCAATCTCTATATCATATAGTTCGACAGTGAAATCGAGGAAAGGTACAATCGTCTTTCTAATCACAAACTTTAACTCCATATGTACACGAAACTAAAAATCAGGGGAAAATACAAACCTGAAGGATCTCTGCTTTGTTAAGGCATTGGAGGAGACATGAGAAGTGCAGTGGAAGAGGAGATCAGAGAAATCAAATGCGGTCAAGCTCACCTGCAATATGCGAAGAATTAAGCGACTAAATTTCGGAATCGAAATGTTCACCACATAGAGATTAAAGAAGAAGATCGAAAGCCCAGAGATTCGAATCGAATCCCTCCATAACTATTAGATCCGGATCCAAATCGAAATAATGTTCTCACTTTCCATACTCATTCAATGTCAAAATTGCTATGATCAGATTTTCTGAGCAAATGTCCAAACTTGAAACAGAAAAAGTGGATCTAGGGAGCGAGAATTACCTCTTGTTTGCCTTTGCTGAGGGCTTGTCAACGACGTTGGAGTACTGCTTCATTTTCCCGACTCTGATCATCTTCCCTCGTCTTCTTCAGCTTTCACGTGCGGACAGGCTGACCCAGAACTCTAAAAACAGAATCTATTCATTTTCCGGGAAAAAATCTGGAGATGCTGCGTTTATTTCAGCATGGTTTGTCTTTAATTTGATGGATGAGAGGGCTCTATCTATTTATCTAATCTAAGGTGTAACTGAAGAACTCCGAAGAGGTATCCAAATCGGATAATTGAATTCACGAAGTGGGGAAGCCGAAGAGTTAACACTCGTCCATCGGAGCAGAATCACGAATGCGTTTTAGTCTGCTGACGTGGCTATGTGCTTACGTGGATGACTTAAGAGAAATTGAAGTTTTTTTTTTTTATGTAATATGCCACGTGGCATTCTGTGTCTGAAAGCTGTGAGGTACCTGAAAGGCCCCAATTAACTACTTTCATTTAGTAAAGATTTGCTTTGTTGGTTTTTTTCTTCTTTGAATCTTTGACCTTTTTAGTAACAAAGTTTTACTATGTTTCTTTTTTTTAAACAAGATATCGATTACTAAATAACAAGATATCCTCTAAAGATGTCAAATGAAAATGACTTTGCTTGGTACAATTTCTGATCTTATGGTCATATCAATCCATATGATTATATGGGTATAAAAGGAAAACTCATACCTTACTAGTTCATGTGGCGCATGACGAATAGATAAAAATCATGAAATGAATAGTCTCTTCTATTTATTTATTTGTGTCCAATATATAATTGTAGAAATCCATTTTGGTGATATGATTGTTTTATTCCCAACCCATATGTATCAAAGCATCATACTATAAACAAATAAATGTGTCATATGATGGACATAAATAAAAAATTGGTTTTATTTTGACATCATTATATAAGACAATAATTTATTTGTATATTTCAATAAATAAACATATACACAAAAAACAACAACAAAATAAAGTAACCAACAACAAAATATTATCACACACAAAAAAAACAAGGGATATTGCACTCAATAATCAAATTAAACCAAACAACAACAAGATAATGTATGTAGTAATGAAAAGAAATGATCAATTGCATTTCAAGAATTTGGCCAGAAGTTCTCACATCACTTTCTTTTTTAATTTTATCAAAACCAATAATTGTTTCTTTTCATTGTACAAAATTTGTTCGTTGGTTTTATTTTCTTTGAATCTTGACAATCTTTCGTAACAAGCTTTTACTATCTTTCTTGGATTTTTATGATGTACGATTACTAAATGCTTTGTTTGATACACTTTTTGATCTTATGGTCATATTAATCTATATGATTATGGAGGTATGAAACGGAATATCTTCTAAAACTGAACATTAATACCGTCTTTTTAGTCTTTGAGAAATCTGATGAAACTGACACAAATTATTTTTGTAGACTGACAAAAAGTCATTTAGCATAATTTTTTCAGTTTGTTTATATATACAAATTAAAGTCTTATTTTCTTTAAAGATCAGATGCATCTAAATGCGACTCACAAATCAACATCACACGTACTTATTCGAAGAAACCTATAAAATTACATAATTGATAATCGAAACTACATAATGGTTGTCAAACTACATATTCTCGAGTTTTACTAACCACACAGCATCATCATTCGATTTTATAGATAACATAATAGCTTAAACAAATAAAATCTACATACTTAGAGATAGGTAACAATTAAACAAAACTTCAGCTGAGCAAAAAGATTCAACGAATACATTTTGCGTTTAATAAATGTATGCAAACTACGAATTAAAGGACTAACTCAACTCACTAAAAGAGGTTTTGTTGGCAATGAACGGTGAGTATTAATCTAATCGAGTAAGTAGAGAATCAACGGCTGAGATCTCTACTTTTCATGGTGAATCGGCTTTTCATTCTATAGCCCTCGATGATGATTTTGACATGCATAATGCAGTTTTGGTACCAGATGACTTTAACGCATTTACGTATTGGCCATATGCACGAGTGTTTGGACTAGGCTTAACTCGAATCAGAAAGGACAAATGAAGTGGGTGCAAGATGATTACAAGATCTATAACTATTCTACTGATTACAAGAGGCTTTCCCACATAATGCTACCTCGGCTGATCATGTTACCGAGAAAATTCAAGAACTTGATGCAGCTTCTTTCTTTCTTTTTACTTATAATTCTTTTGCGTTTCTAAGATTTGTTTCCCATATTGGGTAATGGATATTTGATTGTACTATTACATTTTGGTCGTCTTTTTTGCATTTCTTATAACTATAGTAAATTTTCATTCGAACCTAAAGCAAACCAATCTGTGAGCAGGGCAAAGAAACAGAGTTTTCTGTTATGAAAACAGAGCAATGCAAAATTTCGATTCAGTGGTTAATTAAGGATTTATACATGTTTTTTACACTAAAAGAAATGAAGTTCGATTTTGCAAAAAAAAAGTATAATTTAATGCAAATTAATATAGGACAACTTATAAAATACGTTTTTCTTATATAGTGCAAGTAAACCGTTCGTTATAGTTCTGCGAATTAAAAATGAGACCGTCTATATATCATGAATTTTCATACGCAAATATGATATTAATCATCTGATTAAACCATGCATGATTCGCGTGTCAGACAGAAGTCAAAACTTGGACCATGGTGTAATTAGAAAAAAACTAACTACGATCGGATAAATTCGTATTCGTCACATATCTGACATGTTTCATACTCTGTTGGAAAAAGTTAAACAATATCAAACCGATAACTATTTAAACAAAAAACGGATATAGATCGTTAGAGAAACCACTACAAAAAAGGAGGAGGTTAACGTCATTTTTAAAAGAGGTTAACGTCATTTATAAATGCATATGGCCAATACACTAGACAATAATTCAAAGATCACACAGAAGTTCTCTACACTTAACACACGAATTAACTTCCATGGGCACATAAACCATAATCATAGAACAGAGAAAGCAATTTAGGACAATCATATATGATTAAGCTCTGAGTCGCTGACCTTATTCTCCATTTCTGATTTTGATCAATTTGGCGACCATAACAAGTCCTCTGTGAATCAATGCAATGGCCTATAGACCCTAAATTACCAAGCATTTCAGAAATCCCAAATTTATAGGTCTAATCCAAAATCGCAGTATGAAAGAGATGCCTTACAGAAATCATGGAGCGATGATTCTCTCCCACCAGCAAAACCTCGTTACAGAGAAATCTGCTTCGCTGCGTCAGGGCTCGAATCCTATTAGAGACTGGTTTCAACGAAATCAGAACTCGACAGCGACGAGAAACTTAGATGCAGAAGAATTATTAACGAATCTCACACCAAGCATAAAAAAACAATCAGAGGAATCCAAAAATTTCTAGGTATTAACCAAAATCGCCCTTTTCAAGAGATAGGTAGAAGAAGGAATCATGGAGCACGATTCTCTTCCCATGACAAAAACTCGTCACAGAGATCTCGATTGTAGATCTTCTCCACCTTCGAGCTTGAATCCATACAGAAATTGGAATCGAAGAAGGAGTCGGTAATCTCGTAAAGTTCCGATAATGGAAGAACTCAGATGCAAATCGGATGCTCGGGGTAATTTGTTTTTGCAGTGATTATTTTGTTTAGTGAGTCTTACTTAATTTATCCATAAATATTAGACATTCTGACGCGAAACAAGACACAACTTTTTCGTCGATTTTTTAAGTGACGCCAAAAACCTTGCCATTAAAAAGTTTTAAGTCGGTTTATGAAATGACTTTAATTAATTGACGTTATCCACCGCATTTCTTGTAGTAGTGAACCTCTTCCGAAATACAGTAGTCTTCATGTAAATTCGCGTTGGTCTCACCAATGCATCGAAGGGTCACTGTCTCACAAGCAGCCAATAATGGACACGTGGACAGTTTAAAGCCGACGTGTCAACTGTCAATGTTTGGTGAGGCTGAGTTGGAGAGAATAAACGTAACGGAACGGTCATCATCGCCGTTTTCTTATTTAAACAACAAAACAAAAAAGAAAGGAAAGAGAGAAACGAAAGAAGATCGAGAAACCATAAATAAAAATATAACGATGCCTTCACCAAATGATGATGCTACTTTCTCCAACGTCTCTGTGGAAGAGCACTATAGCTTCTCTCAATCTACTTCTGGTGGACAGGTAATTATATAATAACCTTAAAAAAAAGACAGGTAATTAATAATAATATATGTTTCGATTGTTCATGTAGAGTCTGATGTAATTTTGTTTACGGACTTGGATATTTTGATAGCATTTTATCATGGTGTTTTGGAAAGAAAAAGGTGATATTATGTATCTTATTATATAAAACAATAAAAAAAACTTTAAAATGTAACTTCTGCTCTCGTGTAAATGCAAACGCATTAGTATTTGTATCCAAATTGATATGCAACCCTATATGAAACAAGTTTATAGGCCCTACAGAGCAAATCTCCACGGCAGCTACAGCACTTATCGGGAGGTCGACGACATTAACCGAAGCACTCAAGGCAGCGGCAATCAACGTGGGACACAAGCCGGTGGAAACCACGGACTTGGCTGCCATAAAAGAGGTGGAAGCCAGGGCTACCGGAGGGGAGATAGAAGGCGGTGGAAGTGTAACGGCCGTGGCAAGTGAGGCGGTTGCTCGTAACAAAAGAATGGGCAAAGGGAATGAGAAGAAGACGAATCTCCGCGACGTGATCGCTGAAATTGATGTGAGGGTGAAGAAAGACAGATCAGTGACAAGTGAAGACGCAGAAGCAGTGGTCCAAGCTGAGCTCAACCATTCTCCTTTGAACCATGTTATTCCCGGAGGTATCGCTGAGTCAGTCACTGCTGCCTGTAAACTCAATCGTAGTCCCTCTCTCTGATCACATGTAACGGTCTTTAAATAAGGCTTTTGTTGCTGCTCCTTAGTGTTTTGGAAGTTTATGACACAAAAACTTAAAGATGCGTACAAAGTTTGCTTCACATGCAAAATGATAGAATTTAATTTTTTTTTTTTTTTTTGTAAAATGATAGAATTTAAAAGTTACGAAACCAAGAAACTTTATAAAAAAAAGAGATAAGGAATTTATCTCGTATGTCTTCTTATGATGAATTTATTTCGTATGTCTTATTATGATGATGATGAAATGGGCTGAATCTTTTCTCCCAAATCCTATTTTAATCATGTTAGTGTAAATTTTATTTATTAAAGGAATAAAGTATTATGGAAAGAAAAAAACCCCTCATATTAAGAGAGAAAGAAACCCCGATTTTTCTTAAGAAAGTTGATGAATTATTCATCGCTTTATGAAAATCCCTTTAGCAAAAAATAATAATTTATCATAAACAAATCTTATTTTAAATTTACCACACTACTTTATAACTCTAATTTTATACATACGATGATACGACTATACGAGTATCCTAAGCACAAGCGCGGAGATTTTGAGTTTGTTATTTTGAATCCACTACATATTTTATAGAGGCCGCTTGATTAAAAAAAGTTGTATTGGTAGTGTGTAGTGGTAAAGCTTCTAATTTCTAGATGATGTGTAGTGTAGTGGTAAAGCCTCTAATTTCTAGATGATGTGTAGTTAACCGATCCCAAATCGATTCCAAACCATATTCATTAGGAGTGTTTTTTTTTCCCAAAAGACATGTGATATTGGTGTCAACAACCAAAGAGTGCACTCCAACTTTTATAAAACCGAACTTTACAGCCAAAAATAAATAAACAAAAACGATGAATACGATGATTCCGTCTTTGTGAAAAATGATTATTATAATTACGCTTTTTCATTAAACAAGACAAAAAAAAGAAATTACATGAATAATCCAACCAACAAAAAAAAAACAGAACAAAGCATGATATCCAAATACCTAACTTTCTTTTCAATTTTTCTACAAATCTCACGTCACAGGCAAATTAAATTAAGAACACAAACACTAGAAAACAAAACCATTGTGGAGGAAGACACAAATTGAAGGATCCATCAAAGTTAGTGAATGAAGTAAGTCAACGCCAAAGCCACCATCATTAGAACATACGCTATCCCCTGATCTATCGATGTTCCTGCCATAACCAAAAATCAAAACACAATGTCAAAATCAAATTCTTCAATCCAAAATGTAAAAATTTATTCTTTTTTGTTTTTGTATTAAACGAAAGATTATTTTAACATATTATACCGTCGCTGGTGGGTGCGGGAGCTGGCGAAGAAGACTGCGCTTGAGCAATCGGCAAGAGAATCACGGAGATGAGGACGAAGATGGCGAGAATCTCCGATGGAAATTTCAGGGACGCCATTCTTTTTCTTTCTCTCCGGTGATTATTCCGGCGACGGAATCTCTTCTTTTTTTTTTTCTTGTCGAAATCTCACCAAGAAATCAAGAAAAATGCCGATTGGTGAAAGAACAGAGGAAGCTTAACATTTTGTTAAATAGCAAAAGACATGCCTCAAAGAATGTGGGGTCCACGCGGCTTTGGGACCCACCTAACACACAGATCCTCTCTGTCTTTTTACTAATTTGTTATAATCAAAGAAAAAATATTTGTTGGTTTAACGAGAAAAACGGTTAATTATGTTCTGTTCCAAAGCTGTAGCTGACAAGGATAAAGTAAAAAGAGTATTTCCATTTCCAGCCTGTTTCTGTCAATACTTTCCTGGTTTTGCAATTTTTCTTTACCAGAATATTACTATATTGGTCCTTAAATTTCAATTTTATGACTTGTAAATGACTCGGTATAGAGCTAAACCGAAATAAAACATTCCTTCATCAACAAAGATTCGAATCTGTCATCATCATAATCCAGATCATCCTTCCATTTACACCCTAATCCCAATAGAATTGATTAATATCTGGTTTAACTAAAAAAAAAAAAAAAAGACCGGCCGAGAATTTACTAAAAGACCATTACCACAAAAGATGTTGTCTTGTACGATAACGAACATGTTCACCTTAAACCTCAATTACTAACTTCTACGATTCCAATTCCTTAAACATCAATTCAAGTGATTAAGACTCCTTAAACCTCAATTGAGTTGATTCAATCCATATTCCGTTTCTGCGACTCAGTAGCGTAACTCTCTTCAGCTTTCAAAACCCTTTCTTGTAACTCAAGACATCGGCAGTTTTACAACTCATTCGTTCCCATTGTTTCATCTTCCATCGAATTTACCTTAAAAAAAGATTCCTCTTCTTATAACTATAAGAACTGTGTTTACCTCAAAGACATTGCTGAAATGGTCACAAAGGATATCCAAACATTTCTAATCATGATTCTCAAAAACAAAGTTGTTTCTAAATTGAGAGACTAAACATTTGTACATAGACAACATGGTTAACCATCTCAAAAACGTTCATCACATCTAGCACATTTTACATTTATTATATTCCTCCAAAGCCAATGTTGACATGGCGCAATTCTGGCCTAGGGCACATATATTTCTTTGTGTTTGAGTGGATATCAAACGAAAGAAATAATTATATATAAGGAATCGGAACGCATGTTAATATAGAAATTTGGAATCATATAATGCTACCGTCAAGTACATTGATAAGACAAGTTGTAGAGATTCTTGGCATTACTCTACAGACGCAAACTGAATCGAAGCAGTCACCAAAACGCAATGACCCTTGGATCAAAGCATAGTTAGGAAACTGATGAGAGATGATAGCAAACTTTCTCCAAGTGCATATGCGTATCAATCTCAAAAAGATATATAAATAGATTTGATATTTGAATTTTTTTAAGAGAAAAGATAATAGAGACTCAAACTCAGCCCCAAAACTGAGGGGCCTTGGCTCTTAACAATTCCAGTTTTGAGCAGCCAGATTGACAATTGTGGTTTCGTCGACATCCAAGATCTTGACGCGGTTAGGACGCATGTCGCGAAAGGAGCTAGCAGGGACACAAAGAGGCTCAGACTTAGTGAGGAAAATGACGAGATCTCCAATGTCTTGAGTGTAAACAGCGTTTCCTTCTTCTTCATCTAGCTTGAACACCATTAAAGCTTCTGTTTCCATTCTCTCAATACCATGGATGGTGTTGGCAACAGTCTTCTTGTACCACTTAACCATGAAAGTTTCATTGGTGGTTCTTGACTCCACTAAGTGTTCGCTCACGTAGCACGAATCCAGGAGCTCCCGTTTTGTCTCCGTCAGCTTAGGAATGTTTTTGAAGCGCAACCTCTGAAAATTGTGATTGTTCTTGTGTTTGCAACTGAGATCCCATGATCCCATAAGGTGGCCTCCAGATCCGAGAATGCGAAACATGTCGTCTTTCTTGGAAAACATGACACTGGAGGAGAAGAAACTAGGGTTTGGGATTCTCATGTTGATCCACTCGGAGTCACTTCTAGCAGGGTATCTGCAAAAGCTGAGCTGAGGTCCAAAGAACTTGACAGCCACAACACAGTCCAGATCCTCTGGAGAAGATGAGGACATTGCCACGTTGGTGACCATTTGGGTTTGACAAAGAGGCAGAGTTACAACAGGAGGCAACTCAATGCTTTTCAGATCACGGCCCTTGAGCGATGGAGCAGGGTTTTCTCGGAGACGCACCACGCCCTTATGCATAGCAGCCGTCCATCCATTGGACGATCCTATCATTCCCATTCTCTCAACCAAGTCCATTGGCATCTTCCTATCAAAAGGACTGAAGTCACCCTCCCTCCTAGTCACGACTGTTACGAGATTTGGTCTACAAGGATCAGCGCAGACGATGGCATAAGGGAGGGTTTGCGATCCCAAGGAAGAAAATGAGAAGCCATCAGAGTGAAGAGGAGAGGATCTCACCAACACAGGTTTGCGAAAACATAGCTTCGAGGGCTGGTTGAGAAGCAGAGACATGAATAATAACGTTTCTTACCTAAGAGAAAGGAAACCCCTTATTGAAGAATTGGTGTTCTTAGGGAGAGGCGGCCAAGAGGATGGAAAGAGAAAAGAAAAAAAAAAAAAAACCTAATACAAGAATAAGTAATGTTAATAATGAGGTAGAGACTTGGCCACCAAGTTTTCCATCTCAAAAAATTAGTTAGCCTAATCCTCATTAACTTCCCTTTCCATTAGATTTTCCCATTAATTTTCCTACTTTGAACGCACAAATACAAGAAACTTAGAAAACGCATTTTGCTGGATTTGTGTATCATAGAAGCTGATGTTGGTGAATATATCTTTCCATCAGCCTGTTTCTCTTCTACTTTCCCGGTTTTCCAAATTTCCTTTTTCCAAAACCGGTTCCTGATTCAATTAGTGAGTTGTAATAACTCGGTTAAGAGCTAAATCAAATTAACAAGAATTCAAACCTATGTTCTACAAAAAAATAATTTGGTTCTTATATTCTAAACAAATTCTGAATCCACAAAAATAGATATGACTTATTTGTAGTATATTGTTTTTCAAAGACAATGACATAAAATATCAAATTTATAATCCGTTTAACAGTTGATTTCATTAATCTCAATGTTGCATAGTCAATATTCACTTTTTGATTAAAACTGCGCAAGTGATACTTTGGAATTAATAATTCTCACTGGAAATAGTTCAGGAGTTTTATGAGCAAATTCCCACCACTAAAGATTGATTAAAATATCAAACCCAATTATCCTGACTGAACCAAACCTCCTTAGATATAATTTCAATGAACATTTTTCCTAAAACCAACGCTCCATGTTTCAACTCAAAGACAAAACATATTTTTGCTAATAATATAGAAACTCATTCCACCTCGCTTCCACTTACTTCACCAAACCAGAACGCGGTTATTATCTGCTAGGATCGTAGATTTGACCAGAGAACAAAACGGTTCCGGTTGTGTCTTCTCTAATCAAGAAAAGAAATGGATGATCAGCCACAAAATCTATCCTCTTGGGAGGAGGCTTGCAACCAAGCGCGCCTCCACTAAAACATAAAAAAGTGACAGCCGCAGCTTCAGCGCCTTGTTCATCAATCTCGACACAAGCTTTATGGTACATTACTTTAACCTCTCCCTCCAAAGCCCTTGAAGCCTCAAACTCGAAAGAGAAGTTAAACTTTGGAATTCTGAAATCGCCAACTTCAACTCTGTATTTGGGAATATGACGATCCAAGAATCCAGGAGTTGATGTCATTTCCTCAAGAAGATTGTCCAAACCATCTTTCTTGTCCGGAAGATAGAAATACATTGAGAATTTCCGGTCGGCATCGTCATGAAGCCTTGTCGGTATGGTAGTCCAAGGACCTTGAAACCGTTGTAAGCTGTAATGTATTGTCTTTCGTAGCTTCTCATGAAAGGAACACGTACTTGTTTGCCGTTTAGAAGGTGAAACACATCTTCTTTCGTCAGAGACTTTTTGAATTCGTCTTTCCAGGCTCCTTTGAAGTACAATGCGTTTCCATAAACCTTTTTGGTTGAAGGATTAACGGATCCAGGAGGAAGAAGATCTCTGATGAGACCATTGGTGTGATCTGAAGCCCATTTATTCAGCTCTATACGCACTTCCTCAGCCTTCAAAACAATGAAGGAGCAGTAAATTTCAATTAGTTAATCACATAGATTTCAGATTGGGGCTTCTCAAAACATAGTTTCTTTTAACAAAGTATAAGATGATCCTTAAATGGTTTTAGGGTTAAATAGCAAAGAACAAACGATGTTATAAGATGGTTTTTCTTTGCAGTTTATATTAAGAATCTGAAAACCCTAAAAACTGTCGTAAATCATTATAAATAAGAATACTAAGTAAGTAGAACAAGATGTATAACTATATGACCATGTAAACTTTCATATATAGTGAATACCACGTCATCTATCTAGAGAGTGAATTTACCTTGGATATGAAATCAACTTGAGTGAAAGTAGCCTTGAAGATATTCACAACGAGATCCTTCAACGAAATATCAACCGGGAGTGATTGCTCGACCCAAACGCCGTTAACCGCCGAGATTTTGGGGCCACCGCTGGCACTTCCGTCAGCAAAAACGACGGTAGCGATCTCGCTGTAGACGGCGTTAAGCTTGTCGGAGCCGAAGCCGTTTTCGGCAGCCATCATTGTGAGCGCAGCGCTGATTGACGCCGGAGAGAAGACAAAGTTAGAGTGACGTGCTTCGGAAGCAATTACTTTACGCGTAAGATCCAAAGCGGCGGCGTTTTGCTTCTTCATCGCCTTTTGCAACTCCTCTTTTGAGAGAGAGGGACTTGCGATTACTTGTGATTCGCTGAGTTTTTGCTTTTTCTTGCTTATTCGATCCATCTTTGAGAGAGAGGCATCTGCTGTGTCTGAAGCTCTGCTAAGCTTTTGTTTTGTCTTTTCTGAATCCATCTTTTCACGTTTTTGTTTATTTCATTGTGAGCACATATATACAAGATCAAAATACAACTAGGGTTTTGGGATCTTTTGGCGTATTGTCGGTTTAGAACGAAAAAGATAGTAATGGACTAATGGGCTAAGAGTCTAAGAACAATAAATATTTTAATTACAGAAGTTAGAATTTTTAACTTAATTTCTGTAAGATTTCTTATATTTATGATAAAAAAAAATTGCTCTCTTAAAAGTTAAAAGATTATTTGCTTGCACACATGAAAATTAATTTACAGAAAATTAATTATTTGATTTCCTGGGTGCTAGATTATTTGGTTGCACCCATGAAAATTAAATTACAGAAAATTAGTTATTTGATTTCCTGGATGCACACGTTTGTTTATATCAATGGTTCTCAAGTTACTCGTTAACGAGACAAAAAAAAAAACAGATTTAATTCACAGATGTTTATTTTTCACATTTGAAATCATAAAATTTTATCAAATACTTTATACGCATTAATTAAATCGTAAATGTTATACAATCAAATTCCAAGTTAGTGAAACTTCTGAAAGCTCATAATTTTTTTTTTGTTTTTTCTTTTCTTAAAAACATCACGATGTCATCAAGTGCAAGACCCAAATCGACAACTAAACACACCAATCTCGGCTCTAATTTAGCAAAAATGTAACTTTACCTAACCAAAATCTATAAAAACCTAAGCAGAAGCAGACTTTAAAGGATCAAAAATCTGACCAACAAACAAAACGGTTCCAGTTTTTTCTTCTCTAATCAGAAAAAGAAATAGATGATCAGCCACAAAATCTATCATCGTACGGTGGCATGTACGATATCCTTCAAAGTATCTCAAAACAGTAACAGCCGCAGCTTCTGCACCATCCTCATCGATCTCGACCAAAGCTTTATGATACAGTTTGACCTCATCCAGATTACATTCTTTGAAAGAATCTGAAGCCTCAAACCCGAACTCGATTTTAAACTTTGGGATTCTGAATTCACCAACTTGGACTTCTTCGCTTGGAATGTGACTATCCAAGAATATAGGAGTAGATGCCATTCTCTTCACCAGATTATTCAACCCATCCTTGGCGTTAGGGAGATAGAAATACATTGAGAACTGGCGGTTGATATACCGGTTTGTCGAAATGGGAGCATAAGGACCTTGAAACTGTCGTAGTCCTCTACGTATTGCTTCCTACGGCTGGCTCATGAAGGGCACAGAGACTGATGTGCCATTGAGAAGGTGAAACTCTTTGTCTATCGTCAAAGACTTGTTGAATTTGTGTTCCTACGCTCCTTTGAAATACAATGCGTTTCCATAAATCCATATGGTATCAGCTGTGACGGATCCAGGAGGAAGAATCTCTCTTTGATGAGATCATTGGTGTTGCGTGAAGCCCAAGCATTCACCTCCTTGCGCACTTGTTCACTCTGTATCCATGACATAAAGCTAATTTGATAAGAATTTGTATATATGGATTACTTACAGCTTCACACTCTTAACCTAATATAATCTAAAGAGTATATGTATATATCGATGAAGTTATAGACACTAACCTTGGATGGGAAATCAACTAGAGAAAAAGTAGCCTTGAAGAAATTCTCAAGGAGATCCTTTGACGAGGGATTAATTAAAAGGTAGCGATTGCTCCATCCACACTCCACTGACGGCTAAGATCTTAGGGCCACCGCTTCCGTCGGCGAGAACGACTGTAGTCTGTAGCCACCTCGCGGAAAACAGCGTTGAGCTCGTCGATTGAGGAAGAGCCTAGGAAGGAGAAGATGAAGGATTTTAGTGTTTCATTTTCGGTGGTTGCGGCGACCATGGTGAGTACGGCGTTGATTGATGCCGGAGAGAAGACGAAGTTTGAGTTTGTGGCTACGGCGGAGATTACTTTCTCCGCAAGGAACATAGCGTGGTCGTTTTGCTTCTTCATCGCTTTGACCACATCAACCTTAGCGACGTCGTTCTCCTTATTCATCGCCTTGACCACATCAACCTTTTGCTTTTTCGTCTTCTTCTTCTTCTTCTTCTTCTCTAGTTCCATCTTCGAGAGAGAGGGACTTGCGGTTTCTGTTGCGCTAAGCTTTTGTTTCTTCGCTTTTGGATCCATCGTTTAATTTTTCTTTGTGAACAGCATATACCCACCGTATACATGTGTGCATATAGAGAGGATAGAAGATAGAAGATGATCATGATAGAACTAGGGTTTGGTGTATCAGCCCATTATTAATTATTAAGAAAAATAAAATTGTAAGATCATAAAATAATATATTACCTTTATGAAGCTACCTTAAAAATTCTTCCTTTATGTTTTAGCAATTTCCTAAGACTTTAAATCAATAGTAATCCAAAAAATATAATTATTGTTAATAAAAATGCATCATAAACCTATAACATTTATCTTCTCAATGGAACCTAGCTCAGTCATTGTGCCATTCATGAGCATGAGCAGCAGCTATCATAAAAATCTCTACGTTGAAACCTCAGTCTCTGTCTTTCGTCTCATATTTTTCGAATTTTTCTTCCCAAGTTCCCTTGACGTACAATGCGTTTCCGTAAACCTGATTCGTTATGCTTTCAACCGATCCAGGAGGAAGAATATGCTTGATGAGACCATTGGTATAATCTGAAGCCCATTGATTCAGCTCTATACGCACTTGTTCAGCCTTCAAAACAATACAAAAACATGTCAGTGTAATAATAAAACCTGGTTAAGTTATAAAACTAGGTTAGAAATCTGAAGAACGAAGTTAAATCACCTCGGATCTGAAATCAACAAGAGTGTAAGTAGCCTTGAAGTCATTCACAAAGAGATCCTTCAACAACTGATCAACAGGGAGTGATTCTCCACCCAAACGCCGTGATCTTGGGGTCACCTTTCTTGCTACCGTCAGCGAAAACGACGGTAGCTATCTCACTGGAGAGAGCCTTACGTTCTTCCGATGCTGACCTGGCACTGGCTGCCTCCGCCATCGTGACAGCGGCGTTGATTGACGCTGGAGAGAAGACTGAAGTTAGAGTGACGTGCTTCGGAAGCTATTACTTTACCAGTGAGGAACCTGAAAGTGCATATATGTGGCTAGATCTATGCGTTGAAGTGAATAATGAATATGTAGAGCATAAATAAAGAACACATAGAGTTTTTTAACAAGGTTCGTTTCCTACATCCCCGAGACCTAGCACACTATATCAAATTGTTTTATTAGATGTTGTGTTTTCAGAAGTCTCCATCTAATAAAAAGAAAAATAAGGTAATGGTTGGATCTATCCTCGATGCATTTTCAAATCACAAATTTATTGGAAATATTTTAAATAGTGGGATTTAGGTTATTTCATGTGATTTGGAGTGGTTTGGTGAGTTTCCTTGTTAAAAACATGATAATACAATGATATAATCTAGTGGTTCTAATTTAAATTCTCAAATGTACATTGTATAACATAATGTAATGTTTTCAGTTGATATTGTTAGTAAGGAAATTCATCCCTTACTAGACCAATGCCCGCGCATACGCGCGGGTTTTTCTGTTGTTATAACTTTTAAAAACACTATAAAATATTTATACATTTATAAATAATATTTTTATATGATATGTAATATTATAAATTCTAACACAACAAAACTCGTGTTTTAGTTCCAACTTACTTAGTTAGCGACTGAATTTTAAATATATATGTTTGCATCATACCACCCATTTTATGCATAACTCTCTATGTTTATTCACGACCAAATGAAATGAATTCTGATTCCCCACATTTAGTTAACACAATGTTAATGTGTCTAAATCCGGAAAGAAAGGAATGTTCATGTTTCATCTTAAAAGAAAGGAATATAAAAGAGACGATTCAGAGTTAGAGATTGATATTATGATTACGGAGGATTAAACGATAGAAATAGCGGAATTTGTAAAGACGGCTTATATATAACTTCACGTCCAATAAATTCGTAATTTATTAACTTTTAAACTGTAGAGGAAAATGAAAGGTCAAAAAAAAAAAAAACTTACTGCCACATGTCAAAAATATGGAGAGAGTTGGCCCCTTTTCATATATATGATTGATTAATCTTCGGTTTTCAACTAAACCGGCCTAAAATAAAACTATTACCACAAAATAAATAGATGTTAATTTATATGAATATACCAAAACGGTATACGTTCACCATGACCATGAGGCTTACTTCCCTAAGTCATGCATGGAGATGGAGGCCGTAAGTCCGTAACAAATGGAACTTCCCTGTTGTTATATATTAGAGGTTAAACGAGAGAAACGGTTAAGTATGCTCTGTTCCAAAGCTGTGTCTGAGAAGGATAAATCAAAAGAGTATCTCTCAATACTTTCCTGGTTTTGCAATTTTCATTTACCAGAATATTACTATACCGGTCCTTACACTTCAGTCTATAGCTTGTAATAACTCGATATAAAGCTAAACCTAATTAAACATATCTTTATCAACAGAGATCTGAAATCTTATGTTTCAGTCATCATCATCATCATATTTCTTTTAATCACCCTCTGGATATCTTGACATAAGAAATTGTCGAATATGCGAGTGCCCCTAAGAATCACTCAAGAACGTAAATCAAGAAAACGGTTTATAGGCTAAGGTGATAATTAACTATAAACACATCCAAACTCTCGCTAGGTTTCATCAGTTCATGTGAAATGGTGAAATTGTGGCATATAAAATATTTCTTTGTGCATGAATAAGCCACGAAGGTAACATCGCAATTTCTAAAATTTACCCGTTTGTTATTTACTTTGCCTCAAGTAAATCCCTTGTTCTACTTTCTTGCTCTGGAATCAACAAGGCCTATGGCTAAATTGAAGCTAACCAATAGCCATTGTGCTTTGCAGATCCTGAGCCTGAGGGTCAGCTCAGGATCGTGCTCTTCTAAAAGAGCTCAAGGCAAGATACTTCAATGGTTGATACAATCACACAGCTGGTCTAAGTGTTGATCTTACAGAACCTAACCATAAGAGAACATTTGATGTGAACCACTCTCGCCTAAGCGTTCTGTTTCTCAAGGACATTCAGGTAATCTCAAATCTTCAGTCTCTTAATTATTGAGAAGAGATTATAAGGAATGGAACACATGTGAATATAGCAATTTGGAGATAACGTATATTGGACAAGTTGACATTACTCTAGACGCAAACTGAATCGAAACAGTCACCACAAGGCAATGACCCTTGGATCAAAGCATAGTTAGGAGACTAATGAGATATGATAGCAAAGTTTCTCCAAGTACATATGCGTATCAATCTCACCGAAAACACAAGACTCAGTAGACTCAAAACAACTCAATTTCAGACTTGTCAATTCCAGTTTTGAGCAGCCAAATGTACAACTGTGGTTTCGTCGACATCCAAGATCTTGACGCTGTTAGGACGCATGTGGGAAAGGAGCTAGCAGGGACACAAAGAGGCTCAGACTTGGTGAGGAAAATGACGAGATCTCCAATGTCTTGAGTGTAGACAGCGTTTCCTTTCCCGTCTAGCTTGAACACCATTAAAGCTTCTGTTTCCAGTCTCTCAATACCCTGTATGGTCTTGGCAACGGTCTTCTTGTACCACTTAACCATGAAAGTTTCACCGGTGGTTGTTGACTCCACCAAGTGTTCACTCGTGTGGCACGAATCCAGAAGCTCCCGTTTGGTCTTTGACAGCTTGGGAATTTTTCAAGCGCAACCTCTTAAACATGTTAATGGGATTGCGAACATATTGATCCAATGATCGTGTACATGATCCAACTGAGATCCCATGATCCAATAAGGTGGCCTCCAGATCCGACAATTTGAAACATGTCGTCTTTCTTGGAAAACATGACCCGGGAGGAGAAGAAACTAGGGTTTCGATTCTCAAGTTGATCCACTCGGAGTCACTTCTACCAGGGTATCTGCAAAAGCTGAGCTGAGGTCCAAAGAACTTGACAGCCACAACACAGTCTATATCCTCTGGAGAAGATGAGGACATTGCCACGTTGGTGACCATTTGGGTTTGACAAAGAGGCAGAGTTACAATAGGAGGCAACTTAATGCTTTTCAAATCACGACCCCTGAGCGATGGAGCCGGGTATTCTCGAGACGTACCACGCCCTTATTCATTTTAGCTATCCATCCATTGGATGTTCCTATCATTCCCATGCTCTCAACCAAGTCCATAGGCATCTTCCTCTCAGAAGGACTTAAGTCACCATCCCTGTTACTCACGACTGTTACGAGATTTGGTCTACAAGGATCAGCGCAGATGATGGCATAAGGAAGGGTTTGCGGCGCCAAGGAAGAAGATGAGAAGCCATCAGAGTGAAGAGGAGAGGATCTTACCAGCACAGGTTTCCGAAAACATAGCTTTGAGGGCTGGTTGAGAAGCAGAGACATGAGTAATAACGTTTCTTAGCTAAATGAAAGGAAACCCCTTATTGAAGAATTGGTGTTCTTAGGGAGAGGCGGCCAAGAGGATGGAAAGAGAAAATAAGAAAAAGAAAAAAAAAAAACCCTAATTCAAGACTGGAGAGGGACTTGGTCACCAAGTTTTCCAACCTGCCTTTTCCATTAATTTTCCGACTTTGAACGCACAAATACAAAATACTTGGAAAACGCATTTTGCTGGTAAAATATATATTTCAGTATTTCCATCAGCAGTTATCAAGATTATTGATCAAATAATAGGAGTGTTTCCACCCTGTTCATACTAGTGAGTTGTAATAACTCAGTTTAGAGCTCCACCCTGTTCATAATAGGAGTGTTTCCACCCTGTTCATACTAGGAGTATGTTCTAGAAAAAATCTAACTCCACATAGATATTTCTATGACTTATATGTAGTATAATTTTGTTTTTAAAGACAAAATGTTCTTGGTAAGATTTTGTTTTTTAAGGTATAGAGTTTAATGGTTCTAATTAAAATTTTTATAAGTACATCAAAGTGTTTATAACATAGTGAAAAATATGTCGTATAAAATTTCAAAATAGTTATATATACTTTCTGATTAAAAAATACAAATTCAGAAATCATTTATGATATCAAGTTTTTAAAACTGAAGGGTAAGCTTCAAACAAATGGAATCCTCATGCGTTTTTAAAGTGGTATTTTTGGAAGCAGCCAGGGAAGCGAGATTCCATAAGATTCTGATTCTGATTCCGAAGTGTCCCAGTCCTCCTCCCACGAAGCTTCCATGCGGTATATATACCACAGGTCCATAGCGAACAACATGTTCACCATAGCGAATCCAGAATTTTTTTTAACCGGGTTCAAATAAATGTAAAATAAATTATTTTCATATATTATCCTACAAAAAAATATTCTCATATATTATCCTACAAGATGAACAAAATTTGGATGGTAAGATGAAGAGAGACAATCACGTTTGATTTTAGGGTTAACAAAGAAGGAGATTTTTTTTTTAATTAACAAGCAAAACATTTATATTTTAGTAATTTAATAATAATGTTGGGTCTTTGTATATATGTTAATATGAAAGCCCAATAGTAAAATATAGGTTAATGTCTAAAAATTTCTTATGGGTTCAGAATAAATAAAGTAAAGTTAGCAGAAATAAAAACTTATGGGTTCAATTACATTTTTTAAGTGGTGTCAATATCATAAATACATATAAACTATAGAAGAATTTTTAGAATCTTACGGTGTCAGTTGACACCGTATACGTTAACGTAGCTTCGCCACTGTTCACCATGACGCTTATTTCCCTAAGTCATGGAGATGGAGGCTTTGAAAATTGGAACTTCCTGTTGTTATAGATTCAAAACTTTGCAATTCCTCGACACATTTCTTCAAATCATCCTCGAAATCTCTATCCGTCATATACAGTCCTATGCCCTTAATTACATTTTAACGTTAGTTACCTTCCGCGGTCAAATTTGCTGGACAGGACTTTATCTTGATGCCCTTAATCTCCGGTTCTCTGAATCACTAGTAATTACCCGTTTCCTCTTACGTGCTTCACAAGCTTCCACATCTTCATAGATCTCTCCGTGTCCCTACCATCAGTTTCTTTCTCGCTTCTCTCCTCTGTTTGACTATCAGATAAATCAACTTCATCAGTCGATTTGCCATCATATTTACTCGTCTCCGTGAAGACACATTATCTCTGTTTCTCCCCACCATATAGTCTTTAATCGGCGTGGTAATATAAGGCGGCCCGACATGGAAAAAACCAGAAAAAGCAAAAGCACAAGCGGATTAATATGAACTAGGTTTGAAGTTCCGCGCAAGTGCGGAGTTGTTTGCGATAGTTTTTCTGTTTAGTTTTATTTATACTATGTGATTTAAATTATGATGGTTTTGTGTTAACTTTCATGTTTTTTTTTATGTTCTAAGTTAACTCAATCACTATCACTAAAAAAAATATGAACAATTTGTTTTTTCTTTTCTTTTATTAGGATGTTACACCCCCACTTTATCTGGAGTTTTCTATCTCTAAAAATTTAACCTGTTATAAATATTATGTTTGTTCAATGGGAAATTGCAATGAATATACATCAATACTTCTGAAATTAAATGGCTGTTTCTGACAACTTTATTTAACACTGTTCATATGGTTGAAGACACTAAAACCCCTACATAAATCTTTCTTACAAATATTACATCATTTTTCTAATAAGGGTGTAAATGGTAACTGCGGAAAGTTGTTGAATGCGGAATCTGGTATTTTGTTGCTGAATACAAATATCCATCTCTCAATGATAAATGCGGAATGTTGCTGAATGCGGAATGGTAACTGCTGAATGTTGCTGAATGCGGAATAACTTTTAAAATAAAAAATAAAAAAATTCATTTGAAAATCTGTCCTATAATATATTTAAACTTGAAATTTTAAATTAAATATTGCTATTAAATGTAAATACATATGTTTATCCTTATGAAATCTAAACATAATTTATCTTCACAAAACAATAATATTGTATTACAACTAAAACATTTACTTATAAATAAATGTATGAGTGATTTGGTTTTATATTCTATTTTTTTTTTCTAATTTGAAAATAACTCATATTTTCAAAATTTTAAAACCTAGTGTTTTATTTTATGTCATTTATTTAAGATAAACATATACATTTCACAAAATTATTTAGTCCAGTTTTGAAAAAAAAATTGTGTTGCCATTTTTTTCTAACCAAAGTTTTTTTGTCCATTTTAGAAAATTTATTTTTAGAATATATAGAATTTAAGAAATCATAATAATCTATTAAACACCAAAATTAAAAAAAATATATATATATATATATATAATATTTTTGATATTAGTAATTCTTTAATGAAATTCATCCCATAATAATTGTGTTTATTTGTTGTTGTTATCTATTTTTTAATTATTGAAGAAGAAAAAAAAATCAGCAGCTTTTGTCATTTTCTCCATTCAGCAACTTTTGTCCTTTTCTCCATTAGTAACTGGTGTAGCATTCAACTAATTCCGCTCAATTCATCTCAATTCTGCAATTCCACAAACACCAGTTAGAGCCTAAGTTATTAGTTACTTTGCTAACAAAAAAATAAATCACTTCGCTAACAAATATCACGTTATTTGTTAACAAATATCACATTATCTTGTTAACAAAGATTATGTTACCTTTGTTAACAAAGATCATGACAAATTATTTACATTTTGTTGTTAGTGAATTTGTTAGCAAGTAATGATTTGAATGTTAGCATGTAATGGTTTGAATGTTAGCATGTAATGATTCGAATGTTAACATGATTTCACTAGTTTTGTTAATAAGTAATGTTAGCAAGTAATTATTTAGATGTTAGCAGGTAATGGTTTAAATGTTATATTATTTGTTAGTATTTGTTAACATGAAATCTTATAATCTGTTACATGATATCACTTCTTTGTTTTATTCTATAGGGGTAAATATGTATGATTTTCATGTATGTATTTATATTGATCTAATTAATAATTATTATAGCTATATATATTTAATTGTCAGATTATTTATATATATATTGACTAAATTTATCCTAAAAAACCTTGTTTAGTTACTTCTATTAGACTATAAATATGCATATGCATTTGACTTAATGTTAAGATTTGTAAACATAATGAAAATATTGCATTTGCACCCTAATCAAGATGAAAAAAATAATATGTATATTTTTTACATATCTACTTTGTTGTGGTAGCATGTGAGCCTCATGACCACTGATTAATTTCTGTTATGTTAGTTTTGTAAATATAAATTATATTTTTGAAACAAATATATCACAATACTTCAAATTTTCATATTTTCACTGCAATTAAATTTATATATAAAAACTCGACTTCTATTTGTTTAAAAAAAATAAACTATAACTCTAATTTCTCATTTGATTTCTATTATCTTAATCAATTTATATTCAACTTTTAACATATAAAAATATTATAATATTTTTAAATAGAATAAATCCTTTGAATAAAAAGATAAGTATATAATATTTCAAGTTAAAACTTTCTTTACTTCATCTCAATTTTTACATTTAACATCAAATTATCATATACTTTATATTAATTAATTAGTTTATTTGTGTATTCTTTTTAGTTTTATTTATATTTAAAATATGAATAACTGTAAGAAAATATAAATAGTCATGTATTTAATTAAATACAATTTAATGTTTTTGTGCTGATGTGGATACTCTAGATGGAAATAGAACTCCCTAATTATATATAAGATAACCAATCTATCATTCAAGTTTTATTCACTAATGTCAGCTACTTATATTTTTTAGAGAAATTGCACTAGATAACATATAATAATCCCATATTTAACTAATTGACATATGGGGTTACAGGGTGGAGACAACGAAAATATTTTGCCACCAATCTTACCAAAAATAACCCCACGCGATTTTCAATCATAAATCCAGATACTGATATTTTGTAATAAATACTGAGTAATAGAGAAATTTGCTGAGATGACCCAAATACGAGTCGTATTTAGCTAAGAGGGAAAAGATACTTTTTCGTACATGCAAGTTTTCAATAATACATTTATGCCCTTTTCTCTTTCCATCTTTATTCTTTCTTGTTTATTCGTTTATTCCCCAGATTTCTCTCTCTGTTTCTCTCTCTCCCTCCGTCTCTCTCTTCTCTCCCGATTTTGATTTGAGATTTGTTCATCAACTAAAAAAAATCTTAGTTGATATTCCTCTTTTATTCGATTGCTTATTCACTATGAACCAGGGCGATGGTGATGATGACGACGGCAGCGACAATGCGGCGATGACGATGCGGCAACAACGATGCGCCAACGATAACACGGCGACAACGATGCGACAACGACGCAGTAACAACGACAATGATGTCGACGACGACAGCAGCGACAAAGACACATTCATCTTCACTTACAAGACGGAAGAGATAATTCCCCAATCAAGTTCTGATGTAAGATCGGGATCTGAGGACACAAGTGAAAGGTTATAATTTCGTTTTAGAATATCATTTGTTTTAGGATATTATTTGTGTTAACGTCATACAATATTATTTGTATGTACTATATTTTTTAATAACCAGTTATCTTTATTTATAACGCGCTAAATAAATTTGTTATCACTGTTATCTTTATTTGTACCTTGTAAACAAATTGTAACACAATAACATTTTGTATGATAACTTTGTTTGTTATTTGTATAATATGTTTATTATCCTGTAATATATAACGTTAAATGTAAATATAAATTGTTACATATGTTACAATAATTGTTAACTTGTTTCTAAAATATGTAACTTGTTAATATAATATATATATATATATATATATATCTTTGGTTCACTTGTTGTTCATTACATATCTTTTTCAGATAATTTTAAAATTGTTTAGTTAATAGTTATCTTTTGTTTGTAGTGCGATAAACAAAACTGTAACACAATAAATTTTTATATGATTATTGTTGTTATTCATCTAACATGTTTAATATCGCGTAAAATATAAAGTTAAACAAAAATTTATTTAAATACACGTGATAAAATAATTGTTAGCATGTTCCAAAAATATGTAACTCGTTTATTATCGATAAATAAATTTCACAATTGTTTGACCTTTGTTTCATCATTATTTGAGAGAGAGAGGGAGAGGGAGAAGAGAGAGGGAGGAGAGAGAGGGAGAGAGGGAGAGAGAGGTGTGTGAGAGAGCTTTTACAGAATGAGAGCCCCACAAGTAATCATTAATTTGAGGGGCTTTTTGTCTTTAAACAGACAATTTGTATATACGTATTTAATACTTCCTTCTTACCTAAATACGATCAGTTTCTTTCCCTCTTACTTTATTCACTCATGACATAACCCATTTCTATTTCTCTTGCTTCAACCATATCCATAATCTTCTTCATCAAACCTAATTGGTTATTCAAATATTTACATTGGTTAATTAACAAATTATATATTCTCATAGCTTGATACTTATGAATTGTATAATATATGGTTGTCTCTAAGCTTATATGGTCGATATATAAGTATAGCGCAATGTTTTAAGGGTATACAAATGTCTATGGTTTGATATATATTAATATAATTGTCTACATATATATGTGACAATGTATTTACATGTTACTATCTACATATGGATTTATATTTATTTATATAGCTGTCTATAGTTTTATATGGTTTTCCATATATTTTTATAAATTTATATAAAAATGTATTTACTATTTATTTGTCAATATATATTTATGATTTGCTATATTATAATTTGGTTATCTATATATATAAGTGTTTTTAGTTATATATATAGTATATGATTTAATTTTTTTATGGTTATCTATATTTTTATGTGGTTGTATATATATTTTATAATGTAATATGTTCCGTTGTCAATATAAACTTAATAGTTCACACTTTTAAAAATGGAGATGGTGATAAAAAGAAATATTCATTAAGAATTACATTTATTACACTAAGAGTCACATCTATTAATTCTATCCGAATTGTTTTCCCCACGCGCACAATGCATACGTGCGATATAGCACAACCCACCACAACTTTTATACGGGTATCCTTATACCTTTTACCTCTAACGTGTTTTCAATATGTTAATTATTTAATTATATCATAAAAATATGTTAGTTACCAAATTGACTCTTTTATTATCCTTACCTGAAATTTAATGATAAGCTAATCCATTCCTACTCAGAGTATCTTTGTACACTTCACAAGATTCGGTCTTGTTTTGTCCGTATCGGCGACTTGATCCTAGCTTCACCTTATCATTTAATGATTCTACAATTCCAACTCTCCATAAATTAATGAGTGAATTTGGTAACCAGTCTTATTTGAGCTTTTATTTAGGTGAGCAGCATTTCTTAAAATGGCTATTAGTATTCAGACAAAGGGTACCGGCAAAAATCACATAGCAAAACGCGTTGAGCAAAATGAATTAATTGTGCGCGTGGTGATCTACTGGGGCAGGTAATTTGAGTGAAGTTAATGTAGCCACCTTAAGTACGCACACGTATAATTGTTATCAACTGGCTTCGAAATGACTGCTAGCGATGAATTTATTGCGGTAGAGGAGCCAGTTATTGAATGCACTTACTGTTGTGGGCGGGAATGTGATTGTTGGAGCGCTACACTAGAGTTTGGTTTCGCCTTTAAATAGCAGACCACAAGTACCCATTTCATAGCAGCCACCTGAAACAAGTAAAAACAGAGCAGTTAAAACAAAGTACAATCCGATATATCAGAGCATACTTCCAAAGTTGCCGTAAAAGGTATGTGCAGTGAAGGAACTTGTCCATTATTTTGTAATATATTTTCATCCACCATTAAAGCAGTACTAATACTCTTACTTCTTGCGTGTCTACAGGGTGACAATATGGTGTTCTTATGGGAACTTATAAGTGACCTCGTCAGGGTGGAGCAGGGTTGGTGGACCAAAGATCCAACTGAAGTATGGCGGTTCTTCGTGGCATCAGACCGGCTTAGCAAAGAAATGAAGATAAAAGAAGGCGAAACACTGGCGGCTACGAAAGAGAAGGTGCGGAATGAGCTCCACATCGACTCCGAATCGAGGACATCAAGCTCACGTACCAGATGCCGGAGTGGATGGACGTCGACGGCAGTATCAAACCAGTGCCGATTCACATCCGCACCAACGACGACCTGGACATGTTTCTGGCTATGAGGGTGGATCTACGTGAACTGAAGCTTTTTGTCGGCCCGATGGCGAAAGGAATGTCCCTGGACGTAGAAGACTTTCGGGTCGTGAAACCGACCCACGGTTTTGCTTCTGCTGAAACGGTTAGGGGAAGCGAATATGATCGGGAAAAAGTCGTAGCAGATAACATCGGTGCGGGCGACATCGTCCTTCTGTCACAGAAGACACCAGATGTTGGCGAGAGTAGCAAGACGCGTGAGCCATCCATCAAGTCATCTGGACCTGTAGATGAACTGTTGGATCTTCATGTGAAAATAAACTCCGGTAACTCCGTCCATGGATTGTCCGCCAGTGTGTTTCCAGACAGCTCGCCTTCTGACGAAGAAGCAGCAAGCGATAGTGTAACTCATTTGACTAAGGACATGTTCCCCATGTTTGAAGGTGCGGCGACTGAGCGCAAACCGGTGGGGGCGAACCTGGATAGCCTGAGCGATGACAAGACGAAGGGCAAAGGTCCCGCGCTATCTGAAGGTATAGATCTATATAATATCAGATAGATATTACGTTATCCCGATTTAAATAGTATTAACGAGTCGGTACACTGCCCCAGGTGCAGGACCTAGTGTTCCGTTGGAAGGGATCCCCGTGTCTATTGGATCTGCTGGTGAACTGTTTGATGGCCTATTCATCAACATTCCGGATAGTACGTTCAGTAGGGATGCAGCTCCGGTGGTAGACGATCCTGAAACCGAGGGTTAGTAACAACATGAAAAACATTTCTATACCCTTACATATGATTATATGAAGTGCTATGAATTGATATGAATGTGTATGAAAAATGGATAGCAAAGTATGTATTTATCTGGATGTGTATGAATAATGTATAGCAACGTATGTAACAAACGTTTATGTGTGTGATGCTGCGCAGGTGTGGACAGGACCGCTAATGTAGTACCCGACGTCTCGTACGAGGGTGACGAGCTATTTGTTGGCCGAGTTTTAAAAAACAAGGAGGACTGCAAGGTCAAGATAGCGGTCCATGCAATTAACAGGAAGTTCAGCTACCGGAATGAGAGTTCTAACGGGGATGTCGTTGTCGTCCGTTGCTTGTCCGACACATGTCCATGGAGGGTGTATGTTGGACGCATGGAGGAGAGTAACTACTTCCAAATCAGGACGGCGGTTCTGGCCCATACCTGTAGTGTTGAGATACGTGGTCAATTCCACTGTCAGGCAACGGCTTCCGTGATATCAGAGATAATGCGTAGTCGTTATGTGGGTGTAGCGCGAGGACCAAATCTTGCTGCAGTCCAGCGAGCCATGCTCGATCATCACAGAGTCCGCGTTTCGTACTGGAAAGCTTGGCGTGCACGTGAGCTAGCCATGGACAGTGCAAAAGGGTCGGCTGCGGCAAGCTACGGGCTCCTGCCAGCATACTTGCACCTACTAAACGTCTCTAACCCAGGAACAATCACAGCAATCGAGACAGAGGTTGACGAGGCAAAGCAAACGCGATTCAAATACTGCTTCGTTGCGTTTGGTGGGAGTGTTCGCGGCTTGGAGTTTATAAGAAAAGTGATGGTGATTGACGGAACCCACCTCCGAGGTAGATATTCCGGATGCCTCCTAACGGCAAGTTCATAAGACGAGAACTTTCAGATATTCCCAATCGCGTTCGCCATTGTAGACAGCGAGAATGATAAGGCGTGGGAGTGGTTCTTTGGGAAGCTGAGACAGATAGTATCAGACGAGGACTCTCTGACGTTCGTATCCGACATGCATTCCTCAATCTATGCGGGATTGTACAAGGTACAAACATTCTTGTTAAGTGTAAACCTATATGCTTCTGTATCTATGAAACTGTGAAGCACGTTAACGTTTGTTATGCGGGTTTATGTATTCCGGTAGATATACATTATAGTCTATACGGTGTTAGAAGTTCTGTTAGATTGGCTAACTCTATCGGCAACTATTAGGGCATTGTTCTTTTGGTAGATGTATCCAAGGTTAAGCCACGGTGCGTGCATTGTCCATCTGCAGAGGAATGTGGCGGCTAAGTTTAAGCTGAGGGTGCTGGAACCAATGATTTCGAAAGCAGCTAGGGCGTACAGGAAATCAGCTTTCCATGACGCCTTCACGGAGATTGAGCTCCTCTCCCCTGCCTGCGCAGAGTACTTGAGATCCATTGGGTTTCATCGCTGGATTCGTTCTCACTGCGACGGTGACCGCTACAATATCATGACTAGCAACGTGGTAGAGTCACACAACGCGGTCCTAAAAGAAGCCCGCGAGTTACCGATCGTCTCAACACTCGAGTACATACGAAGCACTTTGATGGTTTGGTTTACTAAGCGCAGGGATAGGGCATCGAATCATTTGTCCGCGGTGACACCAACGGTGTCCGCTATGATCCATACAAACTTCGAGAAGTCAACGGGGTTTACTGTTGTGAAGGTTAACGATCACAACTACGAAATTAAGACACCGATGGGGACATCGTTCCATGTTGATCTGCAGATGAAGACATGCACATGTGAGGAGTGGACTTTGGTGAAGGTTCCTTGCTCACATGCGGTGGGAGCTTCCATCCGTGCAGATCTACCCGTGCACACCCTTTGCGACCCAGCGTATAGCACGTTTTACTGGAAGTTGGCTTGCCAGCACAGCATCAACCCAGTCCCGGATCTCAGCAACCTGTATCGCGTGCCTGACAATATCGCAACCCTGCAAATACTACCTCCTAAGACACGGAGGCCACCAGGTAGGCCTAAGATATCTAGATACCTGTCTTCTGGAGAGTTTAAGGTATATGTAGCGGGTCATATATGTTAGTGGTGCTCTACATTTGTCCAAACTAATATGAACACTTTATGCAAGAAACTCAAAGGCCGTAGAAGAAGGAGAGATGGGAGTGTACGCGTTGCCATGGCACCGGACATAACCGGGCATCCTGCAAAATGCCCATATGACGACATATAAGTATGTTATCTACATAATATAATAAAGGTATGGGGTCTCATTTTTAATATAACGGTCTATAAAAATGTATGAAGTTCATTACCTTATCTCTGTATTACTAGGCTGCCAATTTTCCGATGTAAGGGACAGTCTCTCGGCTTTATCAAGTGACGGAACCTAAATCAAGTGGCGAAATGATGCATGTACCATACTGCGCCACATGTTTAATTAAAATTAAGTGGCCCCTACTTTGTAACATATTATTGCCACATGTTTAATTACTGCTTCGCTTATTATGTTTAGAATGCTTTTGTGCCAGTCTGTCAAGGTTGACAACCTTGACTGGCTGAAGAACTCAGGGGATTTGCCCTTATGTACTAGGTCACCCTGTTGTTAATGTGATATATTTTCACATTTTCCAAGTCTTTCTACGTAACTCAGTAGCTACAAAAATCAGACATTTGGACTGGTACTTCCATAAATGAACTGCTATGTGAATACATAAACTGATACATACAGTTGTAGATGAGAATAATTTTTAGAACGGTGTTATTGTAATAAGCGAAGCCTATTATCAGTTGTGTTGGAGATTTCTATTCATATAGGCGTCCATATAATTGCATGGTTGTGTACAAGAAAACATATTCTTTCAAGGGTATGATTCCTCCCATAAAGAAACAACACAGATCCACATTAGAATATTCTCAATTCGTTTTACGTAACAGCATCTCAAAATGCGGTGGAGAAAAGGGTTTTCCAAAACATCAATGCCGACCAAGTTCAAAGTTTAACATTGACAAAAGCAAAATAATAAAGCAGAGTGTGGCTTCAACCAATTGGTAACTGACACAGATCATGGGTTCAGTCGTCAAGGTCAATGTCCCCACAGCAGAACTCAAACATTTCAACAGCAAGATTCTCAGCCCGTTCACCAATTTTATCTTCAGAGACAGTGTAAACACTAACCAATCCTCTGGACGCATGAAACTCAATGAACATGACAGCCATGATGCCAGTTTGGCCTCTATCATCTACTTGAGCAACTTGAATATCCCTAGAAAAGGAAAATGTTGTCAGTTTGAATGACTCCATATCCTCGCATGACGCAGCCTTCTTTATAAAATAAGGAAGAATCTCGCATAGGAAGTTGAATTCAGGCTTCAGACGGGATCCGCGGACAGCCTTGGCGTGAGGGTCAAACACAGTGACCGAAGAAGACGCCAAGTCAACGACCACAGCGACCCACCGATTCTTGTCAAGATTGAAAGGGAAATAAATGACGTCAAGATCCTTCACCTACTCTTTCCCAGTCTCCTCCATACGGTGACGAACATACTCCAGAATTTCTTCATTGAACTCGAAACTCTCTTTCTTGGTGAGCTTCTTGAATCGACTGTGGTGCTTCGCAAGCATAAACGGAAATGATGACGGCATTATGTCTGCCCTCCTCTCCGTCCCACCGCCGTTGGTGAAAAGAGTTTCCCTAAGAAGCATGACACAGCAGTCCATAACCTGAAAAGAAATTCGTTATGTATTGCGGAAACCAACGAATTTCTTCGCAGAGATGCGTATCGTACAAGTACTCACCATTGTGTTGTTAGACGGGATCAGATGGGGATTCTCAACCAAGTCGGATCCTTAAGCTCTAGTCCCGGTGCAAATTCGAGTGTCCTGCAAGTATAATGCAGTTGGAGGCTATAAATGAATCTGGTGGTGCATATTTGCATATAACCGAGTATGCAAATATGTAGATATCCATTTTAAAAACTCATCACTCTCGCATGGTCTTGTTATGACTAATCCATTGTATACGTTATAAAAAGTTATAATCATTCATGGCAACATATAGCAGTGTATATAATCATATAACGGTCTATCGTTAATTATATTCACACACATACGCTAGCAGATCATTCCAATTACCTGGATGGTATCGGGTTAGCAACTATGGCGTTGAACTTCTTTTTAGCGAAGTTAGCCGGGTTTGTGGAGACAATAACATTAGTTTCCTACATTGCAAAATTAGTTATATAAGTAATGAATATAATCATGAGACTCTATAGTCATTGAGATGAGAAAGGCTGTGGGATCATTATTACCTCGACAGGCGCCTCTTGAGTCGCGTGATTCTGGATGGAGTTTTCCTTCTCGTTTGCAATATCACGCAGCACACTACCTATGGCGGCGTCGGCATCTTTTGTTTTCCAATGTTCGTCAATCTTCTTCGTGATTGCGGAGTCAATTCCAAATAAGAGTCTGCCTTCGACCTCCTTCAGCCCCGCCTGAAGACTGTCCATGATGCTCTTTTCAATTAACGAAAGGGCATCCTTCACATGCCCGGCAACCATATCCATGGTTATGGTGGATTCGCCTTGTTTATGCGACTCAGCTTTGGACCGTTTTGAGGACCTCTTCCCCCTCTTTGCGACCTTCACAGGCGATGCGGTCTCAACATGGGCTTTCCCCTTACGTTTTCCAGTGGAAGCAGTAGTCGGAACCGGCTGGACGGGGTCGAGTGTCCGTGAACGACCCCCTCTGAAGTGATCCTTGTTAAACAGAGCGCCTTCATCTATTTGCTCAACCATGTAATCGACTTGTGGATCTTCCAATTCATCAACCCAGCTGCAGTCGCCGACAACAGAATCGTCTCCCATACGAATTATGGATGTCACTGGGACCTGAAAGCACAACGAAGTAGTTATTACTTTAAGAATAAAAACTTCTAAGAAGTGTGGCTAACCATAATATGTCGTAGCTATCTACAGAAATTTTTGCTTTCGTTATATTAGGAAATATAGACCCATACCGTATCATCGCTGTCCAACTCCCAAATTTTGTCAAGCTTCAGTGCTGTTACCATCGCCGTGTCTTCTTCACCGGACTCAGTATCCGTTCCATCACCAACTGCGGCAACGGCTGACGGTACCGCCTCGAGAAGCACCAGCTGTAAAGTGTGTATGAATCCCTGAATCGCAACTGTAGGCTGGGCAAGCTGGTTTGTCTGCCTCGTTCGAATACACCGGATGGTCATGTCAAAGCAAATCCTCCCCCACGGATAATCCAAGAAGTAATCCAAGTCCCTTATCATTTCAACATGCTCCTTCGGGATTTTCATTGTTGATGACCGTCTACACAACATCCCGTCAACCAAAATCAGGCATGCATACTTAACCCTCACCTCACTGCTAAGGTCTCTCGATCTCTTCAGCCTCGAGAGAAGCATCTCCCTAGTTACGAAAGGCTCACCACCAAACAACGTGAACCAGTATGGCACAACCCCAGGGTTGCTTTTCATCCTTTCTGCCGGAACCACTGGGAGAGGGGAGCATTTCAGACCGGTGACAAACCCAAATTCCCGTAAAGAAAATCTTATGGGCTTGCCACTGAAGACCACCCAAATCTCATGATTCTTGTTCACCACCAGCTGTCGGGTGAGGAGAAAATGAGCTAGCTTTCCAGAGTAGGCTTGTTTGGAGTATGCATCCAACAACTTGCCAAAGGCGGGACAAATCTGCTCGATTTCTGATGGCTGGAGGTACCTAAGAACCGCACCAATGGAGCTTAGTTTGAAGTACGAGTTTACCCTGTCTCCAACAGGTTCGTCTCCCGCTGCAAAGATGCGGGAAGGAAGCCACGTGCTATCAATCGACCTGAAACAATGCCCGATTCCAAAGGTACATTAAAACCAGCACATAAAAGCTAGTAACCATGTCAACATAAGTACATATAACAGTTCATTAGTTCGGGTGGGGTGCTACCAAAAGTTGTAGCGGTTTCAATTTACTATGTCTGAATACCCAAACAGCCTAGAAACAAAAAACACTGTTCAATGACTTTGGGTGGATGTATAAATATAATTATAACCATATACATGAAGCACGAAATCAAAAAATCCACGACATGTAGTTCACACACCCTCCACCAACATACTAAAACAATCATCCTAAATGTTAGCGTGTTCATAATAGCATATAGCGATTCACACAACCTAATGCATATTCATCACAGTAAATGCCTCTACATATTAAGCGAATCTGTACTCGGACTTTAATATGTGTTTATGCTTTCTTGTAGTCATCTACAAAAGATAGTGCATGTTCATAACATCATATAATTAAGGCTATCACAATTTTTATTCATAGATAACTTCATCTAGAGTACTATGAGTCTCGGTGGAGCTTCATAAATATTAGTAGGCTCGAGATTCTCACAGTTGCTACCAATTTCAATTCCCTGAATTCAGACATCAAAATCACCTATCAATTGGTAATTGACAAATAGGAAAGTCTGATAGCGATACAGTACCTAATCACGATTCATCACGATATCAAATAGAGAGTCTAAACTACTCTAACGATATTTCCTACTTTCTAATAAGAAGGCATCGACTTGGTTACTTACATTCCGATGTCGGTTGCCGCTGGGTATTTTCGGAGTCGACTGCGCCGCCTCTACATTATCTGACTCTTCTGTGTCGCACCGGTTGATCTGTCTCGTCAATAAGGAATTACTGAGCTTCGCCTAGGGTTTTCAGAATTTTCGAGTTCTCTACAGGAAACTGGAAAGTCGTAGAAAGAGAAATAAAGGTCCAATGTCTATTTTCGTGTTTCTAAATTAATTTGAAGTAAAATTTCAAATTTTTACACAGTTCACACGCGTGGATAACTTCTCACAGCGTCTTCGCATTAACTACGTCACGACAAAATAGTCTTGGTTGGGCAAAGGTCGCGTGGGGTTAAAATTGGGAAAAATGTGCTTAAATTAATTACATGTCTCAAGCCCCGAAACCCATTTGCTGAATTCCTAAATATGTCAATTCCTATGGCTACTGGGTGCAATTTCTCTAAATTAATGCACCAATTTCATCTAACTTTCGAACCGTCTCCATGACTTTCCCAAACGCGTTGTAGTTGAAACTTTTCTCTTCCAATCCTCGGCTTTGTTCTCAGCAACCTGTTTCTCAACCTCCAATGCGTACGTTGTTTAACCATCTTCCTGTCATAAAACGAATCTTCCTCAGATTCATCAACTCTTGTTCCACGACTAACTTCTCCAATTCCAGTTCCTTAAACCTCAATTCAAGTGTTTCAAACTCTTTTTCCCGTTTCTCATTTCTGCAAATCATGTAGTTTTCCTTTCAAAACCCTTTCTTCTCACTCAAGACACCAACAGTTTTGCACCTTCGTAATCCCCATTGCCTCCATCGATTTTATCTCCACAGATTCCTCTTCTTAAAACTATATCAAAACCCTAGAATCAAACAAGTCTTCCGTAATACATATATAGACAGAGATCTTAAACGTACCTCATAATTTCATTATCAAAGGGTGCAATAGAATAATAAATCAGTGTTGAAAAAAAAAAAAGGGTGCAACTACATCCATTTGCGCTAGAGCACAATACTGATGTTACAACTTTTACGGCCGATGTTAGTTGATCCTATTATAACTGGATTTCAGTAGTGGAGAGAGAGTTTTAAGACCAAAAATACGTGTAAGCTCATTATTGAGTGTTTTGAGTTTTGGAAAAGTGTTTGTGTGTTATTTCGCAAAAAAAAAGGGAAAAGTGTTTGTGTGTCATCTTGCATAGGGTCATGTTTATCTTCTCTGTATTATTTCAATTTTATATAAATATATGGTTTCCTGATATTTTAAGCGGAAATAAGCATGTTTTTATATAGCTTTCGTTTTACATTTTCCTATATAATTTTTATTAATTAGTTTATAAAGATGTCTAATACGACATTACTTTATAACTAGCAGAATATGTTTCACTAATGGGATTAGTTAGTGTCAATAACTTGTTAATATATTCTCATCAAATTGATTGGCCAGCGACTCGTTTACATACTTTTTTTTTGTGAAACACCGGGAGCTAACTCCCAATTTTATTAAAAGTAAAGAAAAGTTTACACACGGACTTGCCGCGACCTCGAGACTCCACTCTCGTCCTCATACAAAACAGGCAATAAGTCTGATGGTACTAAATCGAAGGTATGCAAACCTAAAGCTAAAGAAAATGCATAGTTCGTCAACCCATCTGCAAGACGGTTAGCCTCCCTATACACATGTGTGATTCGGACTTCCCAGTCCTTTAGTAAAAAACCATGACACAGATGTACCAGGAACGACAACGGATGTGTGTCGTTAATCCCTGTCTTCATAAATCCGACCACCAAAGCAGAGTCCACCTCAATTTCCAGCCTTGTGATCCCTTTCTCCCACGCAATACAGAGCCCATAATATAATCCCCATAGCTCCGCCTTAGGTGCAGTACACCTTTTAACATTCAATACAAACCCGCCATGCCAATGACCTTCTCCATCTCTTAACGCCCCACCAGCCAGTGGCTAATCTCGGGTTGCCATGTGATGCACCATATGTATTCAGCTTACATACTTACATGATCTGTTTTCTTCTTGATCGAATTAAATGCGGATTGTAATCCTAGTCCTTTTTAGTGATTTTTCAGATGTGAAAGTTTGAAAAATACCCTAAAACCAGTTTTTAATTTGAAAACTACATTTATTTTTTTGGTGTTGAAAAATATATGTTAAATGATTTAATTACCCTAATTTAAAGTTGTCAACTATAATTTAATAAAAAAAAAATAATTACAAAATATTAAGATTGTATTATAATCTGTTTCAGTTTAAAATTACAATATTCCTCATTATCCGTTTTTTTTTTTTTTTTTTTTTTTTTTTTGTCAACAGCCTAAATTCCTACGACCGTTCCGGGAGCGAGACCGGTGGAATTGAGTTGATGTAGTACACATTGTGAGGCTGATCTCGAGCACTCCGTGCTAGCTTGTCTGCCTTCGTGTTTTCTGTTCGGGGGATGTGTGTAAGGGAGAATGTCTGGAACATCCTTCTGCATTTCTCCATTTCGTCAAGTAAAATCTCAAAAACTGGCCACTCTGCTGGCTTGGACACCATCTTCACCAACTGAACACAATCTGTTTGGAAATTTATCTGTTGTTTGTTATGGGCTAGCATACTTTGCATAGCCCACACTAGAGCCTCCAGTTCCATCTGTAAGGGAGATAAACCCCGCCGTATAGTGCTAGCTCCAACCAAGGTTGAGCCCGAGTCCGGATCAAAATTGTACAACCCAAGACCTGCCCGACACTCCGTCGCTTTCCATGCTCCATCGATCTGGCACCACTCTCCCACCAGGACATGCCCGGAGTGTGTGGAGATATCAAAGTGTAACCGTTCTACTACCGTTTGGGCCGCAGCCCATGCTCGTGATTCCGTTAACGCAGATTCCATCACAACCAGCGGACTATGGTTGTCATTTGAGAAAATCTTATAGTTTCAGGCCTTTCAAATGAATCAGAGTAACCACAGATACATCGACATGTCATCATTGTCTGGGAGATTCCAGAATAGATGTGCCATATTTGTGAAAAGTGCTCCCGTAGGGAAAACCTGGAGCGGCGTTGGAATGGGTGAAAGGGTATTCCTCATTATCCGTTTAATATCTATTAAACAATCTTAATTTTTTTTCTTTTTTTCTGAACCGAAATAATTACTTTTTCTTCTTTTCAACCAGACGTGGTTTATATGAACTGCTCAGAGTTACACAAATAATCACGTAAAAAATACCTTTTGGTGGCTCAAATATTCTGATCAATGATGAAGTTTAGATTATGAGGATGAGATTAAGATTGTTGTTTATATAAGGCCAAAAATATTTAAATTTGTTTAAAGATAAACACTAAAACTAGAAGATAGCTTTCTCAAATTTTTAATTTTTATTTTAAATAATTAACATATTTATCTGGGGGAAAATTAAAAAAAAAATATTAATATTATTATTTTCGTATTTCTTTTTTAGTTTATAGTTATTTATTAATGTTTTATTTAAATAAGGTTAAAACAATTTTTTAATATGTAAAAAGTATATTTTCCAAAACAGAAAAATACTAAGATATTTTTCAAATTTTAAAACCCAAATAGTGTATTTTTCAAAGAATTTAATTTATTTTTGAGCCTCTTGATGCTGGTGGAGTACCCTGGATCGAGCTTTTGGTTTCTCTCGGGTCCGTTTTGTAAATGACTACCATTTATTAATATAAATCAAATTCAGATGAAACGAAAAAAGAATGATTGGCCATTGATTGGCATTCACCGATTAATGTCAAATAACCGAATGGGTACAGTCTATAATCTCTAGATATACCGAGTACCAAACGGATACCTGAACCGATTCAAATCCAAAATATTCAAAACTTGATTTATTCGAATAATCCGAATTCGAAATACCTTAAACCTAATTTTACAGGTGTTTGATATATTTTCAGTTTCTTTTATTGTTTTCAGATATTTCATGTATTTTTGAATATTTTAGATACTTTCCGAACCCAAATTTTTTCCTGGTAAACATCATTTCTTATACACAGTATCCGAATTGATCCAAACCCGATTGAAACCACCGACCCAAAAAATACAAAATACTCGAATGGGTCCCATTTTAAAACTGGAAGATTCACTATAAAAAAAACCCAACCCGAATCCAAACGCTCAAGGCTACCAAAAACAAACGAAAACTAAACAGACAACAGAAACAAACTATCAAAACAGTTATTCTGATTTTATTTATTTACATAAATTAGTTGTTTTAGTTTTAGTTATTTTCTTTTTAACAAAGGCTGTGTTTTAGACTTCGTTATTGCCAGGTTAAGAAAGAAATTTATCATCAAATCTTAGATATTTCTATAACATCAATCGCAACGTGCCCAAAGAATTATGTAACCTATTTTGTATTCTCTTATTTACGGGGAAACTAAAGTTGGTCCATTATATCAGTTCTCCCACAAAATAATGTATATTCGTATATCAGTTCTCCCACAAAATAATGTATATTCGTCCACTAAAGTTGGTATTAAATCTTTTATAGAAAAAAATGAAAAGTTGGTATTCTTTTTGAAGAGCAGAAACTCGTACTCGATTCTTGTCCGTTTCTTCATAACTATGGACTTGTGCAGAGTCGGCTGCAAAATTGTGTCGGGGCAATATTCTTTTTTGTTGTCGGGGAAAATATTCATATTTGTTTTTTTTTTTTTAGTCTTTTTAATAATAGCTCGGATTATCAAACTGAATTACACAGTTACATCCATCCATTTGCGCTAGAGGACAATACCGATGTTACAGCTTTTAGTTTTAGTCTTTCCACTCAATAAAATTGAAACTAGTAAAGGGTTGGAATAGAGCCAAAAAAATAAAGCTTGCAAATATCGTAGCAATATTTGCTAAAAAAAAGCAAATGAACAATATTTTGTGTATTGTATCTGTGAGGCCAGGTACCAAGAGATCAAATGATCTTTCTTGCTTCTTGTTTTCGATTTCTTGAAATGGATCTTAGTCCAAGTTACTCAAAATGTACAGCAACATACATAATGATGTTATAAGGAAAGCAAATCTAATTCCGACAAATCATAATGCTCAATCTATAGTTTTTTTTTTTTTTTACCTTAGCTCAAATCTATAGTTCTCCTTTAAACATTAGAGAAGTAATTTATGCAGGGATGCACAGAAAGTCAGAAACGAGAAATTATATATAGAAGCCAATGTATAAACTTTCATGGAATGTTGATGGCATAACAAAAAAATAGAATTGAAAATCTACACTTCAGATTTACAACATCCAAATTTTACTCTTCCAGGATTCTTATCCAAGATTAGAGGTGTCATTGTTAACAATGTCATTGTTAACTATAAATTCTCGTTGTGTTAACAATAACGTTAACAAAAAATAAATTCCACTATTTCCATGTTGGAATATAATGTGTCTTATTTAACCAAAAAAAAAAGTATTATAATATTAATGTTTCTTGATAACGCACTATCCTCCATTCTGTCCGTTTCATGAATATTCGTAACATTAGCAATGCGGTTTCTTTTTCCATTTAAATATTTGTTGACCAGATGAGAAAAACCAAATTGTTTAGACAAAAATAAACCAAACCAATTAAAAATAATAAAATAAATATTAGTATTGATATACGACCGTTGGTATCCTTATACTCTCTACACCATATATATTAGGATGCTTGCTTTGTATAATTTTATATTATATTATAAAGTATACTTTTTGTTTTTACTTTATTGATCCGTACGTAACTTGTATGGGGACTGGAGTTTTAACAAAGCTGAAACCATTTGGATCTTCTCAGACAATTCCCTTTCCACCCTTTTGTCCATATCAACATTTATATCATTTTTAAAAAAAGTTTGATGGATAAACAATTCAAAACAAAAAGATTACTGGTAGTCTAGTATTACAATTTGCTACTCTTTGGAAAAATTATCCAAAAATATTTACAAAGAACTTATCCAGAAACAATTAAATCATTTAAGGTATCTTCATTTATAATGGTCGATTATTTTGACAATGTGATATATTATGTACAATTTTTTTCCTTTTGTCGAACTATCTACAATATTAAATGACATCTAAAAAAAAAGATTCATCTCCTTCATCTTCCTTTTTCACCAACTACATCTGTTTAATGTTTTTTTTTCGGTTGATGATCTTATATAACGGTCAAGTTATAATTAAATGTAACAAACCATTGACTTTATTTAGGTTCACCATCTTATTTACACTAGGAACATCGAACAATTGAAAAAAAGATTAAGGTCAGAGAGAAAAAAGGACAGTTCAAAAAAATACATATACTGAAAACTGAAACAAACTAATAGACTATTATTATTAAAAAAAACAATTTGGTAACATGTTCTCATTAATTGAACCACAACGGAATATTTGTCATGATCACAATAAGGTTGTAGTAATTGGTTAGTCGTAGAGGAGAGAGAAAATTATATAGTAGTAGTCTAAGTTCAACATTAAGATAAGGTCTTTAGACAGTAATTTTAATTAACTAATAGCGGTTTACTTTAACAAAAAAAAAACTGATAGCGGTTTCTGATCTCGAATATGATTTTACCGAGGAGTTTGAAGCTTCTTGTGACGCCCAATGTCACCGGAATCGATCCGGGGATTGAGTGTTCTACTTAAGGCTAACATTAGTACTTAACACTGTTTAAGTGAAAGTTAAGATTGACTAAAATAAACCTAATGTGGTTTGGCCAACACATACACTTGAAGAAACTTAGCAGACCAAACATTGGAAAAAACAGAGAGATTTTCTACGATTAAGAAGAGATGAGACTGATTGCTTTACGACCAAACATACGGTTAAGTTGAGACCAAACATAAACTTGAAGAAACTTAGAACACCAAACATATTGAAAAAAACAGAGAGATTTTCTACGATTAAGAAGAGTTGCGATTGATTGCTTTACGACCAAACAAACGGTTAAGTTGAGACCAAACATAAACTTGAAGAAACTTAGCAGACCAAACATATTGAAAAAAACAGAGAGATTTTCTACGATTAAGAAGAGTTGCGACTGATGGCTTACACTTAGAGCCAATGCTTCAATGCGCCGAGCACAAGGGCTACACAAAGAAGATTGTGTGCTTCCTCTTCTGCCTTCTCCTTTGCATCATCCTCTTCTATAAGCCTTTTTACTTCCTCAGTCTCCCTCTCGTCCCTTGCTTTCTTCTCTGCATCATCCTCATCTAAAAACCTCTTCACTTTCTCAGTCTCCCTCTCGTCCCTTGCTTTCTTCTCTGCATCATCCTCATCTAAAAACCTCTTCACTTTCTCAGTCTCCCTCTCGTCCCTTGCTTTCTCTTCCTCCTCCTCTTTCTGTTTCTTGAGCTTCTCCTCCTCCTCTCTCTGTTTCTTGAGCTTCTCCTCCTCCTCTTTCTGTTTCTTGAGCTTTTCCTCCTCCTCTTTCTTTTTCTTGAGCTTCTCCTCCTCCTCCTTCTGTTTCTTCTCCTTATCCTCCTCTATAAGACCAATCTGGACGAGCATGAATTCCGTGAGATCAAACTTTCCCTTTCCTATTATATCTCCAAACTCCACAACGCCTATTTTCTTCTCTTTGTCTACCACATTCTTCTTGATCCACTCAGTTGCTTTTTGCTTTTTCTCTACTGGTTTAAGAGACTTGAGCTTTTGATCATAAAAGTCACTGACTTCATCTCTAAGCCTCTGAATCTTTCTATCCTTCTTTGAGATGCTGACTTGGAGTGTACGTTTTCTCGGAGCTACTACCACCGGTCGCACAGATATTGGGTAAGAAGACTGTTGAGAGAACCTGAGTGAAGAACTCATTTTGAGAGAGTGAAATGGGAAGTGAATTTTCGAAGGAAATGCAACTCGACGAAAGGAAGAAACAACTTTTGGACTCATGAGCAAGAGAGACGATGAATTCATTTTTAGAGAGAGAAATGTGTAACAAATGAGATGTTAGAATTCATTTTATATACGACAGCTCATTATAGTTTGATGTTAATCGTTGTGGAGAAAAAGAAAAGAAAATTTGTGTAATTTCATAAATTAGACTTGGTGAAGAAGGCAAAGTCAGATTGTACAGTTAAGAGAATAGCCGACCATCTTTCGTGATTCAAATTTTCAAGCCAAGATACAAAACGAATGACGTTGGTTCTGTCGGTCTTTCTCTCTAACTCTTCCTTGAGTCAAAAAGAACTCTCTGTCTCACGCCGGCGAAGAGAAACTGTGGTGGTGGCGTTTCTACCGAGGAATGATACACGTCAGAAGCAAATAATATGCATGCACTTCCATGAAATTATCTTTTATTTGTTTACTGAAAAAAGAAGATATCAGACAAATATATATTTTTATTTATGTGATTATATTTTTGTGTTGTTAAAGTAATTTAAAATGTTCACTCTCTTGAAAAGATTTTTTATATTAACAATATTATGAAAATCTCTTGTATCTTTTACTTTTGTCAATAATTTATTTATATTTCTTATAAATAAATTCATTTTACATAATACTTACAAATTTCAAATTCTAGATGATTGTTATATACTCCATTTTAAATTTTAATTTTTACCCGCTACCTATTCTAAGCAACTTGGCTTAAAACTTCATTAAGATTCATAGTCTTAATTTATGTAACCTCTACTAGCTAGGTCTGGGTAAATTATATGGAACCAAAAACCGACCTGTACCAAAAAAAAAAACCGACCTGTACCGAATCAAATTGGAACCGAAAACTCTATGGTTACTTTGGATACTCTAAATATTATCAGATTTAAAAGAAACTAAAGCACCAAAAATTGTTTTAATAGATTTCTACTAACGAAATTTTAATTATTTTTCTCTCTTTCTAAATTGTTTTTTTCTTTTTTGGGGTCAACTACTCTTTGTTAATTAAGAATTAAAGATGGAAAAAGCAGGATAAAGAAAAAAATGAAGATAAATTGGAAACTAAAAGAAGAAATGAAGGTAAAATAAATAATTAGAAACAACATAAAAAAAAATCGTAATATTTTTGGAAGCAACCAAAATCGGTACAATTATACAAACTCAATCGCTTCTGGCAAAGTCTTTTTTAATTTTAAGTTATTATTATTAATTTTTTGTTACAAAGAGTGCTTTCTAATTGTTTATTATTGACGGGTAAGAATTTGCGGTCCGTATATGCCCATTCATTATTGTTTGAATTTAAGTTTTTAAATATCGTTGAGAAAAGACAAAGAAATTGTTTTATTATATATTTAGACTTGGTGTAGACTTGGTGTAGACTGTTGAGAGGGCAGGGAGATCAGATTGTACACTTCAGAATCATCGAGGCATCGACACGTCATAAGTGCATCTCACCAAAAAGGATCGTGTGCGGAAGCTTCCACTTAACTTAAAGTGGACCTGACTTGTTGGGCTTGTATCTCTCTCGGCAAATTATCCGGAACCGAAAAAGCAGAACTGTACCGGACCAAATTATACCGAACCAAATTACCCAACCCAAAATCGAATCAGATAACATAATTACCACACCCCAATTAGATTTGGTTCGATAACATAAATAATCATATCAAATGAATATTGCAACAAACACTATTGTTATTGAAAGCACACGAGAGAGAAGAACATGGTAAAATTTCATTCTCTATTTAATCGTTTTTTTTTTTTGTCATTGGAGATTTGTTTATCATCTGCATCTCTATCTCATACGGAGACCCCTAGAATTTTGGAAAAATGTTGTTCTTAACTTGAACTAATCAATAGAATAAATAAAAGAAAGGTAACATAAAGAGAAATATTTTGATTACCGTCGTGAAAGGAAAAAGAGAGAGATGAAAATCTGAAATAGATGCATGTGTATTAGTTGGAGTTTTGAAGATCATCCTGCTAGTCGTGAAACCTGAGTTGGATTATATATTTTATAATAATAATATTGATTACAAAAATCTGAAGGTAAAATATTAGATTTTGCGATTTACCTTTAAATCAAACGAGTAAACTCCATTGGTGAAAGACGTGACTTGTTTGATGCCTACGTGCATTAGGGTGGCTTGAAATCCAAGCTGATATTTAATACATAAAGCCAAGCTCATGAAAACCAAAATTAAATTGGTCTCCTATATGTTTGATTTAAAAAAAAAAACTTTTGTAGATTGAATTGAAGGTGGTAGTTCTGCACTCAAGGATTTGTAGAATTCAGTTTTACAATATTATAATCGTATTCTTAATGTAAACGAAAAGTGTTTACATTTTACACTCTTGAGATATAGATTAAGTTAGTAAGTTGTTATACAATACAAAATTGATTGTTGAGATGTGAATATCAATTCGGCAGAACTTGAAAATTATAGCAAAGAATGATTCCTGATCACTGGATAGAGTTTAAACATAACTAGTTGGGATCTAGTGATGATGTGAGGTGGTAGCAAAGTTAATTTCTCCAAAATCAACAATCTCACACAAAATTTGTGTTTTTTTAAAATAGACTTGACAGAGAAAAGACAAGACTCTAGACTCTAGAGTAATAGAAAGAAACTCAATTCCAGATCACATCTGAGCAGCCAGATCTACAACTGCGGTTACATCGACATCCAAGATTAGGACGCATGGCTGAAACGGAGCTAGCAATTCAAGACTAAAAGACAACTCAAAACAACTCAATTTCAGACTTCAAGACTCTAGCTTATCAAATCCAGTTTTGAGCAGCCAAATGTACAACTGTGGTTTCGTCGACATCCAAGATCTTGACGCGGTTAGGACGCATGTCGGGAAAGGAGCTAGCAGGGACACAAAGAGGCTCAGACTTGGTGAGGAAAATGACGAGATCTCCAATGTCTTGAGTGTAAACAGCGTTTCCTTTCCCGTCTAGCTTGAACACCATTAAAGCTTCTGTTTCCAGTCTCTCAATACCTCTATGGTCTTGGCAACGGTCTTCTTGTACCACTTAACCATGAAAGTTTCACCGGTGGTTGTTGACTCCACCAAGTGTTCACTCGTATAGCACGAATCCAGAAGCTCCCGTTTGGTCTTTGTCAGCTTGGAATGTTTTTCAAGCGCAACCTCTTAAACATGTTAGTGGGATTGCGAACATATGATGCAACGAGCATGATCCAACGAGATCCATATCCAATAAGGTGGCCTCCAGATCCGACAATTTGAAACATGTCGTCTTTCTTGGAAAACATGACCCGGGAGGAGAAGAAACTAGGGTTTGGGATTCTCAAGTTGATCCACTCGGAGTCACTTCTAGCAGGGTATCTGCAAAAGCTGAGCTGAGGTCCAAAGAACTTGACAGCCACAACACAGTCCAGATCCTCTGGAGAAGATGAGGACATTGCCACGTTGGTGACCATTTGGGTTTGACAAAGAGGCAGAGTTACAATAGGAGGCAACTTAATGCTTTTCAGATCACGACCCCTGAGCGATGGAGCCGGGTTCTCGGAGACTCACCACGCCCTTATTCATATAGCCCTCCATCCATTGGACGATCCTATCATTCCCATGCTCTCAACCAAGTCCATTGGCATCTTCCTATCAGAAGGACTGAAGTCACCCTCCCTCCTAGTCACGACTGTTACGAGATTTGGTCTACAAGGATCAGCGCAGACGATGGCATAAGGAAGGGTTTGCGGTCCCAAGGAAGAAGATGAGAAGCCATCAGAGTGAAGAGGAGAGGATCTTACCAACACAGGTTTCCGAAAACATAGCTTTGAGGGCTGGTTGAGAAGCAGAGACATGAATAATAACGTTTCTTAGCTAAATGAAAGGAAACCCCTTATTGAAGAATTGGTGTTCTTAGGGAGAGGCGGCCAAGAGGATGGAAAGAGAAAATAAGAAAAAGAAAAAAAACCCTAATTCAAGACTGAGAGAGGGACTTGGCCACCAAGTTTTCCAACTCTTTTCCATTAATTTTCCGACTTTGAACGCACAAATACAAAAACTTAGAAAACACATTTTGCTGGTAAAATATATATTTCAGTATTTCCATCAGCAGTTATCAAGATTATTGATCAAATAATAGGAGTGTTTCCACCCTGTTCATACTAGTGAGTTGTAATAACTCAGTTTAGAGCTAAACCGAATTCAACAAGAACTCAACCTAGGTATGTTCTAGAAAAAATCTAACTCCACATAGATATTTTCTTCGGAATTGTAGAGATGTCATAGAAAATAACAATGAAAAAGTGAAAAAAATAAGAGTATTTGCAGCGGAAGACATATTTTTTCCATGTATTTATGTGAGAGGTATATACATTACAGACCATAAACAACATAAATAATTTGCCCGGTAAGAAGCCCATTTTAACCCCACGCGACATGAGGAAGCTTTACAAATTGACTCTGAAAAAATAGTAATAAATGCATGGTCAGACCAGAGTGGCTTTGTGTATCGGATCTGTTTTAATGTTGGAATTTGTTTCTTTATATCGATTAAGAAAATAAAAGAGAAAAATAATTACTAATTAGAAAAAAAAGAAACATATAATTATTAGTTTCTTTATATCGATTAAGAAAATAAAAGAGAAAAATAATTACTTTTGATTGAATAAGAGTATATATATGGAGTAAAATAAATTATATTTCAAAACTATACCTCTAGGTTTATTTTCGAAACTACACTTTTTATAGTGTAAAAGAGCTCTAAACCCAAAATAAAAACTCTAGACTCTAAAATATAATCTTAAACCCTTAAATCTAAACCATAAACTCCAAAATCTAAACCTTAATTAGGGAATAATAGTGTACCCAAACTTAGATGTTAAATTTAGGAAAAGTGTAATTTTGAAAATTAACACCATAGAAGTGTATTTTTGAAATTTCTCTACATATATCTTAATAAAAAATAAAAAATTAAGTTAAATAAAAACTTTTTCATGCTGTTAGTTAAAATTTTGTAAATTATGATTAAAAAGAGTACTTGTAACTAAAAAATTATCAAAATCAAATTTAAAACTAACATTTTGTCTTGCATGTCTGAAAAACTAAAGCATCTGGAATTATGTGATAAAACTTAGTAAAAATAAAATAATCAAATGAAAAAAGTAATATTTACTCAGTTAGGCTTTCTCAATCCATGAGAGTTTTTTTCATCGGCGATCTCAATCTTATGTTATTTACTCGTAAGCGTGATCGGATGTAGGTTAATGTTTTTATGTAGTTATTTTTAAGAATCGTAAAATTTTAAATTATAAACTTGCATATACGCCGAATCTAATCTCAAACATATACAAAAATGTAATATTTTCATTTATGATATCAAGTTTTTAAAACTGAAGCGTAAGCTTCAAACAAATGGAATGGAATCGTAAGCTTCCAAGGCGTTTTTAAAATGGTATTTTTGGAAGTAGTCAGGGAAGCGAGATTCCAAAAGATTCTGATTCTGATTCACAGTGTCCCAGTCCTCCTCTCCCACGAAGCTTCCATGCGGTATATATAGTTATATACCATAGCGAAAAAACAAGTTCACCATGACGCTAATTTCCCTAAGTCATGGAGATAGAGGCTGTGAAAAATGGAACTTCCTGTTGTTATAGATTCAGAACTTTGCAATTCCTCGACACATTTCTTCAAATCATCCTCGAAATCTCTATCCGTCATAACTCATAAACAGTCCTATGCCCTTAATTAATTACATTTTAACGTTAGTTACCTTCCGGGGTCAAACTTGCTCGACAGGACTTTATCTTGATGCCATTACAAGTCCATTACAAGTCCATCAAACAACTTACCGATTGAAAAAACATACTCTAGACGACAAATCCATTACAAGTAACAACGCAACAGAAAAGTAGAAGAACAGATTGAAAAAAAAAGTGCAAGAAACCGATTGAAATAAAAAGTACAAAACAAAAACACACATAGAGAATCGTCAACAACTAAAGCCCTTGTTTTACTTTCTTGCTCTGGAATCAAAAGTTTTCTGTTTCTCAAGGACGTCACGTAATCTCAAATCTTCAGTCTCCAAAGTTGATAATCCTGATTTTTGAGAAGAGATTATAAGAATTGAACGCATGTTAGTATAGCAATTGTATCAAAGCATAGTTACGAGATTGATGAGATATGATAGCAAAGTTTTTCCAAGTACATATGTGTATCAATCTCACAGAAAAGACGAGACTCTCTAGACTCAAAACAACTCAATTCCAGTTTTGAGCAGCCAAATGTACAACTGTGGTTTCGTCTACATCCAAGATTATGTGAGTGTGTGATAACTACTCAAAGTATTTTGAAGAGGTTGGATCAATTAACATAATTTGTTAATAGAATAAAGGCCCATGAGTTGGCAAACTAACGCTTTAATATTTTCAACTATATGGGTTATTTTGTGTGTGCTGGTTCAAAGACAACATGCAACTACAAGTGTTATTTAATTATTTAACATTCGTTTAATTTTTTTTTTAAACAAATCATCGGTTCAAATTTAAAAGAAACAAAAAGCACTTATTTGATCCCAATAAAGAAAATACACTCCACATGTTTACGTAGTCGTAATTCCACTTCGAATTAAGGTTCCTCGGATCTCGGATTATCAAACTTAATTACTAATATCAAGTTTGTTTTTTTAGGACTTTTAAGAAAGAGAAATAGCTTGTATATATACACAATTACACACATATCAACTTTGTATATTGTTCTATATTCCCTCTGTTTCACTATGATGTTTTAGAATGTTTAAGGTACTTTTAGTTAATTAATGTTAGCAAACTACAAATTTCAAGAATTATTTATTATAATTAGTTGAATTCTTGAACTTTTATTGGTTAAAATTTATTAAAAAGTGATTTGTGTAAGAAAACTTTGTATTAATTGTTAAGCAATAAATGTTTCTTAAACTATGTAAAAACTCTAAAAAATCTTACATGGTGGAATAGAGGGAGTATAAAATATTGCTTGTGCTTTTACTTTTGTTTCCAAGAAACATTTCCATATATGGTAAAACAGTTTTTTCAGACTAGCTTAAAAAGGAAATATTTGGAATTTGATAAAAATTTAATAATTTTGTTTCTTGTCCGTTTCTTGTGTCCGTTTCTTGTGCAGTGTCAGGACGAATTTCTTTCTTTCTTGTCAGGAGAAATTCAAATATGTACCTTTTTTTCTTAGCAATAGTTTTTATAAATAAAATTATTTAGTTTTGTTGAGGATACTTTTATTACCTATGATTTCATAATAAAGAAAAAAATCTTGATTTCATAATCTAATTTTATGGAGTTGTAATAAGATTATGAAACTCAGTTAGTATATACATTTTTATCAATACCAGAATCAAACTCAAAAGAATAAATATATAATCCAGCAATATTTGTTTAAAAGATGTCTCACTCCAAAAACCCAAAAGCACACTACGTTCAGACACCTTTTTTTCCTAGACTTATTCGAACTCATGGTTCCTCTATGTATCTGTTTTAAGATTCAAGTTTAGACAACTCATCCGTAATAACGCATAAAACACAGATTAAATTTGTTTTTCTTAACGCTGGGAATTTCAATAATAAAGAAAGGTAGAACAGAGTCTCATCTCTAAAAACATCAAACAGAGAGATTTAATCGACCACAAAACAGAGAAATTTGAAAACGAAAGTCACAAAAGTAGATGGAGATATTAAACAGATAACAGACTGATAACTAAAACAAAATAACATCTAACCGAGACTAAACTGAAAAACGAGAAGATGAGATTGATGGCTAAACAGATAACAGATTGATGGCTAAACCTTTCCGGCTTCCTCATTCTCCCTCTGTTTCCTCATCTCCTCCTCCTCCTCCCTTGCTTTCCTCATCTTCTCCTCCTCCTCCATCTTTTTCTTCAGCTTCTCATCCTCATTGTTCTTGATTTTTGTCTTCTCTTCTTCCACAGCAAGAGCCTTGATTGCACATAGCATGCACATAGCACATTGCACATAGCATGGCACCCATTCCCTTCTCCAAGACATCTCCAAACTCAATCTCCTTAAGATCCACAAGCTTCTTCTTCATCACCTTGTTCTTCACATTCCGGTGCTTGTCCTTCTCATCAAGTATCATGTTGTCATTTATCCACGCCAAGACCAACAGTTTCTTCTCTTCAGTTGACAAGAGATCCAGCTTTTTCCTCATGTAGAATGTTGTAGCCTCTTGCCTTTTCCTTTCCAACAATCTCTCATTATCAGTCATGGAGCAACAAATGGGAAAATTAGATCTTTTTGGGAAGGAAAGTGAAGAACTTGGAAAAGGAACAGAAAAGGAAAGTGACAAGAGAGATTTCGGTTTTGGAGAAGCCATGGAAAGAGAGAGTTTTGTTTATGTTGAAGAGAAAACAGAGGTTTGTCGAGAGAAGAACGAGAGAGAGATTATATAGAAATGTGAAACCCAATATTTATTATTATAGTCTCTAAGAGTAAGAGAATGAAACTTACGAATTCATATTGTGTTCATTTACTAACCGCTTTTGTCGCATATTAATATTATCAATACAAATTATACTAACAAATATGAACAGTAAAAACCTAATCAAACCAAATTACATGTGGTTTCTATATTATAAACATGTTGACTAGTAAAACCTTAGGATTGATTTATTCATATTCAAAAATAAGTTCCTAAAAGTTTACTGAATAGTTTAAAATAGTTTAGACATTTAGAATTCAAAAATACGACTAAAACTAGAACTGGAAAAAACAAGAGAACATGAAAATATGCCAATATCTATATTCCCTCTGATTCACTAGTGTTCATATATATTTCTTATTTTCTAATAATCTATACGGTATCAGCTTTTTTGGGTTAAAATTGAATGTATACAAAATACACTGGATTCCAAAAATTAATAGTTGATTATAGTTTGTGTTATATACATAAATTAAGGTCCCTAAGATTAACGCTTGAGAGAAAGCAGAAAACAATTAATTTTTTATGTTTGTAAAAGAAAAAAATGATTTTTTACTTTGGTAAAAGAAAAAAATTGATTTTTAACTGTATATTCAAAACGCGCATGCATAGGTTGATTACCATGAACTCTACAAACACTTCTCGATAGTCGATATAACAGAGCCGTACCCGTACGTGGTTGCAGGGTAAATTGGTTGCTTATTTGTTTTTTTTATCTTTATTTTTGTTCAACAAGGTCGTTTAATTTCTTCTCAAATATATATATTTTTTGAACGTCCTTTCTAGATTCAAGTTCTAGAAAACTCTATAAGATAAATAAGTAGATATAATGTAGAAATGCAAAAAAAACTGTACTTAATAAGTCATTTTCTTGTTTCTTCTTCCAGTTTGTAAGTTTTTATTTGTTTTGCATAAAAAATACCTATTATTGGTTTGGTTCACATGCTAGGAAGAAAAAATAGACCAGTGTTTATTAGAAATATCACTAAAGAAAAACTTTATTTGTAAACGTAAAAAAATGACAACTACATACGTTTACAATAAAAATAGAAGCTACCAAATCTAAATTTCTTAAGAATTTCTTATGATACAAATAAGGATTACAAAAGAAGCTTCACAATCCTCCTCGTCCAAGACTACAAATATAGACGAAGATAATTAATACATATTTTTCTTCAGAATAGTTTCCCTTCATTGTTTGATTTTTATTTTATTTTTTGCCGGCAAAACATACGAATTTTTATTAAGGCGTTATCGCAATCAGGCATACCTCAGGAGGCAGCTCGTTTGGTGACAACGAGTTTACATAATCAAAACAGAACCCACGTGAACGTGCTCCTTTGGCTAAGGAGTCCGCACGAACATTTAGATTGCGTGGTACGAAAGAAATATCAAAACAAGTAAAACTGAGTTTGAGGCGAAGGATGTCTTCGATCTTGCAGAAAAGGCCGGCCATTCTTCTTCTTCTTTGATCATCTTTAGGACTTGTTGGCAGTCGGTTTGCAGATATAAATCTGTATACCCGATTTCTGTGGCGTTTTTCAGGGCCCATATGATTGCTTCAAGTTCAGCATGAGTCGCTGATTGTGTATTGGCGCAGGCCTTTGCTCCGTACAGACATGAACCGTCTTCATTCCTTAGGAACGAAACTCAGACCTGCACATTTAGCATTCTTGTCCCAGGATGCATCTGTGTTACATATGGGCCATCGGTTTCCTCTTTCTGCTTCGGCCGTTGGTTCTGTTTCCTCGTCGCTATCTAAGGTAGATTGCACCACTTGTGCCATCTTCCAACATTCGGTCTCGCTCAAAGCCCATTGGGCAGTATCGAGAGCCGAAACTTCTTCACCGTTAAAGGCTTTTTTGTTTCTAGCCTTCCAAATAAACCAGATTATCCATGAGAAGGATTCAATCTGTTCTTCATTTGCTCCCATTTCTTTCACTCACCAGAGCAAGTAGTCAAAATTCTTGTATATGGAACTACACGGGAATTCACCCGGAGAAGTCGGTACCGCCGATAAAGCCCAAGTTTGTATGGCCGGTGGGCACTCGAAGAAGATATGATTTATAGTTTCCTCGTCAGCACCACATCTCGGACAACTACGGTCCGTCCCACAGTGTCGTTCAACTAATTTGCTACAAGAAGCTACAACCCCGGAAACAACTTGCCACATGAAATGCTTCAGTTTTCCAGTTGTTTTTTACTTTCCAGATTTGTCGTTTCATCGTAGTTATGCTAGGTTTGAACACCGCCTGAGTGGTTTGTTGTGCCTTTAGCTCCATTGCAAGGGCGTAACCTGATCTCACCGTATATTGTCCCGAGGTAGAATGGCTCCAAACATATCCATCACGATCAAAGACTCTACTTGGTCTTAGGCTTGTGATGAGCGGGATATCCGTTGGATTTTAGTTGTTTGTTGACATTTGAGGAAAAGAAAAAAAATTGTTTAGTTTTATTGAAAGTAAACTTGGGAGAGAAGAAATATCTGATAGTACAATTCAGAGAATCGTGTGGCCATCTTTTCTCTGCAGTTTTACCAACAAAAATAAAAATGTTTTGTCTGCATGCAGCTTAAATGATTTCTTCTGATTCTTCAAAATTTATACTTTTTTTTTCCTACATAGAAGTATTTTTTTAACGCAAGCTTTCTCTTAAATACTTTTTGTTTTTTTTCCTACATACGCAGAAACAGTATGATTCTTGTCCATGTAACATCTCTTTGTCCTATGACTTCAACAAAATTTAAGTAAACTCGGTTTGAAACGTAATAAAGGAATAGAAAAGGGCGTCAATCTACGTTTTTCTTTGAATGATTATGCCTTGAACATTACAGCCAAATACTATTTCCTCTAGTTTGCAAACATTACAGCTACATACCATACCAATGAATCTCTCGAATGACCTGGCAATTTTGCAATTTCCCCCTTTCCAGAAGAACACGATATCAACTTTTTAAATCAAATATAGTAGATGTAAAAAAAAAACCAAAAAAAAATGAAATATAGTAAGTTGTAATGACTCGGTTAAGTCCTAAACCGAATTAACAAACATAAACTTTGGTTCTTGTATTCAGAAAATTTCTGAATCCACCTAGATTTATATGACTTGATCCAATATTACAGAATACGAATTTAAAAACGTTTAAAAAAAAATGTTATCGGACGCATTTATAACAAAATGAGCATTGATCTCCTTTCTCTTTCAAAGTCTTGAGTTTTATATAGGCTTACTAGCTTAGCCTTTACATGAGGTAAAAGGGTCTAAAGTTTCACGGTTTTGATCCCGAGAATCAATTCCCAAACATAAAAGTGTACGTATATAGACAGTAGGTTACTTGTACTCAGGCGTGTGAATGGTACGGAATTGTATCAAGCTTTGGACCAGAAGTCTACGTAGCTACTTAGCTCGGTTCTTATGTATATAACAAAGAGCATTCTAAACCTTTGTTGTCTCGGTTAATGTTAGAACTTCTGTGGTCAAAAGTTCGTAATTTTGAAGGATTTTTTTTAAAAACAACATAATGTATGATACTTTAAAATACAATGTGAAGGAAGATACCACTAAACTGCTTGTAGGGTTGCAACACGATTAATTGGTAGTCCCATTCACTAGCATCCTCCAATGTTGTAGCCATGCATAGATTAGCTTGTGACATATCGATTTGCAAGATTTGAATTGTCAAATCTTACTTAACATTCTCGTCAGTCCAACTTTGTTCCATCCGTATGTGGTACATGGCGGCGCTTTACAAAGAGATTTATTATGGTCTGCTTGTAAATGGTCCGTTATGACTTATGAGAATGTTTAATTTGATCGTATATATATTTCTACTGTGCTTTAACTTTTGTTGTAAAAACTCTAACGAAATGGTCAAATAAAAATCAAATTACAGAATTTGGGATCTACTGATCAGGTTTCTCAAAGCATAGCTTCGGAGGCTGGTAGAGGAGCAGGGACATGAATACGATTTTATCTAGCCAAAAGAAAGGAAACCCTAATACAGAGGAACTGACTTGCCCACCAAGTTTTCCATCTCCAAAAGTAATTACGCTAATCATCAATCTTATATATATAATAGGAGAGTTGCTCTCTCCATCTAGAGTGTCCACATCAGCACAAAAACATTAAATTGTATTTAAATTATTTATTAAATATATGACTATTCATATTTCTTTACATTTATTCATATTTAATAAAAATATACAAATAAATTAATTAATTAATAGAAAGTATGTGATAATTTGATGTTAAAAGTTATCAAAAAGTTGGAATATAAAATAGAGATGGAGTAAAGAAATATTTAACTTCAAATAGTATATATTTACCTTTTTATTCAAAGGATTTATCCTATTTAAAAATGTTATAATGTGTTTACAAGTTAAAAAGTTGAATATAAATTAATTAAGATAATAGAAAGCTAATGAAACATTAGAGTTAGAGTTTGTTTTTCTAAACAAATAGAAATGGAGTTTTATATGTAAATTTAATTGTAGTGAAAAACAAGAATATGTTTACAAATTTTAACCTTCAGTCAAATGCATATACATATTTATAAATTTTAACCTTCAATCAAATACATATACATGTTTAAGTCTAATAGTAAAAAAAAAAGTAAACAAACATAATATTTATAACATGATAAATTTTAGAAATAGAAAACTCGAGATAAAGCGGGGTGTTAATATCCTAATAAATTAAAATAAAAAACAAATTATTCATATTTTTTAGTGTTAGTGGTTGAGTTAACTCAAAACATAACAAAAACATGAAAGTTAATACAAAACCATCATAATTCAAATCAACGAGTATAAATAAAATTAAACAGAAAAACTATCGTAAACAACCCCGCGCTTGCGCGGGGCTTCAAACCTAGTATTATTAATCCAGATCCCCCTACAATTTTACAGCCATAAAAAATTAAAGAAAATTTAGTCACTATAACGATCAATTCAGTTGTTTACTCCTAAGAAATAAATTTGCTTGTACTATTAAATATTTTAAATATATCCTAATGTCGATGAAACTTGACGTACAACGGTACAAGTGTGATCTGCGGGACTCCTTTGACGTGCTCTTTAAATAAATCTTTCGTTTTGTGAATTTTTATACAAATGGGATGTGTTGAAATGAAAGAAACAAAAATTATGTTGTTCTTGTTCAAAATCTTTATCGTCAATTGTATTTTCTGCATCTTCATATAAATCACATTCAAAGATTTGACCCATATTGAAGTGACCGTATATTCACTATGGCTCAAATCTTTACAAGAATAGGGAAAAAAAATCGTCATTTAAATTATTAAATACAAGGTCCACATATAAAACGACACCACTTAAGATACTGTGATTCAAGAACCGAAATGCGGTCATGTTAATTACTTTCCTCATTGTACAACTTTGAGAGCGATTTTGGAAGAAAGCATGCACTTTTGTCCGGATCTTTTGCATTCTTGTCAATGATGCATCTACTCCATCTTTGGTTAGATTCCTGTTCATCTTGGGCGCTTCAAGACTGAAGATTGTCAAAACCATCAAGATCATCAATATAAGGTTGTTCTGAGAGACTATAAGGACCGAGAACACGACAGCTCAGACCAACAATAGAGGTTAGAAAGAGACAAGTCAGGAACAGAACTAGATGCGCCATGGAAAATAAACTGTACGAGAGCGAGAGCGAGATAGAGAGAAAGAATGTGCATTGACATGGGAATCTCAACATCAAATAGCATCGAGTTGCGGATATTTATTGGTTTAAAAGAGTTTTCTAGGATGTGAAAAAAAAACTCAAAACGAAATCGTGGAATGAAAATAGCAATGAAGGATTCCTGATAACTGGATAGAGTTTAAACATAACTAGTTGGGTTCTAGTGATGATGAGAGGTGGTGGCATTGTTAATTTCTCCAAAATCAATCAATCTCCCACAGAATTTGTTTTTTTAAAATAGACTTGACAAAGAAAAGACAAGACTCTAGGGTAATAAAAAGCTAGGAAACTCTCAATTTCAAACCACTAGGCTAGATCTAGCTTATCAATTCCAGATCACATTTGAGCAGCCAAATCTACAACTGCGGTTTCATCGACATCCAAGATTTTGACGTGATTAGGACGCATCGCTGGAACGGAGCTAGCAGGGACACATAGAGTTTCAGACTTTGTGAGGAAAATGACGAGATTTCCAATGTCTTGAGTGTAAACAGCGTGTCCTTCTTCTTCCTCTAGCTTGAACACCATTAAAGCTTTTGTTTCCAGTCTCTCAATACCCTTGATGGTCTTGGGAACGGTCTTCTTGTACCACTTAATCATGAAAGTTTCACCGGTGGTTGTTGACTCCACCAAGTGTTCGCTCGTGTCGCAAGAATCCAAAATCTCCAGTTTGGTCTTTGTCATCTTGGGAATGTTTTCAAAGCGCAACCTCTTAATCTGAGGTGTTTGATTCTGTTTGCCAGTGAGATCCCATGATCCAATAAGGTGGCCGCCAGATCCGGGAATGCGAAACACGCCATCTTTCTTGGAAAACATGATACGGGAGGAGAAGAAACAAGGGTTTTCGATTCTCATGTTGATCCACTCGGAGTAAGGTCCAGCAGCGGGTCTGCAAAAGCTGAGCTGAGGTCCCAAGAACTTGAGAGCCACAACAAAATCCTCCTCCTCTGGAGAAGATGAGGACATTGCCATGTTGGTGACCATTTGGGTTTGGCAAAGAGGTAGAGTTACAACAGGAGGCAACCAAACAGATTTGCTATCAAACTCGAATGAGGGAGTCGGGTGTTCTATGAGATGAACCCTGTCTTCTTGGAAAGTCGCTAACCATCCATTGGATGTTCCAATGATTCCGATTCTCTCCATTACCTCCATAGGCGCCTTTTTCTCCAAAGGAGTCATGTCACCATCCTTCTTAGCCACGAATGTTACGAGATGTGGTCTACAAGGATCAACGCACACGATGGCATCAGGAAGGGTTTGCGGCAAGTAAGACGATGACGAAGAGGAGGATCTTACCAACACAGGTTTCCGAAAGCATAGCTTCGGAGGCTGGTTGAGAAGCAGAGACATGAAAGATAACAAGGAAAACCCTAATTGAATAATTTGTGATATTGTTCACACTTAATACAGAGGAAGGGACTTGCTCACCAAGTTTTCCATCTCGAAAATTAATTACCCTAATTGTCATCATCATTAAATTAAATTACCCTAATACTGTATATCAAATGATCTGATTGTACGATGATAAGTATTCAGAATATCTTGAAGAGGTTGGATGTATCTTGAATTTTCCCTTTTTGTTTTGTTAAAAATTGGATGTATCTTTTTTTTTTAGTCAAAGGATGTATCTTTATGTTTACACTTTGAAGATAAATCTCATGAAAAAAAGTATCTTATGTTTTTTTAATAAAATTTAAAACCCTATAAAACAATTTAAAATCCATGGAAAATTAGTGCCTAAAATATATCCAACAGTAGTAGTAGATTTGAAAATGTCTGTTTTTCAGTTCTTCAACCCAAGAACTTTAAATATTGAAGATATTGGCGAATTATAATAAACTAGATTTATACATCCGCACGTTGTGCACGATTTTAGTAGAAAACTATTAACAATAAAAATAATTGATAGAATATAATTATAATTATTTTAATGTTGAATATATGTTAACAAAAGATTTTCTATCTCTTAGTTCACATGTAACACAATTTATTGCATATTTTCAACCTACTTCTGAACTATATAATTTCGTTTTTTAATCTTTATACATTTTTCATATTTTGATTAGTTGCATATACTTATTGTTCACTTTAGAATAACAAAAAAAAAACTGAAGAAAGCTAATCAGTTCAAATTTTAACACAATTTTGTACAAAAATTATGTTAATCATGAATACTAGACATTCTAAAATTTGCATGTATTTTATCTTGGAAAATGAGTCTTTTTCTTCGTAGTAAAAACTTTCAAAAAATTTCATATACTGTTACAAATAAACTTATAATTTCTATATTTTTAGTAGTTTGTAAATCTTCAAAATGAATATTGATTCATTTACTATTCTAAATGTGGTATAATGCTTTCTTATTTCCAGTCATATTTTTTGAACATTAATGTTATGTAAATAAATACATGTTTCTTCTAACATATTCATCTAATCTCTATTTATTTTTTTAGTTTATATTTTCTTGTGCTATATTTTTAGTTATTTTTCTTATAGATGTTTTTTGTTAAATCATAAATTTATATTAGTAAAAGATCTTATTATATAAAGCTAGATACGCGCAACGTGGTTGGGACACGTGAGATTTTTATAATTTATAGGATCGCGACATGTGTCACTTTTAATGTTATGTCCGATAAGATCTTGACACATGTATTGGAAAAAAATAACTAAAAAATGTTAGAAAAAGGAAAAAATTTAAAATGAAAGTTTAATCTATTATAGTAAAAAGGAAAAATTTATATAATTTTTTTATATTTGTCATATTTTAATAAACTAAATTTTCTATTACTGCATGAAATAGGTTATGTGAAACCCTATATTTTTAATACATATCTTTAATCCATATTTAATGACACATAGATGTAAATATCTTATTATAAGATACATATATAGTAATTTAGGGGGAATTTTTTTTCATATTTTAACGGAAAAATTTTCAGTATTCTAACGAAAAAAATGTATTTTTGCATGTCTTATATTTTAAGAAAAGGTTATATATTCTAAAGAAAAAAGGATAAAAAATTAAAAAATGAAAAAAGGAATTTGTTTTTTGCAAACCTTATATTTTAAGATAAAAATGATCCATATTCTAAATGGAAAAAAAAGAGAGGAATCTTCTATGTCTTAGCAAATCAAGGAAAAAATTACATTTTCTATATTTTAATGTTAAAAAAGTATATGTTATGTTTCACCAAACCCTATATAATAAGCTATAACCTTTAAAATTTAATTGTATGCTTCCATATTTTTTAAGAATAATAAATAATGTTTTCCAAAGTTCAAGAAAATAATGGATATTATTTGACTCTAAATCAATTGGATCAAAATTAATATTATCGTCATACTATAGTACGTATTATTCGAAATTGTGAAGCTAGAAATCCTAAAAAATATTGCTTTTAACAAAAAAAAAATGTTTATTACAGAATTATTACATAACTATTACTCTTTATTTTCTTTACTGTATAGTAGAACTGAAGTATATTATGTTATTCAAAGATTTCTTATCGGATTTTCAATATTATTTACTTATATTTAAGAGTAATAATATTTTTTTTAAAAATATTATAAGATTTCTTTTAGGTTTAGGGTTTAGGGTTTAGGGTTTAGGATTTAGGGTTTAGGGTTTAGGGTTAAGGGTTTAGAAACTCCGCGTATACGCCGGACCTTATCTTGTAATAATATAAGGATGAGTAGATTAATTGATTCATTAATTTTGGTTTAAATGTTTTTAATTTCGTTTTTTTTGGCTGATGTGAACTTTCTAAGAGGAGAGAAAGCTTAACTAAATAACACCAAAATTTAGGAAAGAAATATAAACTAATTAACACGAGATTTTTCATTTACACACATATCATTCAGAATTTTTATGTTTTTTTATTTTTATCATTTGTACCCACCAAGGTGGTTAACAGAATGTTATGATTCTGATTATGTAAAAAAATTTCAATAAATGAAATCATATTTTGTCAAAAAAAAAAAAAAAAAAAAAAAACAGACGAGAGCGCGATGTTCATCATCAAAGGGTTTGCAAGAAACACATCAACAGCAAAAAGTCAGAACCAAATCTAATTTTTCGTAATTTGTAATAATATTATAAATTAAGTGAAAAAAAAATGTTTTTCCTATTTAACAACATTAACAGAAACCATTATGTTATGTTATGTCATTGTCTTTGAAAAAACCATAAACACACAAATCTAATATATTATTTGCGAAGTGAATATTTTGTTTAGAGCCACCACATTGATTCTCAGCTGCTTGATTACCGAGTTACCCTTAATGAAAATTCTATTTTTAAAATCTTTATAATTTATTAATTTTTTTTAATTTCACGAATTATATTAGTAAATAAAAATATTTTATGATAATAATTCTAATATATTATTCGCGAAGTGAATATTTCGTTTAGAGCCACCACATTGATTCTCAGCTGGTTGATTACCCAGTTACCTTAATGAAAATTCTATTTTTAAAATCTTCATAATTTCCTTTTTTTTAATTTCACGAATTATATTAGTAAATAAAAATATTTTATGATAATAATTCTAATTACCATATTAGGCACCACAATTTTGGAAGAAATTTAAAAAATTGGAAAGATAAAAAAGGAAAACCTAGGTTTCTCAACCGACTTTGTTATATAAATAGATAGCAACTTGCAAAATCAACACAGTTTACGATTCTTTTTTCTAGACGTATGATAATATTTCGGAGTCCATATTTCATCTTTTTGTCATGTAGGTTTATTGTTTTTGTTGGATCTTAGTGTTATTAGCTCTAATGATTAACTGATTATTCATTATTTTTCTTTAAATTTTATGCAAAGATTCGGATCTAACTTCTAATTTTTTACCTTCGTAACAGTAAATTCATGCTTTGTTAACTAATGAAATCAAGAAGATCAAATATGGTACCAACTCAAAACAGTTCTTCCCACGAAATATGTGGTATGTACATCTTTCCTTTTTTAAACAACTTAAATCTCATAAAACCCTAATTCGACTAAGCTTATCTAAAAGGATTTTCAATATTCGTTTAAGATCCATCATATTAGTTTCATATTTCATAGTAAATCGTAAGTGATTATTTTATCAGTTTCATATTTCAAGATGAAAAACATAAATAAAGAAAAATGAAAAGGAAGCCGAAATTGATAAATAAGATACTGAAAAAAAAAAGATTGATAATAAAAAATGACAATGAATATAATATGAAATAAGAAGAAAAACCTGAATAATAGTAAGGGAAAGATGAAAGTTGGAAGACAAAGACGAAAAAAAAAAAAAAAACAGAAGAAGAAAAGAACTGAAGAATATGTGAACAACAAAGAAGTTGGAAAAATCAAAAGATAAAAAAAAACGAAGTTTAAGAACACAAAGCCAAATGAAAAACAAATTGTAAATAAAATGAAGAAAACGAATAAAAACCAGAAATAAAAAGATGATAATGAAGAGAGAGGAAAATAAAAAGAGAATAGAAAGTTTGGTAAGAATAAGAAAAAATGGTAGAAAATGAAGGAAAAAATTTATGAAAGAAGTAAAAGAAGAAGATAATATGCGGTTGGAGTTTATGATGTACCGTTATAATGTGGGGTTTAAATTTAGGGTGTAGGGTTGCTTTGAGGGGGGGGGTTGTTACACTATAGGGTTTGGGTTTAGGGTGGGTGGTGTTACACTATGGGGCTTGGGTTTAGGATGTAGGGTTTATATTGATGGGTGTAGGGTTTAGTTTTTGGTGCATTTTTAAACATTTGAATGGAAGAATATCGTAAATAAAAATCATTGATTATAAAGTTATATCCACCTTTCTAAATTACATTCACAAATAGAAAAATTAACAAATTAAAGCAAATCCATAGTGGAAAGATAACAAAACCATGATAGATTTTTAAAAGATCTTGACTATATAAAGAGTTGGAGAAGAATGAAAGAGAACAAAATTAGAAGTGTGAAATCTTTTGTATCTCCCTAAACGAATGAAAAGAATATTATATAGAAGAACGAGAAAGAGAAAATAAAAATAAGACACATCAAAATTATAGAAATAAGAAGTTAGCGAAAAAAAAATTAGTATAATAAAAAATTATACTACTTATATTATTAAAATCTTTATTTAATTAATTTATTAAAAAATATTGTACCCGCACAAGGTGCGGGATAACCACCTTGTAAGTTATATAAATATAAATGTTTATCTGGGACCAATTTGTTTTCAAAAAATAAGGACCAATTTTTTTTTTCTAGAAGATAGGTGTGAGGTGTGAGTTCTTGTTAATTCGGTTTACCTCTAAACCAAGTTATTACAACTCACTAGTTGAATTAGGAACCGGTTCTGGAAAAAACAAAACTTGCAAAACCGGGAATGTAGAAGAGAAACAGGCTTGATAGGTGCAGATGGAAATATATATATATCTTTACCAATATTGATTTTTTTTTGTTTTGACTGCTACTCATATCAATTTCTTGAGATGGAAAATTTGGTGGCCAAGTCCCTCTCTCAGTCTTGAATTAGGGTTTTTTTTTTTCTTCTTTTTCTTATTTTCTCTTTCCATCCTCTTGGCCGCCTCTCCCTAAGAACACCAATTCTTCAATAAGGGGTTTCCTTTCTTTAGATAAGAAACATTATTATTCATGTCTCTGCTTCTCAACCAGCCCTCGAAGCTATGTTTTCGGAAAACCTGTGTTAAGATCCTCTCCTCTTCACTCTGATGGCTTCTCGTCTTCTTCCTTGGCGCCGCAAACCCTTCCTTATGCCATCGTCTGCGCTGATCCTTGTAGACCAAATCTCGTAACAGTCGTGACTAGGAGGGATGGTGACTTCAGTCCTTATGAAGGGAAGATGCCTATGGACTTGGTTGAGAGCATGGGAATGATAGGAACATCCAATGGATGGATAGCTAATATGAATAAGGGCGTGGTGGATCTCCGAGAATTCCATCGCTGATATGAAAAGCATTGAGTTGCCTCCTATTGTAACTCTGCCTCTTTGTCAAACCCAAATGGTCACCAACGTGGCAATGTCCTCATCTTCTCCAGAGGATATAGACTGTGTTGTGGCTGTCAAGTTCTTTGGACCTCAGCTCAGCTTTTGCAGATACCCTGGTAGAAGTGACTCCGAGTGGATCAACTTGAGAATCTCAAACCCTAGTTTCTTCTCCTCCTGTCATGTTTTCCAAGAAAGACGACATGTTTCAAATTCTCGGATCTGGAGGCCACCTTATTGGATCATGGGATCTCAGTTGGATCATGATCAATGGATTCATCTACATGAACATGTTCGCAATCACATGAAAAGTTTCAGAGGTTGCGCTTGAAAAACATTCCCAAGCTGGCAAAGACCAAACGGGAGCTTCTGGATTCGTGCTATACGAGTGAACACTTGGTGGAGTCAACAACCACCGGTGAAACTTTCATGGTTAAGTGGTACAAGAAGACCGTTCCCAAGACCATAGATGGTATTGAGAGACTGGAAACAGAAGCTTTAATGGTGTTCAAGCTAGACGGGAAAGGAAACGCTGTCTACACTCAAGACATTGGAGATCTCGTCATTTTCCTCACAAGTCTGAGCCTCTTTGCGTCCCTGCTAGCTCCTTTCGGGACATGCGTCCTAACACGTCAAAATCTTGGATGTCGACGAAACCACAGTTGTACATTTGGCTGCTCAAAACTGGAATTGATAAGCTAGAGTCTTGAAGTCTGAAATTGAGTTGTTTTGAGTCTAAAGTATTGTCTTTTCTGTGAGATTGATACACATTTGTACTTGGAGAAACTTTGCTAATTACTATCATCTTTCATGATTCTCCTAACTATTCTTTGATCTAAGGGTCATTGCTTATGGTGACGGTTTCGGCTCAATTTGCGTCTCAAGAATTATGCTAAGAATCTCTACGACTTGTCTTAGTAATGTACGACGGGAGCATTCTGATTTCAAATAATTCAATTATTTATATATACAAATGCAAGCAATAAAACTGACTGAAAGAGTTAAAGTTGAGACATAATTTAGACAAATCACTATCACCAAATTTCTTTATTTAGACTTGTATTCACATATCATCATCGTAGATGAAGATCATTAAATATATTAAGTTGAATAGTGAATATATACAACTCTAAATCACTTGCCGTTTCACGTCTCCAACACGAGATTTTTTCATGTAAACAACATATCATTCGGAAATTTTAATGGATGATACAGACGAGAGCGGGATGTTCATCATCAAAGGGTTTGCAAGAAACACAACAATCAAGATTCCTGCAATGACTTACAGCGCAAGTTACCATCAGGTCCGCCTCTGGCTGCCACCTACACACTATTCCTAGTCTCTTATTTCAAAAATATACTTACAACTCAAGTTACCAACTCCTTTACCCCAGTTTCCGCAAGCGTATTCATACCGCACTTTAGTTTTCCAAGTTTTCCAAGCTCCAAAGTAGATTCATTTTATTTCAGAGATTTTCATCTTCCCATCTCCAGCCTTATCGAATTGGTCCAACAAAGTGCAATATTTTATTACATAGTTTTCTAAAAGAAAGCAAAATACAAAACAAAACATCAAAATGGCTTACTTTATAAAGCTTTCCCAACCGTATTAATTGTCCATCTTGCAATATCATTTTAACCTCGGACATGAGCTAAAAGCCTAAAGCCTCGCTTTATACACGCTTTTCTATTGTCCACTCGTATCCACCAGCTACAGAGATTCGTAAAAGTTCAAAGTTTAGGTTCAAAAGAATGAGGTTGACAACAAATATAGATTTAGAGTTTGCTACCGAGAGAGCCAAGAGGAAAACAGTTCCACGAGTGGAAACTATCAGACTTTAACTTGCTTTCAAAGGTGTAATTAACTAACGTGAGAAACATGATCGTCACTTTTTGGTTCTTGAATCTGCTTTCACACTTGCTTCAAGAAATTAAAAATGATTCGGAAGAAATAAACTAGAGAAGAGCTTCACAATCATGTTACTTGCCATTTACCAGGGAGTCTCTTCAATAGCCCTGGGCCTTAGCTTTGATAGATTATGTAGGAGGTTTTAGTTTCATCAAACCATAAGATATACCATTCAATATTGTTTACTTCAATTCTGGAAAATATATATACCAAGTTTTGTAATCTTTACCACTTATTTTTGAACCAACTGATTTGAACCAGTGTCACCGAAAACCATACAAGCACCAACATAAATGTAGAATAGAATTGAGAAAGAAAAAGAGGAGGATTTTCTGAGAGATAAAATTGTCTGTTAGTACTTATAGTGTCCAATGTAAGAGCCAATTTTACTTTAGTTTTTTGTTAAATTAAATAGAAGAAATGGATTACAACTCCTACAAACAAAAAAAAAAATAATAATATGAGGACATGGAAATATGGGGACATGGAGAACAACTCCACTCTTTATTTTTTACAGAACTGAAAATTATGATTAGTCTTATTGATTTAGATTGAATACGTTTGGGCTTAGGACTGAAATTTCTGAATCCAATGTCAAAAATTACACAAAAAAAACGCACACTTTCTGAATTATATTATCTCATTAGATCACCACTGTCTCCAAACTCAATAACCTTTGGTTTTGTCTCTTTTAATAGCTATTTTTTTCTCTAAATCGTATCAGTTTGATCTTCAAACCGCTTGATCACTCTCTGTTTTTTTTTTTTTTTTTTTTTTTTTTTTGTGATATTAAATCGAAAGTGAAAACTTTTGGGAGAAAAGAAAATCGTTAAGGGTTGAATAGTAATTGGGAAAGAAACTTGAGAGCAAAGGAAATTGATGATGAAAACATCAAAGACGAACTAATGGGAAAGGGGGCTCGGGAAAGTGATGGTGAAAACATCAAAGAAGAATTCATTTTGCTGTGGATGAGTAAAGAGAGTGAAAATCAAGAAAGAGCACTAAAGAGATAGGAAGACCTCTAAGAATTTATATAGTAAAGTGAGAACCAAAAAAATCATACATTCATTCTGGTTTCAGGGTAGAATAACAAATTATTTTTGGTTGCTTATATCGTATGCATACACATAACACATTGCAGTGTTTTGGTTCTCCATAACCAATTTCACTATGTTTTGTGTACCTATAGAATCTCACCACCACAAATCAGTATGTACATCATCTCCAATAAAAAACCAATTTGTTATTGGTTCTGATCCACCTCCTCTCCAACAGAAACAAAGCTAATTAAAAATACTAAGCATCAACTTATACCATAACGAACATGTTTATTTCCCTCTAAGTCATGGAGATGGAGGAGCAAAGAAGAATGGATCTTCTCTGTTGTTATAAATCTCGAAGAGTTGTTTGGAGTACCGTCTTGCTAATTCTCCGCAAACCTCAACCGCTTCAAAGTCGAAACTCTCCAATTCCTCAACAGTTTTCACCAAATCACCCTCAGGATCTTTATCCGTAAGAAACTGTCCAATGCGAGTGCCCCTAATCAATCATCATTCAAGAAACGTAAAAAAAATCAAGAAAACGTTTAAAAATATAGTCTTTTTAAAAAGGGCTTGTTTTAGAGTTTACCTTTTGGCGTCAAGCTTGTTGAAACCGCGACTATTAGTGACATGACTTGTTCTTGATAACTTCTCATCTTCCGTTTGAAACCTGTAAAGAACACAAACCGCTCTCATGCAAAGCTCCGGATCTTTGCCGAAATCCGCCAGCATGTCTGCCTCGTACTCCCAATTCCGGTCCTTTGGTTTCTTGTCCCTCCTCAATCTTGACATGACCTCCACGTAAACGGTATCATCCTCCTCCGGTGGTGCATCATCATCGCCTCCGGTTTCATCAGACTTCTCACTCGTAATCTCATCAGGGACAATAAAGCCATCCAAGCTATTGCTCTCGCTCCCTGACTCTTCTTCTTCTTCTGTCTCATCATCCTCAGCATTATCAGTAGTTTGGATTCCAACAAGTCTCTCACTTCTTGAAGTAAAGCTCTCTTCAACAACTCTCTTTTCTCTCAGTCTTGACGACACTCGACGCTGTCTCTTCAATCTTCCAGGCTCGTTCTCTTCTTTACTCGGTGGTGAATCAACCAATCCGTACGTTTCTTGTTTCACTGGTTTCAGATTCTTGAGTATTGCGATCGGTATGTTGTCGTCTTCATCTTCAGCATCGTTATTCTCCGAGTCACTAGTAATAACACGTTTCCTCTTACGACCACCAAGAGGAGTGTTTGTGTTAACTTCACAATCTTCATCTTCATAGTTCTCACCAACACTTCTCTCCTCTAAAGTGTCCACACCATCAGATTCCTTCTCGCTTCTCTCCTCTGCATCACTATCAGATAATACAACTACATCAACCGATTTGCGACCATCATCATCAAACACCAACATCTTCTTTACTCGTCTCCGAGAGGACGCATCATCTCTGTCTCTCCCCACCATATAGTCTTTAACCGGTGTGGTAATATAAGGCAAACCTAGCAAAAGCAAAAGCGGATTAATATGAATAATAACACTTCTTGATAACACTAATATATATTCTTCTTCTCACCTGATATTTGATGATAAGCTAAACCTTTCCTATTCAGATCATCTTGACAAGATTCAGTTTTCTTTGGTATCGGTAACTTTATCTTAGCTAAACCTAACCCTAGCTTTACGTTTTCATCTAGCGATTCTAATTCCAATTCTCTCAATGCACCAATTTCATCTAACTTTCGAAACGTATCCACAAGAGTCTCGAATTTTCTCTTCCAATCCTTGGCTTCTTTCTCAGCCACCTGTTTCTCATACTCCACTGTTGTGGTCACCATCATCTGCTCAACTAACTCTTCTTCCGATTCTTTATACCTCTGTTCAAGTGATTCAAATTCCTTATTCCGTTTCTGCAACTCTGTTTCTAACTCAGCTTTCGAAACCCTTTCTTCTAACTCAAGACACCGACACTCTCTCTCAATCGACATTGCCAATAGATTCCTCTTTTTTAAAACTATATAATTAAAACCCTAGAATCAACAAGCCTCTGTGATACTACTAATAGGTTTTCTTAATTTACAAACAGCAAAAATATAAACAGAGTTTATTTAAACGCGTACCTCAAAAAAAAAAACTGATGCTTCTTAAATCATAATAAATTGTAAATTAAAGAGGAAAATCACGAATTCATCGCAATTTGGGAGAAGATCATAAGACTTTTAGTCGGAGAAGGAGAAAGAAAGAAGTACTTTCTATTTTCCTTGTGGAAACGGACACAACTGTTCAAAAGCCCTAATAAACGCGAGGTTAATAGTTGCCCCGTGTGACGATTAATGATCACGACGCGTGTTTAGAGCTGCCACGTGTGACGAACTGACGATTGTAATCTCTGCACTACACGCCGTTTTTGAGATAGACTAAATGTCACGCATTTCCCCTCTCTAAAGTCTAAACTAAGGACTGGCTCTGTTGATAAAAGAAACTTTCTAAATGGGCTCATATTGGGCCTTCGTTAAGGCTAGTTTATTTTCGGTCCGCCTGGTGGCATTGGATTCTCTATGTTAATATAAGAAATGAAACTTCTGTATCATACAGAGAGTTTAAATGGGAACAAGACAAGGGAGCTACTGTTTGAAAATCAAGAAGACATTCCTGAAGCTTTCTATAAGATTTTGCTATTCGGATTCACTTATTCTTGCTCTTGTCACTTCAAAAGTTAAAATTGATTGCCTTTTCTTTCTTTTTTTTTACCCCTTTGGTTAATTCCTAGAGAAGTTTTTATGATCTGACAAGAATAATGATTTCAGTATACCACCTTTGTTGCAACATTTGACTCTTGAGAGGGAAAGAGAAAACAAAAACTTACATGTATTTTTGGGTAAATGGGACCAGTCAACCAAAGTTAATTTCTCGATTTGTTGACATATGAATTCTGCAGTGGCTCCGTTTTTTCATGGTAAAACTGCAATTTAGGGACGCTTGTCACAATGCAAACGAAGATTCAATTAACTAGTGTCTGTATGTATAGTTAAAATGGAATTAAAACTCCCCAAGTGTATGGATCGAAGATGATCACTAGATTTTAGTCAAACGTGTACGGGTCCAATAATCATATTATTATTTTCAGTTAATAAAAAGAGCAACGCCAATTTGGCATACATATTGTGCCAGAGTGAGATGAATAAAGAAAATATAAAATAACAGCATACAATGTATGTTATAGCGTGTAAGACTTACCTCGAAAGGAAGGAATGTTCAAATTCGTTTCTTCTAAATTTCTTTTTCAGTATAGCCTATAGCTGCTTACGCAATAGTTTATATTTCGTGTTTTGTATACAAATTCTTTTTGAGACTTACAAATTATCAACTGAAGGATTTAAGTTTAAGTTTTTGCTCAAATTTGATACTTCTTTAGTATAGTAAAACAAAACAAGTAGTAAAGATGCATGCACCACATCACAAAAAGGTGCATAACCATAACCACTCATTATGGTTTTAGTAGAAGATAGGGACACTGCATTCACTTGTGGGCTCTTCGAATCCAATTTGCAATCAAATGTATTATGGGTCCCCACTTATTTGGGGGAAACCATTTCTTCTTTAAATCTACCTAGCCGTCAAGATTTATTTTCCCAAAATTATTTAATAAGTAATTAACACTATTTAGGGGTCATGTTCAGTACTGATTATCCATTGCTGAATGAAAGAGTATTAGTATCTCTTTCTCTTTAATTCGTGGTCACACAAAATAGTATGTGGCCTTAATGAGATTTGATATATGGACTGTCTCAAGTCATTAATGTGTCTTACAAATTTAAACATTGGTAGATTTAATGCAGGATAATAGTAGTTGAACGTCATCTGTAAAATCTCCAAAGAGGATCTCTTGTCTCTTGCTTGTAAAACATGCATGGCATTTGTATCATGCACCAATATGATTATTAGTTTTAGGTGATAATTAGGAGGATTTAAAATGATTTTCTCGTTTTCTTGACAAGCTGAGAATATTCAGATATAAAGAATTAAAAATACAAGATTTTGTTGCTGACATGAGTGACATGCAAACTAAAAAGAATTCTTTAGAGGACTGTGTATCGATTTTGTGCTCGTTTCTAACTTTGTTGTATCGTGGTTTTAGAATTATAATGAATCCTGAATAAGTGTTTGGTCTTTTAATTTGATGGCTACATTGTTTCTTTTTCCTTGACTGTCCTCTATATGTTCTGTTGTTCCTCTTATAAAGCTCTCTAAACCTCATCCCTACTACTTTTGTGAAACACACCTAATTTTCTGTAAAAAATAAGTTCAAACATATTTAAAACAAATAGATTGTTCCATTGCTGTCAATTACTGTAAATCGTAAAAGAAAATAAAAATGAGCTAAGTTGTTTTTTAGGAAACCCACTCGTATTACAAACATAATCATTACCTACGATGTTTGTGTCTTTCATAGATGATGAAAATCATAATATGTAATCATGAAATAAGGCACATTGGGATTGGGGATGAGAGAGAGGGAGCAATAAAGCGTTGCTCATGTATTTCGTGGTAAGAGTAAATGATATTTCAGATCTTCGTAGCGATTAAAGTTTGAGTAGGGCCCATCTCATTCACCTCTTCAGCTACTTCTACATTTTTGTTTCTACTATAATCGATTTTATTGTTTACCCAAATAAACAAATAGAAATAAAACTTCATCATTCAAAAACCTTAGATTCTGCTTCTAGTACAAACCTTTGCCAATTTATGCATATATTCACATTTTACCGTTGATGCGAAGCAGAGAGAGATACACACATAGTTATATACAACACCACATAGTCATGTCCTAGTGACTGCCGATTTACAGAGACGAGAGACGTGTAGGGATGTAATACGTAGGTAGGGTGCAGGCAGAAATTAAGGAAATTAAATTTTTGTCATGCAAATGTAATAAAAGCACATAGAAAGAGACAAATATGTAGTAGTATTAAACTTTTCTTTTCTTAAAAGGTCGAATATTTTAAATAGAGAAATGAAAAAAGCTCCGGAATCCAAGCTTTCTATTTCAAAATTCAAAGTTTATGTTCTTTCCTCGAATTCTTTTTTTTTACATATATATGTATATAATTTAGTCAATTTTTGCTTATCATTACGGTTCTTCATTATTATTATAATCTTCTTTTACGAATCTTATCAACACAAGCCCTTGATGTTATCTCAAAGAACCATTTAATGCTCGATCGGAGCTAGGGTTTTAGAGCTGATTTAGTCCAAAGCTAAAAACCTAGGGTTTTGTTTTTTTCCTTGTCTGAAACGATCGTAGGATGCAGGTGTAGCATTTAGCCATTTAGGGCATACTGCGTTTTGGTCCCTTATGCGACTCTTATTGTCAAACTTCACAACTACGTGAGTCGTCCCCATAACACACATGCAAGCCCCGGCCTATACGCATTTTTCCTATCAGACTACGTAATATTTATAATATGCAGGGACCTAATGCATAAATGTATTGTCTGATGCGGTTTTGTTGCAAGTTTTTAACCTAAATATAATTACTATCCTAATTTATATCTCATATATGAATTCTTAAGCGACCAAGTGAACACACTGACACAAATCTCTACTGTCGACAGGATTAAAATTCCTTTCTACTACGACCATGTAATGTGTTTGATTAAAGTTATAAAAAAAAGAGAGCTGAACAACAACATCATAAAGATAAATATTATATACTATTATAAACTCTATATATAATCCGAAAATTGAGTGCGAGTCATTTAGAAGCAGATTTGAGTCGACGCTACGTTTGAAAACTATTCATTTGTCAAAAACTTGCGGTGATCTCACACTCGGAAGAGTTGAACAGGCCAAAACCTCCCAACTACACCGATATAAGAAAAAAGTGGAACCACGAATTACCTATTTTATTCTAAATATTTCACTACGTCTATTTGAATATAAATGATTTCTAGAGATTTTCAGTCTTTAAAATATTTTACACCTTCAATTAGTACATTTATAGTTAAATGAGTCTCTCTTTAGATTTAATAAATTGAAACAGCATAGATAAAAATGAATTATAAAAAAATGCATTGAAGTACCAAAAAATGTTATCTATACAACAAAAAATAAGGTCGAGAGATGTTTTTTTCTTTCTTTACATCATTTAGATCTTTGAAATAAGGTCAATGACCATCTAGAGAGAACCACAGCTACAAGATCCAAAAATCTATAAATAAAACTAGTTTGCAGTGCACCAATTAAAACCTAAAACCGCATGCAACAAGATGATCTTCAGTGCAATAAGAATATAGGTGCACATATATATATGTCAATGTTTGTATATGGGAAAACACAGATGCATGTATGCTGATAAGTATGAATGAGGAAGTAGAATCTCGGGCACGGAGAAGGCGTGTCCGATCATTGAAAGCCGCCCACAATCTTTATTATCTTTGCTTCACAAGTACTGATTCCTGCTCAACTTGCAGATACCTTGTTTCATGAACTAACTCTCTTTCTCATTCTCAACATTTCTGATTAATTGCTTTCAAAAGTCAATTATTACTTTAATAGAGCAATAAATTTCACTATTTGTATATTCTGTTAGTCTGTCTAGTTTTTGTTTGTTTGTTTTTGATTAGTAATTATCGACGCCAACTCATGAGTTCTTCATTGGGACTACAGGAAGAATATAATCAACATTCGTTATATCATATCATAAATTTATTTCAATCGGTCTTTTTTATTTTATTTTCGTAGTAGTAATGTCAAGAGCAACGGTGTTATAGAATTTTTGATTTTAATTTAAGAAATCAATTGAGCAAGACAAAATTGTACGAAAATTGGAAGCATGTCATAGTCTCCATAAAAGAGTATATCCGTATATGTATGAAATTGAATAACGTCTTGGATCCGAGTCATATCTCAATTTAATATAATGCATGCATGCATAATTAAAATTTAGGTATACAATACTAGTGTTTGATAAACAAAATTAATCAAAACTATGGGAACCATATCTTCTTTCATTTTCTGTCTGTTTGTTTGTAGTACACTGTGTTCGGTCTAATGGTTAAAATTGAAAACCGAATTCTACATTGTTTGATAATCATAGATTTTGGAATTTGTCACATGAGATCGACATTAACATCAAGAAGTAAAATTTTACATCTTAACTCTTAAGGCATTGTTACATGGCATATATAAGTAAGCGTTGCATTAAAAAAAGATACATATAAGATATCTTTAACTGATGCTGTTTTTCAACCATCGAACTCTGGTTTTTATATCTTGATCCCTATTAATTTTGGCTAGAAACAAAACATAAAGGAGAAGAGACCCGTTACTAAAAAGACATGGTCAGGTAAACAATATCTGACAGGCAACACATTAACTTCAAACCTAACGTCTACCTGGTTTTGTCTTTGGCTCCATTTTCTTAAATTTTTATTTATTTTCTAAAACACTTGATTGTATTATTATCATTGATATATACGGAAAACCTATAAATATATCAATGTACAAAATATTTCAAACTTTTTGAAAGGGAAAGTTCAAACGAAGGTGGCTCCTCAAAAATCAATTTGATTTTGAAGAGACAAATTGAGGCACGACTAGTATGACATCAAGTATTTATTGCCTTAGATCTATCCCTTGTCTTTTATTTTCTTAAAAACAAATTGGTGTTTCTTCTTGTATCAATTTAGAGATGAACTTACAATAGAGGTGTATATATATATATATATATATATATATAAATTCGTCAACATGATAGGGATCCATTTGTCAACCCAAATAGGTTTTTTCAAATCCTGAAGTAAAAATAATAGTCAAACCAAACTAAGACCCCGAGCGGTGAGCGTTTAGAGTAATAAGAAAACTAAAAAGAATGGAACAAAGAGGACTAAAACAGAAGATTTTAAGAATGGAGGAACTATTTAATAAATCTGTGAAGCATGAAAATGACAATAATATGTTTGAAATTGGTTTATCAATCACAAAAGGCGTCTAAAATTTGTATAGATTAATTGAAGTGAATAATTGATCCATAATGCGAATGTACCCACATATCATTCAATTGACTGTCTCACGAGCGATGGCACTAAAATAAATGTGAATTCAGTAATTTCAATACCTTTTTCTTTCTTTCTTGTATATGTTCACTCGAAAACGGGGATTGGTCGGACCATTCGCAACCCAAATATATACGTAAATTAAATACAAAGAACGTACATGTCCGTGTTTGTGCGCATTTACATGCTTTTGTGTACAAAAAACAAATATACCGCGAGGATGTGATTATTCAAAATTTTACCCCAAAATAAATCCATAAAAATCTCTTCCTAAGGAATTTATGTATCATGCAACCTCTATCTCTCTCTAATATAAAGCATACAAGAAAACGTACCCTATATTTATGTATATTTATATCTAAAACATAAATGACGACACACCAAAAAACCTAGATTCTCCTCAAATTTCATCCAACGGCACAAACCGCATAATAAATAACCCAATTAAAATATAAATTGAAATTGGATAGCGATAGTTTAGTCCTCGATGGATGCGAGTCCCTCATATTTACTCCTTTTGGCATCCAATCTCTCTATCTCTCTCTCTAAACTTGATATGTCTCTCTTCGTCTCTTTCTTTCTCTAAATCTTGCATCTTCTTTTTTTCTTTTTTTTTTAATACAACCATAAGACAAAACAACGAACGAGGAAGAGAGAGAGAGAGAGAGAGAGAGAGAGAGAGAGAGAGAGAGAGAGAGAGAGAGAGAGAGAGAGAGAGAGAGAGAGAGGGAGAGATATTTCTAGTCATGATGCAGGAGATAATACCGGATTTTCTTGAAGAGTGTGAATTTGTCGACACTTCACTAGCCGGAGATGATCTATTTGCCATCTTAGAGAGTCTTGAAGGTGGCGGAGAAATATCTCCGGCGGCTGCATCTACACCTAAAGATGGAACCACAACTTCGAAAGAGTTAGTAAAGGATCAAAACTATGAAACCTCATCTCGTAAGAGGAAGAGGCAAAGACTAACCGAGAAAGAAGAGGAAGACGAAGAAGAAGATGGAGAAGGAGAAGGAGAAGAGGGAGAAGAAGAGAATAAGCAAGATGGGCAACAAAAGATGTCTCATGTAACCGTGGAACGTAACAGAAGAAAGCAAATGAACGAGCACTTAACTGTTCTACGTTCTCTTATGCCTTGTTTCTACGTCAAAAGGGTATATTCGATTCATCTATGTATTTTCCTAGTCAATACTTTGGTATCTGAGTTGTCGTAGCACCTGACTAATTAATACTAAAAAAAAACATAGTTTCAATTAATCTTTTTGGTATACCTAACTATCATATCATTACTTAGAAACATAAATTACAACAAAAGTATCATATCTGTGTTTTCTTTAAGGAATAATGACAATTATCATGACATTTGGTCCCACTAATCATCTCTTTTTCTTTTCTTTCTTTCATGTCACAATGTGATAGATGGAATGTCCATATTGACTTATATTGTCTTTTCCTCTCATCGTTATAAAAGGGGGACCAAGCATCGATCATAGGAGGAGTTGTGGAATACATAAGCGAGCTACAACAAGTTCTTCAATCTTTAGAAGCCAAGAAACAACGTAAGACTTACGCGGAAGTTCTAAGCCCGAGACTAGTCCCGAGTCCACGACCTTCACCGCCTGTCCTAAGCCCGCGAAAACCGCCTCTTAGCCCGCACATCAACCACCACCAGCTACACCACCACCTCCTTCTCCCTCCCATAAGCCCTCGAACCCCTCAGCCCACAAGCCCATACCGGGTCCATCCGCCGCAACTACCACCCATCCCACAGCCTCCTCTTCGTTCTTACAGCTCATTGGCCGCTTGTAGCAGCTTAGGGGACCCACCTCCTTACTCTCCGGCTTCATCTTCTTCCTCTCCTTCAGTCAGTAGTAATCATGAGAGTAGTGTGATAAATGAGCTCGTTGCTAACTCAAAATCGGCTTTGGCTGACGTGGAAGTTAAGTTCTCAGGAGCTAACGTGCTGCTCAAAACGGTGTCACATAAGATACCGGGACAGGTTATGAAGATAATCGCTGCTCTTGAGGATTTGGCTCTCGAGATTCTTCAGGTTAATATTAACACTGTCGACGAAACCATGCTTAACTCTTTCACCATCAAGGTACGTACGAATAATCATCATCCTATTTTAATTCTCACTGATTTTGTTTTTTTTTATATGAGTGTAATTCATACATTTATTTTTCTTACATAGGATATATGGTGGTGGTAAATGGTAGGGTTCTGTAATAAGTAATAATTCATTCACAGTCACATAAATTCATAAATAGTTTATAGAAATATAAGAAATTCAGTGTAAAGATACATAATTCTTATCTACACTGTATATATATACATAAATGCACACAAACATAGGGTATGTCAGATTCCTCACAAGGATACAAAACTAAACTGTTCTTTGTTTTATATACCTTTTACTAAAAAGCTCTTAATATATACATTTGACTTTTTTTCAAACAAGCCAAGGTGTGTATAACACGTGTTCCCATATGTTATGTACATATTCATTTGCTATTCTTTATAAGTGAACATTGCAGATCATCCTAAATCTTAAATTCTAATTTTGAAATATAGAATTTAGTTAATGGTTGACATTTAGTTAATGGTCAAGATTTAGTTAATGGTTAATAATACTCCATGTCAAATTGTTAATAATACATTTAGTTAATGGTTGACATGGAGTATTATTCTATACAGTTGACATTTAGTTAATGGTCAAGACTTGGTTTCTATGCCCCGTAAATACATAATTTGTCCAGCAAAAAAAGAACTGATATACAATAGTTGTAGATCAAAGTTATGATATTAATTGACAATTATCTATATAACTGATCTCTCTTTTTCTTTTGATAGATTGGAATTGAGTGCCAACTAAGCGCAGAAGAACTGGCTCAACAAATTCAGCAAACATTCTGCTAATAAAAGAAGGATTCAATACATCTTCGTATAAACCCTAACGAGAGATCAGTACGTACTCACTTTCTCTCCTCATTATCCTTTTCTTAATCATCCTCAAACTTTTCTATAAGGAAATGAAGTTATTTTAAATAATATTGTTATTTAAGATTTAATTAATAATAGCTAATATATATTTAAATGAGGTTTTAAAAGTAGTTTCATATAAAACAGCTTTGTCACATGTTTTTTTTTTCTTTTTAATTTTAGAATTAGAGCAACCGCGCGTACTACTACCATGTAACGTTTTTTTTTTTCTTTTTCTTTTTATTACTCAAGAATTGTTGCTGTAATTGCAATGAATGAACAATAGTGTATGAGTTTCTCATGAATATCATTAATGTTGCATCTTAACTTTCAGAGCCGATTTTCTACAAATGGATAATCTATTTAAGAGATCAGTATATAAGGATGTGACGATATTATCTTGCTCGAAGTGACCGTATTTACATATTTGTGCAAGAACTAATTTGAATGTCTGGTTTTCGTTTTTTTACCAGTAAAATCGTATTCTACACAAGTAATCATTGTAGACGTTCAAAGAAGAAAACTAAATAATCAGTGTATATCTACATAGATTCATATAAGTTTCCATTAAGAAAATTTCTAAGCTCGGCCAAAATCTTCCAACGGTTTACTATATATGACTTAGTGACAAACAAATCTTCAAGCTCTCACTCAATCTAAGAAAAACTCAAGATATGAAAATTGCAACAGACAAACCAACATCTAAGAAACTGGTTACATGTTTGAGATGCGAACCGATCTCTGAACGACCTAACCAAAACTGACTTATTGGTAGTTGGTTCACCTGAGACACCATTATGACAATTTAACCGGAAGCTAAAATCACTCCTCGTACAAAGCTTGTAAACCCCACCGATCCTGAAAATGTTAAGGCTACAAGCCTACAAGTCCAACAATTTTTTATGGCGGCATCATTAAAGCTAAGGTCTCAAGGTCGCTTGGATAAGAATGGATACTCAAACCCAAATAAAGAAGCGTGCGCCCATGTTATATTGGGCTAGTGACGTTAAAGATTGGTCGTACCTTGTTATGTAATGGGCTCAACTGATTGGGATTGTATAATTTGTATTAGGCATACAATAGCTCTATTTTTCTTTCACGTAACGACGCCTGACTATCTAATGCCAAGTACAATTGGAAACAGCCATCACGGGTGCTACCCCAACGCAATTGCCTTCGCGATCATACCATGCTTTGCCCTCGTGAATGTCTTTTCAAAAGCTAAAATGCTTTGATCTCGTGTCTCAAGGATGTACGGGTTTTGGACCCGGCCAAAACTAGCTTCCTAGTATTTTTTTTTAGAATGATTCCAAAATTTAATGTTACAAAAGTTATTTTGAAAATAATTTTAAATAACTAAATTCTGTCATTATTCAACTGATGATTTAAAAAATATCTTAAATCTTATGTTATTAAAAATAAACATATTTTTGTTTAGTTTTTATCTTATTTAAAATGATTTTTTAATAATTAAAAATACATGGTTTAAAATAATTATTGGTGGATTTCTATGGTTAACTAAACTGATACTTTGGGTGATTTTCATTACTAGAAAAAATCGAAACAACTTCTTCAAGCTAACCACAAATCATTAAAATCACCTAAAATGTCAGCAGTTAGTACGCACTCTTATAGTTTTGTTTGTTCCTTTTCAAACTGGTTGCAAATAACCTTAACCAAATTTATCAATAGTTGATTGCTAATTGGAACCTAGATTATGAATACAAAGAAAAGAAGAAAAAAACACAAGAGATGATATTTTTTCAAGCTAAATAAGACCACAACTATACATTTCTTATTTTATTTTATATGTGGTGGGGCAAAAAACAAAACAGAATAAAACATAATGAAATTAAATTCAAGATGGATAAATAGAAAAACGAGGACGATGAGGTTTGGTATTTTTGTGACAAGAGGAGTGATGAAGTTGGCGTCGTTTCTCAGCAAAGCCATCACTGTTTCTCATTATCCAATATCTCTCTATCTCCTCTGGTTGTCTTCCTGGCACTCTTCCTGCTATTAAATCCCACCTAAAACAAAATAAAAATACGCAAATAACATTTTTGTCATTTATATTTCAAAAGAAAATTCATTTTGTCAATTCAGATTCCATATTAGAGCCAGACAAGCATTTATCCACAAGTCCCTGATGATAAAGTATATTCTTTAAAAAAACAAAAATTAGTAGACGCCATGTGCTTCCTCTACAACATGGTACACTGTACAAACGTAAGTACATGCCTAAATTAACCTATGCAATGTTGTAATGTGTAGAAGTTTTTTGTTTTCTGTTTTGTTTTAATTTAGGCCGAAGAGTTTAGAAATTATTTTATTTTTGTTAAAAAAAAAAAAGAAGAAGAATAAGAAATTACCTATCACCGACAAGTCTGTGCATTCGAAAGATGAGATCTTCCTCTTGTTCAGTCATGTTGATAAATTCCCATTCGATACTGCTCACTTCTGCACAGTTATATTCGATCAACCAATTAAACTCAAAGCAACTATTAAATTAACAAAAAATACAAATACAAATATAACCTTTATTTTAAGTAAACATTTGTTTTTTTTTCAGATACGGCGAGGACTTAAGCAAATTTAGAAGTGAAGGTATCCCTCGTTTTCTACAAGAACTTTCTAAAATAAATTTCTCAGCCACATTTCAGAACATTGTTGAACTCACGTTAAAATCGGATTATTGGAACCAATTTAGAGTCGAAGCCCAAAATGCATTAAAGAAGTGCAAAAGCATTCATATTTTTTTGCTTCATCCATGAAAAATACGCAAACAAGTAAAATTCGAGAGTAACCTTCAGAGTCATTGAGAATGACTTTCTTTTGCTTACGACGGCGACGACGTTCAGTGTTATCCATTTGTTTTGGAGCTAGTAAGAAAAAGGGAAAATAGAGGGAAGGTAAACGAAAATTGTGGTTTAATTGAAGAATGCAAGAAAAGAAAAATGCTAGAGATGTGAGTTTATAGAGAGAAGAAGAATAAGAAGAAGAAGAAAGGAGAGGAGAGAGAGAGAGAAGGAAGTGTCCAACGAACAGCCTTTGCAAACTAATTGTAAGAAGTGTTTAGTGGTCTTATTGACCTCTTAGCAATTGTGTAGACTTGTCGTTGACACTCGCATACACACATGGAGATGAAGTCTTTTATTGGAATTTGTAAGTATTCGAAGGGTAACTTTGTTCTCATTCGTAGATACTAACAAAATTATTATTTCCACGTGTCAAAGTTTTATAAGATTACTTTTCTATCTATTTATATATTTAAAATAATGGAACTTATTGATTCAATTTGGCAGAGCAAGTTCAAAGATGTTTAGGCAATTGGTTTTGTTGTTGTGGTTTCCAATTTTTTACTCTTGTTCCAAAAAACAAATGTCCAATTTGTATTTTTTAACGAAATTTAGTTGTTATTATATTACAAGTCTAAACTGAATCAGATTTTGTTTAACGGTTACGAAATTTGATTACCATGGAATTTAGTTTCAATAAATAAAAACAAACCCAATTAATCAAAAATACTATTATCATACATATGAAAATATATTATAATATATTTATACTAGACTAAGTCCCGTGTATACACGGGAGTATACACGGGATTGATAATATAATATTTTAAAATCAGTAAACAATAAATAAAAATGTATAACATAAAACAAAATAACCCCACAGACATGACTATCACTCTTAAAAACAAATAAAATCATTGAAAACGTCATTAAGGAATCTCTTACTCGTTAAAATTTCTATCATATTAATATTTATTTGTTTATTTTGATTCTCTTTTTTTTTCTAATTATGTTTTGATTACTTAATCCCCAATACATTAGTTTACTATTTTTCTGAATTAAAATTAAAATATTTTTTCTTTTTCGTTAGAATATAAACCTTTTTATTTCAGAATATGAGGTATTTAAAAAAAAAATCTTTTTTTCCGTTAGAATATGAAAAATATGTTTTCCTTTTTAACACATTTTTAATAAGTTTTCTTTCACATTCTTTTCCCTTTTTCGTTAGAATATGAAACTTTTTTCTCTTCGTAAATGTGGCATGTAAAAATATTTTTTCTTTTTTTCGTTGGAATTCGCATAACATGTAGTATAGTACAATGATAATTTCGATTTCGATCCAATTGACTTAGAGTTAAGTAATCTCCACTACTTTGACTCTCTTTTTATAGGAAATTTAGTTTACATAACCTATTCCATGTACCAATAGGATTTTATTTATTACATTATTTTGAATTTAATATGTCTCAAAGATAATACAATTTTAATGAATGAGAAATCTTTTTCTGTTAGGATATGAAAAATATAATTTTTTAAAAATAATTGTTTTCTTTTTACTATAATATATTAAAATTTCATTTTTCTTACATTTTTGAGTTTTCTTTTTTCTTTCTTTCCCCAAGACATGTGTCACAATCTTAACGGACATAACATTAAAAGTAACACATGTCTCGATCATATAAATTATAAAAATCCTACGTATCACAATCACATTGCGTGCATCCATCTTTATATAATAAGATAGCTTATTAAACATGGTGCCACCGGTTTATATTCCCGAACCGAGATAGGAACAGAGGCGGTTGACAAAAAAAAAAGTTATAGCTTATTATACAAGGTTTGTTGAGTCATAAAAGATATGTTTTTTTTTTCATAAGAATATGAAACACTTTTATCTGATAATATAAAACCTGCAAAAATGTTTTTAAATATTTTTTCTCTTTAGCTCGGTAAGACATAGAAGATACTTCTTTTTCCTTTTTCTGTTAGAATTTAGATCATTTTTTTCTCTATTTCATGTACCAATAGGATTCTATTTATTATATTATTTTGCATTTAATATGTGCTAAAGATATATTATTTTTATGATTGGGATATGACAAATATATAATTTTATATAATTTTTTTCTTTTTACTATA